AACAGTGCCTTTTGTCTCACACTCCAAATCTTCCTTCCAGACCAGTACCTTCCAGTTCCTTCCACAATTTCAAAAGGCCTGTTATCTATAACAAATCTCTTATTCCATAATATTCATAGCAGTGTTGCTTTCCTAATTAAACCCTGTTTGATAATGTTTGTTCTACTAAATATTTAGAATATAATGTATTTGCCTTAATTTCTGGGCAGTGTGCACTTTTCTTTTCTTGCATATATATTGGTAAAAGTGAACATATTTAATCTAATCCTCCTCCTCCTCCTTCTTCTTCTTCTTTGTAGAAACTAAAGGTCTAGGGCGCTTAGGTGGTAAGATCTCAACTACTTCTACACACCACAGGATTGGAGCAGTTCTACAAATTTGAAAATCCTGGCTCTACACACCCTGCCATACTTCCCTAATGGGGTGGACTGACAAATTAATGTTGAGAGTTATATAACAAGACTTTACGCTGGGGTATTTGGCATCTTATGAAATTCTCATCAGTCTTATCCTTCCCCCAAAAGGAACCTTGGAGATTTTAAAAGCTTCTCACGCAGGACTCTGTTTCTAGATATCTGGGATAGGACCTAGAGATACAACTTTCTAACAAGCAGCCCAGATAATTTTGATGAAGGTGGTTGTGTACTTCTTTTTGGAAAGGATGTGACTAGAAAACAAAGGTGTAAATTATTTCAATATACTAGTTTTCATACTAGCTTTGGGCCCTTCTGAGCATCTATATCATGTTCCAAAGTAGAAAAAATAGACAAAACAACAAAAACTACCATTTTCTCTAATTTTTCTGGATCATCCAGCTCCTTACTTAAAGGAATTTTCATCTCTAGATGTGCTAAACACGTAATTTTATGAACTAAATGTGCTATACATATATATGTTAACATTTCTAAACAACAAAAATGACTTAAAAACTAAAGAGTACTCAAACTAAACAAAAAATTATATTAACATTTTACTGTAAGAATAAATTGTTTGTATGTCAAAATGAAGTTTAAAATTAAGTATTACTTGGCCGGGCGTGGTGGCTCACGCCTGTAATCCTAGCACTTTGGGAGGCCGAGGCGGGCGGATTGCTCAAGGTCAGGAGTTCGAAACCAGCCTGAGCGAGACCCCGTCTCTACCAAAATAGAATATTAATTGACCAACTAAAAATATATATAAAAATTAGCTGGCATGGTGGTGCATGCCTGTAGTCCCGCTACTCGGAGGCTGAGGCAGTAGGATCGCTGAGCCCGGAGATTGAGGTTGCTGTGAGCAGGCTGACGCCACGGCACTCACTCTAGCCTGGGCAACAAAGTGAGACTCTGTCTCAAAAAAAAAAAAAAAAAAAATTAAGTATTACTTTATTCACTGGTGTGATAAATTCTCTGTTTATGTACATGTTTCTTAAGACAGCTTTTCCTTCATACCTACATCTCCTCCTTCCTGAAAAAAAAAAAAATAAAGAAAAGAAAAACACTTGGAAGAAAGAGAGAAAAGAAAAGGGAGCACTTATTTTCTGATTGTCTGGGTTAACACCCAGGCAGATACCTCGAGCACAGCAGATGTGCCTAGTCAAAGGTTTTGGGTGGATGTCAGCAGGTATCTCACACAAATTAAACCACACTATTCTTTTTAACATTCTCACCAATTTTTACAAAATGCTGGAATAAATGACATAAAAATAGAAAAGTCAAAATTTATCTAGAAAAAGAATAACACAATAGTTACAGGGATTCATTGTGGCAGACTTCTAAGCCTCGCCAATGTTACTCCTTGCAATGCTATTTTCCTTAATAACATTCTTCAATTATATAACTATTATCAATTTAAAAACTATGAAAAAAGTCCATTCAAAACAATAGATTCTGTTTTTGAATGAACAGTACAACTTCCTCACCTTCAACTGAAGGCAATCTACAGAGATCCATGGCTACTCACAGCATCTGACACTACAAAGTCAGCTTGAAATCTAAGTTTTACTTTTAACACATATTAGTTATCAAGTTGAAATTTCTTTAGCTTTACTTTACTCTCATTAGATGGCTTGGGAAAGAGACATGCCTTTTACACTCCAGCTGCACTGAGCCTCTTCAAAACACCTCTCTCTCCCATGGAAACACACACAGTATTATAAGGCAAGAACTCTCTTTTCTCCCTCCTCCTCTTCCTCATCTTTCTCCTCCTCCACCCCCTCCTTCTTCCCTTGTCCTCCTCTTCTTCTTTTCCACTTTGATAACTTGCTTAATGGCTGGGTTAAAAGAAGAACATTAAAGCCAAGAATTGTCATTATATGCAGCAAAAATAAGACAGCATTCCATTTAACTAAGAAACTCCCTTTTTGATTGATTCCTCTAAAATAATAAATGTTTTCAAGTGGATTCAGCTTCTAGTGTACAAAGAAAAATTGATGAAGGTAAGGATGAGAAAGAACATTTGAAAAGAATTAAGTATTTTCATAATGAGTGAGATGTGCACCATCTAGGGGATGGTCATGATGGAGACTCAGACTTTTGGGGGGAGGGGAGGAAATGGGTATTTATTGAAACCTTAAAATCTGTACCCACATAATATGCCGAAATAAAAAAAAAAAAGAATTAAGTATTTTTTTGGCTTTGGCGCTTAACATTTTATTTTACATAAAATCTCAAATGTTCCCTGGAACATTTTAGGAGGGGGGAAACTGTGGGTTTTACTGGAGAATAAAATCACCTGCCATGCTGGTAAATACCAACTTCTGTTTGGTGTCAGGTGCTCTTAATTCAGCCCTCACATAACAACCAATGAGTTTAATTAGATGAGAGAAATATACCTGAATTGGTTTGGTTCCTGATTTTGGTTAGCAAGTTTTCATGAAAGTGAGAGATACTTGTATTTCATTTTACAATCTGTAAAACGAAGAGAAACTTCTTGGTAGAAATTTAAAGGTAAATACAAAATATCTATCAATAACATTTTAAAATGAAAGTATCAATAAATCATACGAATTATTTACGTATCTTAATTTCCTCACTTGCTAGTTTTTCCATAAACTCTAGAAACCCATAAACTCTTGAGTTGGTTTATTTTAAAACTGCAGTATACAGATAACTATGTGAGTTAAATTTGTGTTTATTCATTTTACAATCTAGCTCTATAGACACTTTTAAGTCATAAAAATTAAAGTTTATATCCAAGAAAAACTAATTTCCATGCTTTTTCCTATTTTTATCAGTACCCAGGAAGGAAGCAATTTGAGCTGGGTGTAATACACAATATTGTAGTGACACAGAGTTTGACTTGACAAACGAAACATACTGCATCTCTGGCTTATTTCATGGTAACTCTGGTTTTCTCAGGAAAGAAATGAAATCCACATATGAAATCATCTTTTACTAATGGGAAAATTTCAAATTACCCAAATATGTCCATAAAGTTTACCTAGTAGATGGACAAATCAGCACTACTGATACTGGGGTAACTGTCCCATAGTTTTATAAAATCCATAATCCCCAGTTCTAAATGCTTAATATTGATCGGTAGTTTAATACCATCTGCCATATATTTAATGCTGGAAATGCCATAAAAATTTATTAGCATTGGATAATGAAACACTATTTTAAAAAATATTGTGATAAAGTTTCTTCTTATGAGTATGGTTAAAAAACACTACACTTTTGGAAGTGATTTATAATTTCAAACTAGAGATTCAAATACTATAATTGGACTGTATCTCTCATTCTAGAATATATGTATGTGTGTGTATGTATATATATACAGTATTTTTTTAAAGTAAAAGAATAAGAATTGTTGTACATGTACCACAGGCCTAAATTTGAGAGGAATAATTCAACAAACATTTTTTTCACTCAGTTATCAAGTCCTCATTCTTACTTGGTTGATCCTATTTTGGTATTAAACTCTGTGGTGGTTGTTACACTGACAGATTCTCTAAAATAAGCTTCCATTTGAGATGTTATATCACATCCAATTAACAATCAATGACATGACTTCTCGTGTGTCAAAGGCATAGGAACAAGGCACTCAGCATTGTACAAGGTGATACATCAACAGAAAAGGTTTGTAAACTTGTTAAAAGATTTGAGATTGTTTTAAAGTAAAGAGATTACATTTCATAAATAACTTGTAACTAACTTATATAAATAGCCAGTGCTTAAAAAGGTTTCATGATGCAAAATAGGCATTCCAGAAGAAAACTGATTTTTAAAAACTAATTCAACAATTTTCTAGATTAAGGTCAATAAATTAATCAATATACATTGTCTTGCATTCTTTAACTACTAAGAAAACACATTTGCTTCTCTATAATATCTTTACTTGAAGACCTGAAGCAATCTAACATCTTTGTAATGTTGCTTTCCAGGTAAGACAATCCACAGTCCTGAAACTACTGTGACTAAAATGTTATCATTAAGAACAGAGTTGTTATTTTTCTATTGAAACTCAAAAGTTCCGTCTCTTGAAAAAATGAATTCTACGTTTATCAGGAGGGACTGAGATTATGATGGAAGTTTAACTTATTCAGGACAATTTCAGGAACAAACCCCCATTATGATATGTGAGTTCTTGAATATATGATTTCTTATGTCATCTGATTTTGGTTTTTATTTGCACATTTTAAAATGACAGGTTATATATATATCTCAGTCAGCTTCTTTGCTCCTTTTCTTTTTGTCCCAACATTTTTCTTGATGGGAAGGAGATATAAAACAACCCAATAGAAGACCATGAAAATATGTAGATGCACTGGAAAGTGATGGGACAGCCCAAGTCCAGTGTTTCATTCTAAACTGCAACACTCCATGATTTCCCAGTATTCTGATTCCACATGCACTTTCAATAATCATTTATAAGACTTCAGAAAATGGTATCTGCAAAGGGCCCAGCCAATGAAACAGAGAAGTGGTATTCTTCCAACATCACAAAGTTGGCCTCTATAAAAGTGTATAAAAACGTTGAGTTTAAAAAAAGAAAGAAAGAAAGGGTAAAATTGATATGGCTTCTGGCTTCTGGCTTCTGGCTTGGAACCCAGGGGAAAAAGTGAAGTGATACAGACAACCAGCTGCTACCTGGTTATGCGGATTAGGTTGTTGATCTAGCCAGATTTACTTTGCTTTCCTCAATCATGAAATGCTGGGAAAATTCTTTAGAATTAAGTCCCAAGTTCTCTTTTAATTTTTTGAGCTCAAAGTCATGGAGAATCTTGATAGTCATTAACTTTTCTCGCTTGATTCTATCCGCAACATCTTTTGGAACATCAGGTATCATCCAGGCCAACAGAAATTTAACTAAAAACACAATGTGCTAGAAGAAATATAAAGGAGAATTAGACATTGTTAGAACTGTTGAGTGTTCAGCAGGAAGTCCTTACAAATCATTTATTTCAATCATGCAATCAACTGTGCTTGAAACATGAAGTACAAGGGCAAGCAAGAAGATATGGTCTCTGTCCTAGAACTTTCATACAAAGACCCAAATTAAACAAACATTTACTTAAATAGGCAGTTAGTGAAATTCCAGTTGAACATGATTACCCCCATGATATCCCCTACATCTGCTCCCTCCTGAAAACCTAATAAAATATTTGTAAGGGAATTAGACTCAAAAGAGTGAAGAAAGCTGGCACTTAAACTTGCAATTGGGGATATGGTGATTGACAGTGGAAACCCAAAAGAAAAAAGCCAGTTTTGTTTTAGATCCTCAGAAAAGTTCAGGAAAGAAGGTACTAAGGACTTTTGGAGGCATTACTGCGGGGTAGAGTTGGAAACAAGGTGATTAGTTAAAAATTTGTATAAGGACCACTTGAATTTCCAAAGCCTTTCTCCTATCTGTATCCAGGTACTATCTCTCTGCATATCCCACCCTGGAAGCAGCTGAAGAGTTCATTTTCTGTAGAAATTATACCAGAAAACTATAAACTCCGTGGGACCAGACATAGCTGAGGTTGGAGATGTGGAACTATATTAAAAACAAAAGCATCAAAAAGTAAAGTTTGGCATACCAAATTGTGAAATCCTTAAGACCCCTCTGCCTTACTCAGTTCTCAGAACATAGGGCAGCTATGAAATACCTCAACAGATGGGAGGTTGGAGGATTTTTCTCTGGGGAAAATTAACTAGTCTGTGAAAACTACAGATACCAAAACTTTATAGGACTCCAGTGAAAAGGTTGGCTCACCACCTCATCATGCTACAGTGAAGCCTATCAAGTAACATCTCTCCTGTATGCATCCAAAGATTATAATCAGCTTTTCACTGCCTCACTCTTAAACATGAGCAGAACCAACAAATATGGGAGAAAGTCTCTAACATGAAAGAAAACAATGAAGTAAACAGGAACTAAGAGAAAACAGAGATAATGAAGGCAGCAAAAAAAAAAAATTAGAATAAAAAACAAAGATACTAACCCATCTCTTCATAGGAGAGAAAATACATGATAATTAGAATTTTAAAACAGGAAGTATAATATCTGAATGTGAGAAGTTCCAGAAAGATAAAAGGAAAAGTTTATCAAATAAATAATACAAGCAAAATTTCTCAACTTGAAAGGTATGTTTTAAGATCCAAGGGACTCAATGACTGTGCAAAACAATAAATATTGTCCAATAGCAAGGAACTGTCTTATAAACTTTCATAAAAGTGGAGCTAGTGAAAGAATCCTGTAAGCTTATTATTTCTAAAAATATATCATAAACAAAGACTGAGTCATCAGAATGGTATTGCATTTTACAGCACTGGGAATGGAAAGAAAATGGAGAAATGTCCTCAAAATTTCAGGAAAACCTAAATAAAGTTAATTAAAAAATTTTCAAGAGAAAAAATTTTTATCTTGATATTCTGTTCCAAATAATCATGTGTAAGAAAAGAAAATAAAGTTTCAATATTCAAGTCTCAAAAATTGACTGGCCATAATTTTCCTCAGAAAATTACTAGAAGATGTGATTCAGCAAAATAAGCTATTAAACCAAGAATGAGAGGTACACAGATTACAGAAAGTAACAGCACTCAACAGAAGAGAGGTGAAGACCCAGAATAATGTTAGGTTAGAGCCTGGGATGATTATAAAAAATTGATAAGAATAATAAATAAAAACAAAAATTCAAACAAAGGAATTCCTGATGCAATTTACTGGACTCAAAGGTGACCTAAGCCTCTGATGGAATGAGAGTGACAAATTCATAAAGAACAAGAGAGAAAGAAAGAGAGAGAAAGAGAGAAACAAAGTGGAAAAACAATATTATAATAAAGGAAATATATGAAGAGCATAATATATGAAACAGATATGACTAATATTTATAAAGTCATAATTTATAAACCCTATTGTACTTATCTACAATCTCTTACTCAAAACTCTGATGGACAGAAATATTTCAGAATTGAGATAATTAAATATTAAAAATATGTAATTTAGTAAATAAACCATATATCAGCAGGGTCTGGGGTGGCACTTTATATCAAACACTTAAATATTTCTTCAGCAAAATAAATGGTAACTCTAAAACTAGCCTTTTTGTTTTGTTTTGTGAGACAGAGTCTCACTGTGTTGCTTAGGCTAGAGTGCCTGGCATCAGCCTAGATCATAGCAACCTCAGATTCCTGGGCTTAAGCAATCATCCTGTCTCAGCCTCCCCAGCAGGTGGGACTACAGGTGTGCACCACTACGCTCGGCTAATTTTTTCTATTTTTAGTAAAAACAGGGTCTCCCTCTTGCTCAGGCTGGTTTTGAACTCCTGAGTTCAAGCGATCCGCCTGCCTTGGCTTCCCAGACTGCTAGGAGTATAGGCATGAGCCACCACACCTGACCCTACAAATAGCCTTAAATCATATCAGATAGGGTATTGGTGCTAATTAAGTTGCCAAAATACTTCATATTTTCTGAGGTTTGGAATTTCAGAATAAGAAATTATGGACCTGTATAAACAAAAAATTATACTGTCATTATATTGAGAGGTAGGAGAAAGATAAAATCTTAGTATGCATATGTACACATGTGTGCGTGTGTGTGGTGTGACATGCGTGAGATCTGCCATAACAGGAAGTCAGTTATTAACATCTAAAACTAAAAAGACATAGCTGCAAAATTATATTGTTCTGCCATACAGAGCTAACTATTAGAAGAATGAGTTTAAAAAGTTGAAATGTGTGGCTTTGGAAATTAGGATTTGAGAATAAGGAGGAATATTACATAGAACTGCTCTCATTTTTAGCCATGTAGAGAACTACTTGATTACATGCATAATCTTGATAAAAATAAAAATAAATTAAACAGAAACTGACTAGAATTTCATGTGCTTGGGTTAGAATTTTCAATTATTGGAATTTACTGCAGGTTGAAAAGGTGCCTTACTTTTATTTCTCTCTCCCTTATTGGCCTTCCTAATTTACGATTTGTAGCAGTCAATCTGCAACTTAGTCAAATACTCTCCCTAGTTCTCGCATGCCTTATCTACATAATTATATGGGGGACTTCACAAGAGAGGAAGCAAAATACAGTAGACACAGCATAGGCTGGGGAATGAGATATATCTGGCATTGAAACCCAGCTGTAATATTAGCTGATTAACCTTAATCCAACTACTGATTTTTGCAGAGTATAGGGTCCCTTTTTTAAAAGGTAAGTAATAAAGTTTAACTTATAAGGTAGTTATGATTTAACTTCTGGAAGTAGAACATAATCAGTATTCTGTAAAATCAGTGGGTTCTCTACCCTTTCTTGACCTCCAGGGAAGAGATCATATTTTTCCTTTCCTTTTCTGTCACTACAGTATCTTCAACAATAGTCCCCGAATAACAGATAACTCATTGTACTGAGAACATACCTAAGATCCTAAGATGTTTTTTATGACAATAAATACTTCCTTCAAAACAATTCATTGAGATAATGCTAACTTTTTGATGTGCAGATAGCTTTAGAAATACCTGCCTACAGGGAGAAGAGAGTAACTTGCATGAAAGTTAAGAGCAGCTTACTTCTATAACTATGATGAAGGTCATCCTACCAGCAAGGACATGCCAGAATTGCATATTATGATAATATTTCTTCTCATGATCAGGAGGATGTCTGTAATCTCTGTACCTGAAAAATGAAAGTAAATGCAAAAATATTAGCTATAGCTTCAACTAGAGAGACCTAACATAAATTCTTCTTATTTCTCTTAAGAGACCCTTCTAGTTGACCACAAAAGGTAGGTCACAGGAAGGTAACTGACACTATGAACAATTTATCTTTCTTTTTTACATAAAATTATAGCCATATGCTACTTATGTGGATACACTAATAGATATAATAGGAAACACACAAGTGAAACTTTTCTCCTGCCAAGATAAACTTCTCAAAAGAGTTATCACTATTTTCTGTCTACATTTCCTCTTTTCCTATTTAACACACTTCGTTCTATCCCTGGCTCCATCAAACCAATTGTCTCTTGTCATTAAATTGAAGGAATATTTTAATTCTCATCTATTTTTGATATTTCAAGAATTGGACTTAATATTGTTGACCACTTCTATTTTCTTTTCTTTTTTTATTGCTTGAACTTTTATTTATTTATTAATTTTATTTCAGCACATTATGGGGGTACAAATATTTAGGTTACATATATTGTCTTTGCCCCACCTGAGTCAGACTTCAACCGCGTCCATCTCCCAGACCTCACTCATTAGGTGTGAATATACCCATCCCATCTTCCCCTGTCCCACCTGCCTGACTCCTGAAGAATGTTCCTACTATATGTGCTTAAGTGTTGATCAGTTAATATCAACACTTCTATTTTCTTGAAACTCTATTTTCTTTTGGCTGCTCTGACACTGTGTTGTTTTGCTTTTGTTACAACCTTTCTAGAGTTTTCTTAGTGTTCAACTTTGTCAGCGCATTCTATTCTACAAAGTCACACTGCATACTGATGCTCTTCAACAATTTAGCCCAACTTGGAAATGATGACATCAAGGAATCTAACACCAGTGGCCATGCTCTTAAACAGTAGGCTATGATTCTCTATAATCAAATATGGAATATAACAATGTTTCATCTGCCTTGCAACATTCTGCTCTTTCTTTGTTGGAATCCCAAATTAAGCAGTTGATTTAAGTTAAGGGGCCTTGGTGTGTGTGTGTGTGTGTGTGTGTGTGTGTGTGTGTGTATCTTTAAATAGTGTAGAAAAAAGATCCACATAGTACATGATATACCGAGTGTGGAAACAGAAGAGTCACATATCCAATTTCATCTTCCCTACACAGAAGAAACTCTTAAAGTGGGATGGCTGGTGAACTGATTATATCATTATATTGTTATTTCTCTCTTTTTCACTCTATCTTTTTTCTGAGGACACATAGTTAAATTCAAGTAAGTTAAATGCCCATACAATATGATCATGCTGTGTGATCTATAGATATTACAACTTTGGACAAAGGTGCATTTGTTGGTGAGCAATCCTTTTGATAAATTTAGAAAATAAACAATTCAAAATTGGTGTTGTCTTTACCCATAGTATTCTCCTTTTTTTACATTTTACCTTTCCAAATAAGAATAATATAATGTGTGAATTCTAGAATTGATGTACTTTATTTAGCCAGGATTTCTGTTGCCTCAAGTAAATCCTTTACATTGTAAGACATGAAGGAAATGAATAACTTAATTAAAAACTTAAAAAACAAAAGGAAACCTGCAAGTGGTGAAGTCTACTTTTTCCGGAGGTACAATAGCATTTGGAAAATCAGCTATCAGGAATACTGACAGGCTGTTATTCACATATCCTTTCATAGGGTACTTGGCATTTGTTGAGTAGGCATAGAAGTAAACTAAGCGAGGAATCATGTCCGATGTAAATGCAACAATAAAAGCCTGAAGAACAAAGCAAAAGGAAGATTGTGAGCTGCCAGTCTAGTTTTTAAAATGTCTGATTTGTGTATCTCTCAGTCTCATAAACCAGATAAAGCAAAATGATTAAAATACTATAATAGATCACATTAATATGCAAGTCTCTGGCTTAAAACATGAAATGGATCATTTACAGTATGTGATTAGTATTCTAGATTTCATAGCTACAAAGTGGCTAAGTAGAGAATTGGACCTAAATGTACCTTTCTCCAGGAACCACACCCACTCTTTCTATCATGACTTGCTATTTCTTACTTTCTTATTGCTTCATAGTACAGTTCTACTATTTTCAATTACATCCACCTGCCTAGGCCAACTCCAGAAGCTAGGACTATGTGTGTGTGTGTGTGTGTGTGTGTGTGTGTGTGTGTGTGTGTGTGTAGGTTGATGGGGAGGAAATGGAGAGACAAATGATCATGTGTTTGTAAATTTCTCACAGTTTACTGTAGCTCATTTTAGGATTTGATTCCACAGAAATGGTATTTTCACATCCTTTCCTAATCTCTGGAATAGTATAAAGATGTCTCTTTTAGGTTACTTAATTCAATTAAAAACCATCTGGCTCTGGCACTTACAGTTTTAGTGGTACATTTTAAAAAGTATTCCATTACCTCTATGGCTAATGGTCTATTTAGGTATCACTTATTAAATAAATTTTGCAATTTTTATTTTTTAAAAAAGTAGTCATTTCAAATACATTTTAAAACTTATTGTGATAAATGGGTACACAGACGTCTCAGAGTTTCATTTGTTCTATTTGTCTTTTCCACAAACCAACTCTTGATTTACTTAGCAATTATATGCCTTTGTATTTGTTTTCTAATCTGATTATATCTTTATTCTTTTTTACTCTTTCTATTGACATAATTTACAGTTTTTCATTAGTGTCTTAAGTCACATGCTTAGCTCATGTTTTCCGGTATTCCTTTATTAAAAAAAATAAAGCATTTATGGCTATGGACTTTTCTGTAACAGTTGATTTAGCTCATTTCTACAGGTTTGCATTTAAGTTAAGCTTTTTCTATAGTTTCAATTGTTTCCTCTTATATGAATCTTACTTAGAAGGTTAAGTGGTTAGATTTTATTTTTTGATTCTTATTATCAACATCAATTTTTAAAGTATTATTGTAGGTGAATATGCACTGAAAATTTTCTACTTTTAGTAATTTAGTTTTATCACTTTTTAATAAGTGCTCTATGAACCTAAGAGGAAAATGTTGTATATTCTCTGTAATATACAAATTCAAGTATAATCCACCTTTAATTGGATTAATGTTCAAATTCTTTACACCATCACTTATTTTCTGTCTACTTTGTCACATGCTATGAAACCGTGTCATGATATTTTAATGACAGTAATTTCAAAATTTTTTTCTTTAATTTCAAATAGTTTGCATGTCATAGGTTTTTCTGTATTGGTTAGTGCATAAAAGTTCAGTAATGTTTTATCTTTGTGGAATACCACTATGATTAGATCAATGTAAATAAAGATTGGTTTCAGCATCATCCACATTTTTCCATCCCCAAACAATAAAATACAAAGTCACCCTACCGAAATAGGTCTACTTACATTAGTTGCAACTGAAAGTACAGCCATTCCATAAAGAATGTCTTGCCAAACACCTATGCTATGAGCTTTGGAAGCTATAGTTCTCCTGTACTGAGTAGTAAGTTTCCAGGCATCCACTCGAATCTCTACAATATTATTTATGAGAGCAAAAAGAGGAGCCAAAGGAAAAGAGGCCACAAATAGTGTAACAAATCCAAATTGAGTAACTGCAGAGAAAACAAAAAAAGGTATGAACTCGTGAAAGGGAAAGAAGGGAACACACTGTCCAACTTTGCCACTTCCTTTATCTTGGAGGGGTCCACATCAGTAAAACAATCCAGACCCCTTTCTATGGTCCACTTCCTCACTCAATGACTTATCTGCTTGCTAGAATGAGGAGAATTGAGGCATGCATAGCTGAAATCCTTCCTTGTTTTCCTCTTGAGCTATATTTGTCTAAAGAAAGAATCTATTTCTATGTGTCTTTTATTAAGAGCTAAGTTAGTTTTATGCTGGTCTAATCTTTACATGTGTATTGGCATATTAGTGGGGTAAACAAGTTTTTCTTTATTGCTAATCTATGTACTTTTTATGATCAAAGATTGATGATGAATTCGTTGATATGATTCCAGTATTCAGCATGTGTGTATGTGTGTATACGTATAATTTGTATATGGGCAACAACATATATATTTTCTGGAATAAAATATCTGTTAAGGTCCTAATCTTCAATACTATCTTGACATATTTTAAAATAAGTTTTATTCTCTCTCCTTATTAAGATTTAACAGGGGACTACAGCTATGTAAGCTGGTTTCTCTTCTCCTTTTTTCCCTTTGTTTCCAATAATGAATTCTTGGGGTAAAAAAATCCATGCAAATAACAGTTTGGGCTTTGCACATGATTTAAGAAAAAAACAATAAGAGATACGTGCATGGCTTTCCATTAAAGGAGGAAAGAATGAATATTCCATTAGGCCTCTATTTTTATTTTCTTTTTTTTCCATTGGAAGAAATAATTCTTTATTTTTAAATCAATCTCAAATGTTTCTGAATTTTAGCTTTTCTCATAAGACTAAATCAGTCTTGTTATCAAGTGAACAAACACATACTGACTCCCTCCTTTCCTGCTTTTTCTACTAAACTAGGACAGAAAATGAATAGGAAGTATTATGTAGAAGCAGCATGAATTTTCTAAGTTTGAATCTCTAATCTCTACCTAAAATCTTTGTGGCCTCTGTAAATTTTACTAAACTATCGAAGTTTCAGAACCCTCAAAAGAAAAATATGTCAAATAATGACTATTTTGCAGAATTGTTAAAAATTAAAGATAATGAATGTAAAGTTTCCAACATAAATTAACTTAGTTGTGTCTCAATGTATTAATAGTAGTTAATATTGTTAGGAAACTTTGATTTCATCTTTTATTAGATTCTTAAGTATGGAATGTCCAATTTCCTTAAGATTTCCTTAAGTCCTAAGTTTGATGGTTGATATCTCTGACAGTTCACTTTGACATTATTTTTTTTTTATTATTGTGAAGGTACATCCTTATTATTTCAAATGCATGTTTTGGCTTGTGATTATCTTTCAAGTTTTTTTAGAGCAATTTTTGTGAAACCATGGATAAGTAAAAAATTAATGTTATTTTTGAATATTAGTTTTGTTGTGGAACCAATGTAGTGCAGACAGCTCAAAATATCAACAAAGTGTTTGGGAAGGATATGGCTGATAAATGCTCAGTACGTTGATGGTTTGAGAAGTTCCATTCTGGTGATTTTAATCTTGAAAATGAGCCATATGGTGACCTGAGACCAAGCTGGATAATGAAGAACTGAAAGCTGTAGTGGAAGCGAATCCATCTCAACCTATGTGTGAATTAGCAGCAAGGTTTGACATTACTATTCTAACAATATTTGACCATTTAAAACAAATGGCCAAGGTGGAGAAGCTGGATGGATGGGTACCACATGAATTAAATGAGCATCAGAAATCATCTGGAAGCTTGCCTTTCTTTGTTGTCACGACATACAGGTGAACCATTTCTATACTCTATTGTTACATGTGATGAAAAATGAGGGTGTTTTTTGGCAATCACAAGCATTAAGCACAATGGCTTGATAAAGATGAAGTGCTGAAACAGAGTCCCAAACTGAATATTCGTCAAAAAAAGCTAATGGTGTCTGCTGGTGGTCCATTACGGCTTCATGAAACCTTGTCAATTGATTACAGTGGGTGTCTACTGCAACCAATTGGATGAAATGATGAGGATGCTTTAGATTAAGGAGCCAAGATTGGTCAATAGAGACAGGCTAATCCTCTTTCAAGACCACATGTCACAAAAAACAATGCTGTTCAAACTATAGCAGCTGGACTTGGGAACTCTCTGTCAGTTGGTGCAGTTGGTGACCCAACTGACTACCACTTCTTCCAGGCTTTGGAACACTTCTTGCAAGGAAAAATATTCAATTCTCAACAAGCTGTGGAAAACACTTTTCAGGATTTCATCGCCACTCTCTCTCCAGACTTCTTCACTGTTGGCATAAGCAAGCTACCATTAAGATGGCAAAACTGTGTTGATAGTTTAGGTGTATACTTTGATTAACTGTACTGTTTCTTGTTTGAGCTATAATTAACTAAACTTTGATTCAAAATAGGATATTTCATATTTAATGACATAGTAATTTTGGTAGTAATCTCTGATGCATGCAGGTACAAATTCATCTGCAATTTACACAATTAAAAATTATAGCCTTATCACCCCAAAAGCAAGGACTAATTTTACAGCCAAAGTAGTATAAATTAGACTTCTATTTGTCCTAAATTTACCTATTTCAATCCATGTATCACATGTGTGTATTACACTGGTGAATCACTAACAGTTTCAGGTCATCTCATTTATTCCACCATAGTGTTAACAGTCTTGAGAGTAACTTTAGAGAACTGTCCTCCTTAATTCCGCCAGAGAAACAGAGAAAATCGCTTGAGAGTAAACACTGCACAGACTATATAAGCAATTCCTACCATTATCTCTCCTAAAATTTGTTCTCAAAGTTTCTTCTCTATTCAAGCCTTGAAATATCTTAGGCATTTCCTGTCTTCAGCTTGGGTTTCCCTTATATAATGGCTTTTAGCCTTCTTATTTTCAGCCTGACATAAAAACGTACACTAAACGCATGTCAGACTTGGAAAATGTTTTCCAGCTTATTTTGTTTCTGAGCTGTCGCTGAGGCAAACAAAATGAGAAATACTCATTAAAGCTAATTTGAGACAGGTGTTAAAATGTGATTCTTGCTTGATTTGCTTCAACAATATAGGACAATAGCTCTAAGGTGTTTTGAAACTAAACTTTATTCTGCATTCTATTTGCTGGGACAGGGAAATAATGAACCAATTTTCTCCACATCCATCCATCCATTTTTTATTGACTGTCCAATGATTTATTGACCACCTACTATATGCATGGCAGAAAGAAATATCAAGAGCAAAAAAATCCCTCTTTTTATTCATGCTGATTCTATGTTTCAGAACAGTGGCTGAAAATTACCTGTTTCTAAGTATTCATAGAATAGCTCAAGGGGTCCAAAATATTCAAGGTCATGATCCTGCTCCCATCGACTGTATAGTTTCTCAGAGTTGGTCCGAGCTTTTCGGCGTTTCCACCAATTCAAAACCAACCTGTTGGAAGTGATAAAAATAAATACATGAAACATAGCTAAAAAGAAAAAGGTGAGAGAATCAATTAGAGTATTAAATCCAGAAATTGGCAAAAAGAGAAGTTAAATAACTTAAGATCACAGAGCATGGAGAGAAATAAGACTCCAGCTAAACTCCAAATCAAACTGTAGTGCTCTTTTCACAACACATGTGGAAGTAGAATTGAAAAGTTCTCTACTAGGGCGATTAAGAAAATCAGACAACCGTAAATCTGTTCATAGAAATATACTGTTATACATTCACTCAGAGACAGTTCAGTCAAACAGCAAGTAGAGGTGAGGGTCACTACTAAGACTACTTACTAACTTTTATACCGTCATGATGCTCAGAAGGCAACTCAAGGAAATGGGGAATTGATTATAATAGAAAATATATGAGAAAGAAAATGCCGATGCTTATCTAACATGTGAAAATAAATGCATTAACAATGAATAAATATTTACTAACTAACTGCCATACTATACAAAAAATATATCATAATGTTGGATTACTTTGAAGAATAAGTTTTTTTAATTAGCAAATCAATGAATGCAATAGATCAAATTGACAGATTTAGGGAGAAAAATATAAAATTATCTTAATTGATGAAGACAAATGTATTCCATATATTTTAAACATCTGTTGAAGCCTACTTATGACAGGAAAGTAAATAGAAGAAAATTATCTAGTAAAAAAATTATCTAGTAAAAATCCTGGGGCAAACATCATTCTTAAAAGGGAAAAGTCAAAAGCATTCCCTTTAGAATCAGAACAAAATAAGAATTTGCATGATCACATTCAAGACTCTATTGTACATCATAGCCGATACAATAAAATGAAAAAAAGCAAAGAATTAGAAATAAAGCAGAAATACACGATTATTAACAGTGATATGATTATATAGAAAACCCAAGTGACGTTAGACAAAATTTATGAGAAATAATAGGGTTTATCAATATATTTCATTTCTATATACCCATAACACACAAGTAGAAAACATAATTTTTTAAAAGATGCCATTTACAATAGTAACTGAAAAGTGCCTAGAAATGGATTTGACAAAATATTTATAAGACCTAATGCAGAAGTTTAAAATCTTTATTTGAAGTTGGTGAAGTCCAAAATAAATGTTCCTGAATAGAATACTTGATTTTATAAAAAGTGATCATTATTTATATTGAAATAATTAAAATGCAATTTTAATCAAAAAACCAAAAATAGGCTGGATGCAGTGTCTCATGCTTGCAATCCTAGCACTTTGGGAGGCTGAGGTGGGAGGACTGATTGAAGCTAGGAATTTGAGACTGGCCTGAGCAAGAGTGAGGGCTTGCTTCCACGAAAAATAGAAAAATTAGGCGGGCATGTTGGCACACACCTGTAGTCCCAGCTACTTGGGAGGCTGACACAGAAACTCTTGAGCCCAGGAGTTTGAGGTTGCAGTGAGCTATTATATTATGATGCCACTGTATTCTAGCCTGGGTGACAGAGTAAGACCCTGTCTCAAAAAAAAGAAAAAAAAAAGCCAAACTATTTTTCCGCATGAAATCTGACAAGATGTTTCCAAAATGTATAAAAAGATCAAAGATAGCCAAGATAGTTCTATAGATGAGGAATAATTTGATAAAACTTGCCCCAGTGGATACAAGACATATAGTATTAAGAGATTGTATAATAGTATTGGTGTGAAAATAGACAAACCCTAGAACATAAGGGAGAATTAGAAATACCACTACACTTGGTATATGGCATAAATGGTATTGTAAATTATGGACTAGAGAAGACGGACTTTTCAATAAATGATAATATGATAATTTGTACATATATAGTTTATGTATATACCCACATATATGTAAAAAATTGGATTTGTACCTCATCTCAAACATGGAAATCCTTTCCATATATATTAAGAATTTGAAAGTGAATGATAATAATGTCAAAATGTATAAAAAATTTAGAAGTATATGAGAATATATTTTTAATCTTAGGATAGGTATTTCTTAAACAAGATTTTAGGAATACTAACTTAGAAAAGATTGATATATTCTACCATATTACTATTATGTACCTTTGTCCATCTAAAACTCCCAGCTGGGAGTGATTTTTGCACACAAGTCTAAATTTGTAATGCCTGGAGACATTTTTAGTTGTCACAACTGGGTTGAGGGTAGGCTACTGGCATCTAGTGGATAGAGTTTCAAGAATGCTACTGAAACATCCTACCATGACAAGGACAGCTCCCCAGCCCCCATAACAAAGATTTTCCAGCCCAAAATGTTAGTAATGCTGAGGTTGAGAAACCATGACCTAAAAATACTATGAAAAATAAAAATATAAAATTTGTGTTAGGATAAAATATTTCTAAAACATGTAGCTGTAAGAGAAAAACCAAAAATAAATAAATAAAAACCAGCAACCAGAAGTTATAAAGTATTTGTACAAATCAATTTGAAAAAGCCAAGTAGGTTGGCTGGATGTGATGGCTCATGCCTATAATCCTAGCACTCTGGGAGGCTGAGGCGGGCAGATTGCTCGAGGTCAAGAGTTCGTTCCAAACCAACCTGAATGCGACCCCATCTCTACCAAAAATAGAAAGAAATTAATTGACCAACTAAAAATATATATACAAAAATTAGCCGGGCATGGTGGTGCATGCCTATAGTCCCAGCTACTCGGGAGGCTGAGGCAGGAGGATCGCTTGAGCCCAGGAGTTTGAGGTTACTGTGAGCTAGGCTGATGCCACTGCACTCACTCTAGCCTGGGCAACAAAGTGAGACTCTGTCTCAAAAAAAAAAAAAAAAAAAAAGGAAGAAAGAAAATAAAAAGAAAAATCCAAGTAGGAAAATGGTTAAACAACATGAACAAGCATTTCATTGAAAAGGAAACACATATAGCCAAAACATTCTCATTCATGTTACTTGATGTCTTTCTATTCTTTTGATATATGCATTTATTCCTATAAATTTCACCCTTAGTACTGATTTTGCTGTACCCCATAGATTTTGGTATGTTACATTTCCATTTTCACTTCTTTCAAAGAATTCTTTAATTTCTTTCTTAATTTCTTCATTGACCCATTGGTCATTAAGGAGCATGTTGTTTAATTTCCATGTGTTTGTCTATTTTCCAAGTTTCCTTTTGTTACTGATTTCTAGTTTTATTCCACTGTGGTAGAAGAAAAGAATTAATACAATTTCTATTTTGAATTTATACAGAGTTGTTTTGTGTGCTAAGATGTGGTATATTCTGAAAAATGTTCCATATGCTGATGAAAAGAATGTGTATTCTGCAGCAGTTTAGTGAAATGTTCTGTAAATGTCAGTTGGGACTATTACATCTAACTGTACTGTTTCTTCATTGATTTTCTGTCTGGATGATTGTCTATTACTGAGAGTGGGGTATTAAAGTCCTCTACTATTATCACATTGCAGTCTATCTTACCCTTTAGGTCTATTGTTTGCTTTATACATTTGGGAGTTCTGGTGTTGGATGCATAGATATTTATAATTGTTATATCCTTGTGCTGAATTAACCCTTTATCATTATATAGTGATATTCCTTGTCTTTCTAAAAGTCTTTGGTTTATAGTTTATTTTATCTGATAAGAGAATAATTACTCCTGTTTTTTTTTGGTTTCCATTTGCATGGAATATCTTTTTCCACCTTCTCTTTCAGTCTAGTGTGTCTATAGGTGAAGTGGGTTTCTTGAAGGCGGTATATAGTTAGGTCTTGTTTCTTTATCAATTCAACCACTCTGTGTCTTTTAATTGGAGAATTGAGAAAATTTACATTCAGTGTTGTTACTGATAAGGACTCACTACTGCCATTTTGTTGCTTGTTTTACTGAGACTTTTCCTTTTTTATTGTCTTCCTTTGTAGTTAAGTGAATATCTCAGGTAGTATGTTTTAGTTTGTTGCTTTTCATTTTTAGTGAATCTATTATAGGTTTTTGCATTGTGATTATCATGAGGCTTACAAAAAACATTTTAGAGATATAAAAAGTTATTTTAAAGAGGTGGCAATTTATATTAGAACACAAATAAAAGAATAGAAACAAAGAAACCTAAAAAAATTTCTACACTTTAACTAAACCCCCCACCATCTTGACTCTTGGTTGTCTGAATTTACATATTTTAAAATTACCTATTTCTTAACAGGTTGCAATAGCTATTATTGTTTTTGATAGATTTGTATTTTGGACTTTGTACTAGAGTTATGGGTAGACTGCACATCACAAACACAATAATCAAGTATTCTGGGTTTGTCCATGTACTTAATTTTATCAGTGGATTATATACCTTGAAAAGTTCTCCTTTGTATGTTACTGGTTTTTTCTTTCATATTTAAGAACTTCCTTTAGCATTTTTTACAAGATGGGTGTGGTGGTGATGAAATTTTTAAGCTTTTGTTTGTCTGTGAAAGACTTTATCTCTCTTTCAAATGCGGGTGACCATCTTGCAGGATACAATATTCTTGGACTGAAGGTTGTTTCTCTGAGTACTTTGAAAATGTCATTCCACTCTTTCCTGGCCTGTAAAGTTTCTGTTGAGAAGTCCCTTGCCAGATGAATTGAGGATCCTTTATATTTGCTTCTTGTCTCTTGCTGCTTTTAGGATCTTCTCTTCATTCTTGAACTTTGTCCTTTTGGGGAGGTCTTGGTTCCTAGCTTGCTGTTGTTTCTTGTGGGTATATGGTCTATGTCTTTGCACTGGAGGATGAGTGATTTATTCCAGTTTTCTCTGCCCAGCTTGCTTTGTTTTTTTATTGAACATATCTACTTTAATGAATCTGCTAGGTTGCTGCCTCCTTTCTGGCTCTAGGTGGCGCCTTAAGCCCAGATTCATCTCAGTTCTAGTAAATGGTCAGAATACTGTTTGTCCCAAATTGGAGATATTTCAAAGGATTACTTCAGCATTGTGAGATAACCAGGCAGTTGGTAATGGCTGATGTCCATGGAACCTGGGGAACATATCTCCTATAGTCACTCTTATTTGACATCTCCTTTTGCTGAGATATCCAGAGCAGGGTTTCTAGGTTGGGGATGGTAGTCCCACCTCTTCTTGTTGTCTCTGCCTGTTTTCCAGAGTATTTCGCCCTTCAGGCAGTCATTAAGTCACTCTGCTACCTTAAGAAAAGGATAGATCTTCTGCCAACGAGCCCAAGAAAGTGAGAAAGCTGGTCGACCACCTCAAGTTCACTTTTTCCAGTGTAGGAACCATGAGTTAAGGGGAACTTTTCTGCATATTTGGTGCCTGGAAGAATGGGGGGAGCGGCATCACAGACGTCAAAGTCCAGTTCTTTCACCATCTGCTCAGAGTTTTTCCACCTCTCTGTGGCCCTGGGAACTCTTTCATCCTCATACTTGAGCTCTGGGTTGTTGCTGGTGAAGATCTTGGTGCTGTATATTTGTTTGTGTGGGGGTGGGGGGAGAAGAGAAGCCAGCTTGCTTCTATGCCACCATTTTGAAACCAGAAGTCCTTTGAGTTCATTTTAATAGCTTGATACTTTTAAATGACATTATCAACTCTCTTATGTTGTTAGTATCGTCAACATAATTTTTTATGGGCTTTCCCAGAATCTTCTGGCTACAATCACCAGCTAGAGTAAGTTCACTTTCTAATAAGTGATTTTGTTAATAGCCTTTGCAGCATTAAATATCATCAAATGTTTTGGAATTTGGGTTTGTAAGTAGGCTCAGGTTTTGATTTTGGTCCTCTGGGTTCTCAATCTAGAGCTAGGACTTCACATAACAATTTGGAGTTATTTCTCTTAGGAGTGCTGTACCTAATTATGGCACTAGAAGAGGCTTGGCTCAAGCCTATTACTGTTTGTAAGGATAAGTCCACATTCTTCCTTTGTCAGCAAGCAAAACAGAATCCTAGGCAGCACTATGGAACTGTGTGTATGCTGTAGGGGGGTGGAGAGGGATGGTGTTTTCAACCTTTTTTCATGAGTAGAGAATAAATCCAGATCTTGGCTTCAAGTAAAGTTAAACTGGCCAGTCCCCTGTCTTAAGTCCTTTTAGACTGCTTTATACTGTAGGTGACAAACTCTGATACTGTCATTTCTAGGAGCCTGGCAAAATCATAAGTTTATGATGTTATGATTTTCTCATTTTATTCATGAAAATGTTCATTAATATTTGAAATCAACTGTTATTTTTGTTTTCTCTTTTTAGAATGTATTCATTATTGCTCTGTTTTTGGATCAGAGAGCAATCTTTTCATGTATTAACCTGAAAGTTTTCTAGCATTTCATTTATAAGCAATTTTTATGCCTGGATAACATGACACATGGATATTTTTACAAAGCTCAACTTTTAGTAATCTTTAGAAGGATTAGAAATAATATGCAACATGTAGAATAATCCACAGAGGAGATAACATTTAGATTTCCCAGTGGAATCTTATAGAAGAGAGATAATTACTTTTCTGTCAACTTCACTCAAGTGACAAAGATGTGTTTTAAGAGCCTGTATTTAAAACATCACATTGTATCTCATAAATATATATAATTATTATTTATCAATTAAAATTAAATTTAAAAGACTTTTCTATTATGGAACAAAAAAATAATAAAAAGAAAAACCTATATTACCTTAATGTGTCTTTCACTATAGATTAAAAATGAAGTTTCTTTTGTTGCTTAAACATTTTCTAATAAAGTACCATAATAATGAAAAATTTCATCTTATTCCATAGGAAATCTCTTACGGTAACTTAAACTGAGTAAAAAACTTCTGGTTCCATACAAAGTGAAGAATTATTTTTTCTAGATCTGTAAAGAATGATGATGGTACTTTGATGAGGATTGCATTAATTCTGTAGATGACCTTAGGTAATATTGACATTTTAACGATAATGATTCTACCAATCCATGAACAAGGTAGATTTTTCCATCTGTTTTCATCTTCTACAATTTCTTTTTTCAGCATTTCATAGTTCTCCTTGTATAAGTCTTTTGTATCTTTTGTTAAATATATTCCTAGATATTTAATGTATTTGAGGCTATAGTAAAAGATATTGCATTTTTGATTTGAGTTTCGGCTTGACTGTTACAGGCATATATGAATGCCTCTGATTTGTGTATATTGATTTTGTAACCTGAGACTTTACCGAATTCATTTATCAAATCTAGGAGTCTCTTGGACGAATCCATGGGGTTTTCTAGATATAATATCATATCATCAGCGAAGAACGAGAGTTTGATCTCATCTGCCCCCACTTGGATTCCCTTAAAACTCCTTTCTTACCTGAATGCTATAGCTAGAACTTTGAGCACTATGTTGAATAGAAGAGGAGACAGTGGGCATCCTTGTCTAGTTCTGGTTTGAAGTGGGAATGGTTTCAATTTTTCCTCATTCAGTATGATATTGGCCATGGGTTTGTCATAAATGGACTTGATAATTTTAAGGTATGAGCCTTCTGTGCCTATTTTGCTAAGAGTTTTTATCATATAGGTGTGTTGGGCTTTGTCAAATGCTTTTTCTGCATCTATTGAGAGAATCATATGGTCTTTGTCCTTGTTTTTATTTATGAGGCAAATTGCATTTATAGATTTGTGTATGTTGAACCAGCCTTGCATCCCTGGAATAAAGCCCACCTGGTCATGGTGAATTATTTTTTTGACGTGCTGCTGAATTCTATTTGCTAAAATTTGTTGAGGATTTTTGCATCTATATTCATGAGGGATACTGGTCTGTAATTTTCTTTTTTTGTTGCATCCTTTCCTGGCTTTGGTATCAAGGTGATATTGGCTTTGTAGAATGAGTTAGGAAGGGTACCATCCTTCTCAATGTTGTGGAATAATTTCTTAAGTAAAAAGAACAAACTGTAAGGCATCAGTCTTTCTGACTTCAAGCTGTACTATAGAGCAATAATAATTAATTCAGCCTGGTTAATGGCACAGGAACAGAAGCATCGATCTTTGAAATAGGGCTGAGATTTCAGAGATGAAACCATCTGCATATGGTAACATAATCTTTGATAAAACAGACAAAAATATACATTGGGGAAAAGAATCTCTTTTCAATAAATGGTGCTAGGAAAACTGGATATCTACATGCAGAAGAATAAATCAGGATCCCTACCTCTCACCTCTCACAAAAATCCACTCAAGATGGATAACAGACTTAAGCCTAAGGTATGAAACCTTAAGAAGAAGATGTTGGGAAAACCCTTTCAGACATTGACCTAGCCAAAGAATTCTTGAAGAAGACCCCCAAAGCAATCACTGCAGCAACAAAAATAAACAAATGGGATCTGATCAAATTAAAAAGCTTCTGCACAGCTATGAAAACTATCATTAGAGCAAATAGACAACCTACACAATGGGAGAAAATATTTGCTTCCTACACTTCTGATAATGGTCTGATAACAAGAATCTATCTAGAACTCAAAAGAATTAAAAGAAAAAATCAAACAACCCTATCAAGAAATGGGCAATGGAAATGAACAGAAACTTTTCCAAAGAAGACAGAATAATGGCCAGCAAACATATAAAAAAAATGCTCAACATCTCTAATCATTAGAGAAATGCAAATCAAAACCACAATGAGATATCACCTAAACCCAGTGAGATTGGCCTGTATAAAAAAATTCCAAAACAACAAATGCTGGCGAGGATGTGGAGAGACAAAAACACTCTTATATTGCTGGTGGGACTGCTAATTAGTGCAACCTTTGTAGAAAAGAATTTGGAGATACCTCAAACAGCTAAAAATAGAAATATCATTCAACCAAGCAATAGCATTATTAGGCATCTACCCAAAAGAGCATAAGACATTCTATAAAGACATCTGCACCCAAATGTTTATGGCAGCACAATTCACTATAGCAAGGACGTGGAAGCAACCCAAGTGTCCATCAGTTCATGAGTGATTAAAATTTGGTATATGTTTACAATGGAATATTACTCAATTCTAAGAAATGACAGTGAGCTAGCACCTCTTATATTATCCTGGATTAAGCTTAAGCCCATTATCCAAAGCCAGGCAACACAAGATCAGAAAAATAGGCTCCACATGCACTCGCCATCAAATTGGTACTGATTAACATTATGGTGCTCAAATAGTGGTAGTGTTCATCAGGGGTTGGGGGGGTAGACCCACATCTGAGGGATGTGGTGAGCATTATGGAGAGGAAGGGCATATCTCTAACCCTTGCTAGGGAGAGGCAAAGATATAAAATGCAACCAAAATGTTCATACTTTCATATTTTCTTGAAATAAACAAAACAAACAAAAAAATTTCTAAGTCATACATACGGATAAACGGCTTCTTTAAGGTTTCCAAAAATCTGTTTCCCAATCGTTATGATGGCCATCTGGGTTGTTAATTCTATTAGACAGCCTCCAGGATCACACTAGTTGGGAGAAAGAGGGGAGAAAAAAGAAGTAAACAATGAAAGATGGAATTTTACAACAACTAAAAGAGATCATAAACCATAAGATTAGAATCTCAAGATCTTGGTTGGAAGGAATATTAAGGGATTTAAGAGATATTTAACCTAATAGTTCCAAATATGATTAAAGACCAGTGCCAGGTTAGCTGGATTAGATTGATCTGATTGTATAAAAAACATAGATTACTGGGTACCATTCTTAGAAAAGTCTGAACCTTTCTGTCCAGGTTAGGGTTTGGAGTTGGTATATTCTCCATGTGATTTGGATGTGCAGCCAGATTTGGAAACCATTGATCTGGTCTAAGTCTATAACCCATAGTGAAGCCTTTTCTCCAGAAAGTAATCATTCTTCCTTTGCTGGAAGCTTGCAAGAATAAAGAGCTTACTTATCCTATTATTATTTTACTACCAATCCACAGGCACAATATAACTTCTTGCCCAAAATGTACTAGAAAGTCTATCAAATTACAGGATTCATCTGTGGAGAGAGTCCGTGTCTAGACTTCTCTAGCAGCTTGACAACAAATGAATCAGAACACATATAAGGTACTGAGTCAATAATGTGTTACTAAAGCCACAGACCGCATCTCTCAAGAGAATTCTTACCTCTTCACTTCTCCACACATCAAACAAATATGTGTATTTTCCAGGATAGCCCACCAACTTCCCTTTAAAGAAAGCTACGTAGAAGCAGGATGAGTAATAATTTACAAACTGAAACAGGAACATTTTCAAGGTAAGACTGCTCTCGTACTCCTGGTAAGTTCGAGGAATTTCTGGTAAATAAAAAACACCAATGTTTAATGCACCTTCCAGTTTCTCCTTGAACTTGTACTCCCTGGGACAAGTGGACATCTAGTCATTCTGAGAACCTATATAAATACTTCCCACTCTAGTAACACCAGACCACTATCAATTGTGCTAGGCTTTCTGTTAGATACTTTGTATTAATCCAACCACTTGAAAGGCGTAGGAAGCAGTCATTATCATAGTTAGAGGAATAGAATACATGTCTGCCAGTCACACAGGCAAAACATAAATTTAAACCGATGTAAAACTGAGGAGCCTTATGCTCATCCAAACACAATATGCTATCCCATAAACATAAACACATCACCTCTCTCTCTCTCTCTCTCTCTCTCTCTCTCTCTCTCTCTCTCTCTCTCTGTCTTTGACTCTGCCTCTCTCTGGTTTAAACAAAGTAAGCTCTGCCATGGGGCAGGGATGATTTCCAACTGCATTGTGTTTTCCTCTTGAATTACATGTCTATGTTAATTTTGAAAACAATGTGACAGAAAATGATGGCAGAAATAATACACATTTCACCTATCATTTAAAATGCATGGTCATGATCTGTCATTTAACACATTCCAAGACAAGGAAATACTGAATTCTCTTCACTCCACAAAGAACATGATGAGGCACAAAAGAATAAGGGACAAAGAAATTAAAGTACCTAGGAGTATACTTAACCAAGGAGGTAAAAGACCTCTATAGAGAGAACCATGAAACACTGAGGAAGGAAATAGCAGAAGATATAAACAGATGGAAATCCATTCCATGCTCGTGGATCGGCAGACTCAACATCATTAAAATGTCTATACTACCCAAACTGATCTACAGATTCAATGCAATACCTATTAAAATCCCATCAGCATTCTTCACAGATATAGAAAAAATAATTTTACGCTTCGTATGGAACCAAAGAAGACCCCGAATATCAAGAGCAATTCTAGGCAACAAAAACAAATTGGGAGGCATTAATATGCCAGATATCAAACTATACTACAAAGCTGTTGTAATTAACACAATCTGGTATTGGCACAAAAATAGGATTATTGACCAGTGGAACAGATGTGAGAATCCTGATATAAAACCACCCTCATATAGCCATCTAATCTTTGACAAAGCAGACAAAAACATACGCTGGGGAAAAGAATCCCTCTTCAATAAATGGTGCTGGGAAAACTGGATAGCCACTTGTAGAAGGTTAAAACAGGACCCACACCTTTCACCTCTCACAAAAATCAACTCACGCTGGATAACAGACTTAAATCTCAGGTATGAAACCATTAGAATTCTAGAGGAAAATGTTGGAAAGACTCTCCTAGACATCGGCCTAGGCAAAGAGTTTATGAAGAAATCCCCAAAGGCAATCAAAGCAGCAACAAAAATAAATAAATGGGACATGATCAAACTACAAAGCTTCTGCACAGCCAAAGAAACAGTCATGAAAGTAAACAGACAACCTACAGAATGGGAGAAAATTTTTGCATCCTACGTATCCGATAAAGGGCTGATAACTAGAATATACTTAGAACTCACGAAAATCAGCAAGAAAAAATCAAATAACCCTATTAAAAAGTGGGCAAAGGACTTGAACAGAAACTTTTCTAAAGAAGACAGAAGAATGGCCAACAAACATATGAAAAAATGCTCAACATCCCTAATCATCAGGGAAATGCAAATCAAAACTACAATGAGATATCACTTAACTCCAGTGAGAATGGCCTTTATCAAAAAGTCTCCAAATAGGCCGGGCGCTGTGGCTCACGCCTGTAATCCTAGCTCTTGGGAGGCCGAGGCGGGCGGATTGCTCAAGGTCAGGAGTTCAAAACCAGCCTGAGCAAGAGCGAGACCCCGTCTCTACTATAAATAGAAAGAAATTAATTGGCCAACTGATATATATATAAAAAAAAAAATTAGCCGGGCATGGTGGCGCATGCCTGTAGTCCCAGCTACTCGGGAGGCTGAGGCAGGAGGATCGCTTGAGCCCAGGAGTTTGAGGTTGCTGTGAGCTAGGCTGACGCCACGGCACTCACTCTAGCCTGGACAACAAAGTGAGACTCTGTCTCAAAAAAAAAAAAAAAAAAAAAAGTCTCCAAATAACAAATGCTGGCGTGGATGTGGAGAGAGAGGAACACTCCTACACTGCTGGTGGGACTGCAAACTAGTTCAACCTCTGTGGAAAGCAATATGGAGATACCTTAAAGCGATACAAGTGAATCTACCATTTGATCCAGCAATCCCATTGCTGGGCATCTACCCAAATGATCCAATGACACTCTACAAAAAAGACACCTGCACTCGAATGTTCATAGCAGCACAATTTATAATCGCAAGGCTGTGGAAACAGCCCAAGTGCCCATCAATTCAAGAATGGATTAATAAAATGTGGTATATGTATACCATGGAGTACTATTCAGCTCTAAGAAACAACGGTGATATAGCACATCTTATATTTTCCTGGTTAGAGCTGGAACCCATATTACTAAGTGAAGTATCCCAAGAATGGAAAAACAAGCACCAGATATATTCTCCAGCAAACTGGTATTAACTGAGTAGCACCTAAGTGGACACATAGGTACTACAGTAATAGGGTATTGGGGAGGGGGGGTGGGGGGGCGGGCATATACATACATAACGAGTGATAGGCGCACCATCTGAGGGATGGTCATGCTGGAGACTCAGACTTATGGGGGGAGGGGGGGAAGGGCATTTATTGAAACTTTAAAATCTGTACCCCCATAATATGCCGAAATAAAAAAAAAAAAAAAAGAATAAGGGAGAGTGCTTTCCTGAGTTGAGGATCTCTCGAGAGCATGAACTGATCTAGCCAAATCCGTGTCATTTTCAGAAATACGGAAATAGTAACACAAATTACTCTAAAGGCACAGATAGCTCCTCCATATTAGTAATATTTAGCTGCATTCCTACAAAACCTTTATTGATTTTTCTCACTGATTTTTCTCAATGAAGAGGCCAGTGACTTTTTAGGTGCTTTTAAAGCAGTTTATATGCTGTGATTTTCTTGCTGTCGCTAGCAGAGAAAAGGAGTAAAACTGAGAGAGAAGTACAAGCTTGAAGATAATGTATAATGAAGGTTACTTCTTCCCAGTGCTCTTTTTGCTTAGCATCAGCATGATGTCAGTGTAAAGATTTAGAGGAGGAGCTGATGCCCCTGGGAAAGCACTCAGAGAATAAGCTGATGCCCTAAATCTCTAATCTTATTTCCAACTTGTCACTGGCAAGACCAGGGGAGAGTGTGCTCTGTGCTATTCTCTTTGACTGAATCCTTACTTCACCTGTGGCCCCCTTCATTTCCCTCATGGAATTAGGAGAAATTTTAATATTGTAATAAGAAAATAATCCAAGTTTTAAGAGATGGCAACTGAAAAAGAAGGTACTAAATTTTAATTTATTTAGGAGGAGGAACTGATTGTTCCTGATTGCTCTGTTTGTTGATGGCTTCCAAATGCCTTCTAAGAAACATACACCTAAAATAATAGTTGTCTGTGTCTTGAGTAGAATGAGGATTTTACTTAGGATTCAACTAGGCCCGTCAAGGGAGGATTAAGATACGAATAAGCACAAAGATCTACAGAGTCCAAATTCTTTTTTCAATTCTTGTTCCTGCTTCCATTATAATGGGCCTGAATGTGGCTCTTTAGAGGATTCTGAAGTAACAGGCTATGGGTCTACCTACAGAGCAAAACTGCCTTAAAATATATCCTTAGAAAATGAACTCCTTGGGAAATGATCCAAAATGGATGTATAGCATTGGTAGAAACACTTTTTCAGGGTCACACTAATGATTTGGCCAGCTTACCCATTTTTGTAATCCAGGCAGATATCTTTTCATAAAAGAAATTCAAGATCAAGATGACAATAAAGTTCAAGCATGATCCTGTGATTGATGTGGCTATATGGGGAGTAAGGAAACTTTTGACTTGCTTTAAGGATGAATCCTTTTCCATGAAGCTAGCAAATGTAGCAAAGACTGACAGGCGGTACACAATTACAGCTACCATGCTGGAGATAACAAGAGCCATCTGAGAAAGGGAAACAGAATTGGTTACTTGGGTCTCTGTATCTCTGTGACATACACATATCTAAAACACTGACTACTTTGTTCATCTCATTATATTAAGTTTAGCAGCCTTCACATGCAAAGAAAATCAAGTCAGCCTCTCTTACCATAGAGGCCAGGAAATGAACACTGGCAAGGTAAAAGGGTTAGAGATAAAGCATATGGTAGCAGCTGGCAAAGTCTAAAATAGAAAACATGTTCATATCCATCCTGTAGGCCTCTAGCACACATTGGCAAACTATAGCAGAAGGCCAAACCCTGCCCATGGCCTTGCCTCGTCTTATATATCTCTTAAAGTTAAAACTGTTATTTTGCATTTTTAAAGCTTAAAAAGAAAAATAAAGACAATTATGTGCCAGATACTATATACGGACACAAAGCCTAAAATATACCTGGCCCCTTTACAGAAAAAGTTTGCTGACCTATGCTCTTGGTTGCAGTTAAACATGTAGAATGAAGATCACTTACTTTCCCAAGAAAAATACATTTTAAAAATTGTATTTCATTTCTCCTCAGAATGTTGCCATTATTGGTATGATATGCCACTAATATCTAATAGTTTAGATATTTATATAGATTCTGTATCAATTTTGTACTTTTCCAATATTGCAAAAGCATAAAGATGGCTCAACAGATAATTTTATCCTAAGGGTTGTGGAAGTGAGTCGAACTGAATGAGAATGAGAAATCAAAAACAGAATAATCTTTCTGGGACCATACTTGAATGTTTCTAAAAAAATGTCCTGAATTATTGTCCTTCTTTTAGTCTATCATATCTCTTCAATGATTATTATATAATCTAAGAAAACTCTTAGATTATATAACAACCTACTACTAACTCTTTTAATACAGGAAAATAAAGCTTTAACAAGAAATGTTAAAGATAAAAAATGGAATTTATGGACTGGTGGGATTAAATTATAGTCTACAACATGTATGTTTCAACTTGCTAACCCCTCATATGGTTATACCACCTCTTTTCCTAAATTTAAAGACTTAAGAAGGCACACATTTGGAAAAGAGAAGGTAGGAAATCAACTATGGTGATGGGGAAAACTGTTAGCTGAAAGGAATGAAGAAAACCTGACTCGTACACAATGTGATATAGTAATTAAATTCTTCAAGTAAAAAAAGAAACATCATCTTGTGTTTATCTCAGTGACAGAATGAACTAAAGTTGACTTTTTCATCCATTTTGTGCAGATATATTAAGTGGAGACAAAGATGAACAATTTTTCTAAAACTAACCAAAAAGTCTGTAATCCAAGTAAGTTTATTATTCTGTTCTGGTTTCAAGTGATCACTTAATTAATGAAATGTCATGAGGAAGGGAGGGACAGGCTCTGAGATAAAGCACCTGTCTTGTCTCCTAGATTTTTCCCAAAGTTCAATTACAGAAAATCCATGTAAATTATAGTCTATTTTGTATACAAGATGTAACTAAGATAAAAGACCAGGATGAGGGGAGAGAAGGATGCAAGAGCCACTGCAGGTAAAACTGTTGAGATAATCTTCATTGTTGAAAAGATGATAACAGATTTTAAAGAATGCTCACCCATAATACCACTGTGACTCCTGAACAAAAGTACCATGGAATACGAGCACATAGAGGCATGTAAGGTTCCATCTCCTGTAATGTTGGAAAATAAACCACAGAAAAGTTTTAAATCTACCCTCAAAAGTGGGACTCCAAGCAGGTGTCAAAATTATAGAGCCCAGTTAATGTAGAAACCTCTCCAAAGGGCCAATTATAGCATGGAACACTACATTCTAGCAATGGTTCTTTCTCTTGAAGTAGAAACCTTCGGGCCTCCTAGGTAAGATATCTTACACATAATATGAGATATAATAGATAATACTATTTCCTGAATATTATAGTATTCAGGGCCCAGTAGTCAGGAATCCTGAGTCAAATCTTGAGGGTTGCTGCTTAAGTAAACATGCATTAGTGATGGTGCAATTTTATTCTGATTGAATTGAATTGTATTGCTCTGTAATTGTTCTGCATGATATTAAAATTGGATGAATTCTTTATGTTTATAGGATAAACTGTGTTCTTCCACATAGCTTAGGAGTCTAGCCTTTTCTACCTCAGGCTTTAAAAGTCATTAATGGAAGATATTAATTATATCAGCTGACACTCTTAGGTACACAAAGAGGTAGATTTTACGCAAAAGAAAAAAAAACAGTAAAAAAAAGTTGTCAGAAGAAATATAAATCATACAATTCTATAAAATATAAGATTTCATATTTTAAGGATTTTCAGTGTGGTCTGAATACAAACAGAATTCTCAACAGGCAAAGCAGGCTGTTCAAGAGCTCTATAGTACCTCAAGATGTGTGTGCCCATGTGCATACATGTGACTGTATACAGGTATGTTCACTCTATGTGTGTGCTCATGCATGTGTATGCATATTTCTGTGTATACATGTGTTTGTGTCCATGCCTGTGTGTTCCCAATACAAACTCATAAGTGAGAGTAGAGTTGTGTTTAAACATTGAAGAAGCACTATAAATAAGTAAAAATAACCCTCTGTCACTTGATTTCAAAACCATTAAAGCTAAGTGAAGTAGGTGATTCACAGAGAATCATTACATATTGCTTTTCAACTGGTTTCAAATGTAAACATTCAGTACATTTTTTTCTGTTAATTTTTGACAAAGCCAATAAGTCTGCTTTTGTTTTCTTTTTGATCTCATGAAATAGGAATAGATAAACATTATGCCATTATTCTGTCAATATTTTTTAATAGTAATATATTAATAATTTCTTAATTTCAAACTGCCACACAAATTATCAATGTATTTTATGAGTTTTTTTCTCTGTTATTCAGTTACTAAATTTTTTGTGATCTTTCAATGCAATATAATAAATGTTTAGTGTATGCCTAAACTGTGGAAAGAATTTTGGGTGTTGTCCTTCAAGAATTATGTCTTGAACAATGTAAGGAATTCTATTGAAGAGACAGTGTATAAGACACATTCTATTCTCCTTTAAATAGCTGTAGGTAACACAGTGATTATAGATTATTGAAATATAGGGGCTCTAAAAATATGTAGCTGAGATCCTGGTCTGTGGAAGCAAAGTACTTTCCATTTTCACACGAAAAGAATTAAGTGCCAAGAAGTCAATGATACAGCCATTTTCTCAGTTAAGGATCCTAAAACCTAGACTTCCTCCAACTTCCTCCAACCACCAGACCTCAATGCAATGATTTCCACTATAATCAATTAAAAGGGACTATGTGAAGAAAATTTGGTCTAATAAAACAAACACTCATAAGACCACCATCTTAATACAACTACTATTTCAATTTTTCATATTAACAGTATTGTTTCATATTAACAGTATTTATATAGCCCACAGCATACTCACTATTTTCCATTTTGTTTTTTCTCACTTAGTATTAAAACTACATATTTCATGTTATGTTGCCTTGGATTTGCATTAAAATAATCTAGTGGCACAAAGGAGTAGGAGTATAAATGAAGACTGTCCATTAATTAAAAATGATTGAAGCTGGGTGACAGGTACATCCATAGAGTTCATTATCCTTTTCTACTACTTTTCTAACTACTTCTGTATGTGTTTGAAAATTGTCTCATATATATATATACACACACACATATAAGAATATATATGTATATATTAGAAACAAGTAAAGAAGTTTATATGGTTTATATATTGGGGACTACTTTGAAGACAATGTAAAATATCATTTGCGAGGCAACCTATAGTAGTGTGTCCATTGAGATATGCTGCTAATTTCAGTTTCATAGTCTACCTTAGTCACTGGATTCATTTTCCTCTGTTTACACATAGCTTCAAACTCAGGTCTTAGCTGAAGCTGCTGCTGTTCCTCTTCAAAATCCACCATGTCCCACTCATATTCCAGTCTGGCTTGTCGCTGTTTCCAAAACTCCAAAAATAATGTGACTGTGGGCATATAAACATAAAAAAAAAATCAAGAGATGTAAAAATAAAGTTAATAAGAAAATAACTTTTTTCAACTTCTCTCTTTACTACCTTTGGTTGCATGATGGTTCATATTTTTCAGGTGGTTACTCTGTCACTGTTATGTTTGATGAAAAATTATCAATTATTAACCCTAGAATAATACTGTGTAATAATATTGAAATGACTCATAAACAAAGATTCAAATTAATTTCTTAGACATTGGTCCAAGTAAGAAATTTTTTTCCTGGCACATTATTCTGTCTTTATATAGATAATCTGAAGTAATATTTAAACTTAACTTTTTACTAACCACCAAGAATTTTTTGTGTATGTCTGTTACTAAAATCATTCAAGTCATTGTTCTAACTCTTTAGTATTAGAGAAATATTACCTAAGACGCATATTTACAAAAACATAAGAGCCATTCCCCAGCATTATTATTCTCTCTCTCTCTCCCCCCTCTCCCTACCCTCTCTCTCTATATATATACAACTGTCTCTCTTTATATATATATGTGTGTGTGTATATATATATGAATTTTTTATATATAAAAACTTCAACTTTTTTTTTCTTTTTCTGCATATATCCTTGGTAAAAACTTCAACTTTCAATTGAAGAATAACATTTACAGAAAAGTACATAAAACAGAAGCGTATAATTCAAAGAATTTTTCAAAACACACCCATGTACTAATAATTGACACCCATATAAAAAATAGACCACAACCAGCACCCCAGAAACTCTCCCTAAGAGTATTCCAAGAGATAAAAGTAACTAGTATTCTAGCATCTAATATTATAAGATATCTTTGCCTGCCTTTGAACTTCACATAAATGATATCATAAAACTGATAGTTTTTTATAGCAAACTTTTTTTTTTTTGCTAAACCTTGTTGCTGTGTGTAACAAAAGTGCATTTATTTTCATTGTATAGTATTCCATTGTATGATTAAATTAAAATTTTAGTTATCTATTCTTGGTTTGATGGACATTTGTTTCCAGATATTTGCTATTACAAATAGTGCTGCCGTGAACATTCCTGTACATATGTTTTGGTGGGCATATGCAAGCCTTTCTATTGGGTTTATGTCTAGGAATAGAATACTAACACAATTAATGCTAATATAATTTTATCAACTACAAAAGATTCAACTTTTAAAATTTCTTCTAACTTACTCTCTACCTTTTGAATAATTATGAGGAATTATGGATTCTATCTGTACATTTTTACAATTCTAATCATATCCTTTTTTAAGTATCATTGCAGTCATGTAACTGCTCTCTGTGCTTCCAATACGTATCCTTTCCATTGCAAATATATTCATCAGCTTACTGCTGGTTTTTCTGTTTGTTTGCTCATGTACACATTTGTTTATGTGGTTTTTTTGTTCATTATTTAAAATTTAAGTAAATATTTACAATGTGTTAAGTGGTAAGAACACTTAACATGAAACCAACCTCTTATAATTGTGCCCAAATTTGTAAGGGCACAATTCATTATTGTTGATTATAAGTGCAATATTGTACAGATCTCTAGAGTTTTTTCATCTTGCTTAAATGAAATTTTATGCCCATTGATTAGTAACACCTCATTTCCCAATCTCCCAGCACCTGGGAACCACCATTCCATTCTTTGATTCTATGAATTTGACTATCTTAGATACCTCATATTGGTGAAATCAAGCAGTATTTGTCTTTCTGTGAAAGGCTTATTTCACTGAGCATATGTCCTCAAATTTCATCCATGTTGTCACATATGTAGATTTTTCTTCTTTTTATATTTTAAGGCTAAGTGGTATTCTATTTTGTGTGTATATATATATATATATATATATATATATATATACCACTTTTTTTTTTTTTTTCATGAGACTGAATCTCACTCTGTTGTCCCTGGCTAGAGTGCCCTGGCATCAGCCTAGCTTACAGCAACCTCAAACTCCTGGGCTCAAGCAATCCTTCTGTCTCAGCCTCCTGAGTAGATGAGACTACAGGCATGTGCCACCATGCATGGCTAATTTGTTTTCTACGTATTTTTAGTTGTCCAGCTAATTTTTTTTCTATTTTTAGTAGAGACGAGGGTCATACTCTTGCTCAGGCTGGTCTTGAACTTCTGGGCTCAAACGATCCTCCCGCCTTGGCCTCTCAGCACAGTTTCTTTATCCATTTATCTGTTGATGGACATTTAGGTTGTTTCCACATCTTGCTATTGTAAATAGTGGTGCAATGAGCATAAGAATGCTAATATCTCTTCGAATCCTGATGTGGATATTTTTTTGATAAATACTCAGAAATGGGTTTGTTGGATCATATAGTAGTTCTATTTTTAATTTTTTGAGGAACCTCCATACTGTTTGCCATAGCAGCTACACTATTTGACATTATTATCAACAATGTGCAAGGGTTCCAATTTCTCCATATCCTCACCAACATGTATCTTTGTTTTTGATAACAGTCATCTTGACAGCTGTGAGGTAATATCTCATTGTGGACTTGATTGGTATTTCCCTAAGGATTAGTGACACTGAGCACTTTTTCATATACCTGTTGGCCATGTCTTTTTTGGAAAAAAATTATCTACTTGAGTCTTTCATCTGTTTTTTAATCCGACTATTAGAGATTTTTTGCCCTGTTTGAGTAATAGGAGTTCCTTATACATTTTGGATATTAACCCATATCAAATTAATGGTTTACAAATATTTTTTTCCATTACATAGACTGCTTTTTCATTCTGTTGAATATTTCTTTTGCTGTTTGATGCAGTCCCATTTATTTTTGTTTTTATTGCCTGTGTTTTTGATGTCATTTTCATGATATAACTGCTCACATGGATGTCATGAAGTTTTCCTCTAGGAGTTTTACAGTTTTACGTCTTATGTTCAAATTTTTAGTCCTTGAGTTGACTTTTGTGTATGGTATAAGATAAGGGTCCAATTTCATTCTTTTATTTGTGCCTATCCAGATTTCCCAATACCTTTTGTTGGTGATATTTGTCCCAATTTCATTTCCTCATTTTGTATTCTTGGCACCCTTGTGAAAGATCAGTTGACTACGTATGTGTGGATTTATTTCTGGGTTCTCTATTCTTTTCCATTGGTCTGTATGTCTATCTTTATGCCAGTACCATACTTTTTTCATTATAATAGCAATATAATATGTTTCAAAATTAGGAAATGTGATGAAGCCTCCAGCTCTGTTCTTCTTTCTCAAGATTTGCTATTCCAGATCTTTGGTGGTTCCACAATAATATTTTAGTTGTTTTTCCTATTTCTATAAAAAGTTTCTTTGGAATTTTGATAGAGATTCCATTCAATCTGTAGATGACTTTGGGTAGTATGGGCATTTTAACACTATTAAGTCTTTCAATCCAAGAGCATGGGATGGCTTATTTTTTTTCCTTTAAACATTTAGAAATACAAGCAAGTTCTTCCTTTGTGTGGTTCTAATATACATGGATTTCAGTTTCCACAAATTAATTAAATAATACCATTCCCCCAACATGACTCAAATTTCAGTTAACACAGTATATTAACTGTGGGCAATTGCACATGAGTCAAATTTTGCTATTAATTCTTTAGTCTACAAATCATTATACGCAGCCTATGTGCATCATGATTAGTGACTAATCACATCACTTCTTTTAAAGTCTGTTGGTGATTGATCATTAAATATCTGTTATTCAGTTCACGTACAAACAGAAAAGCATGTATTTGTGTTGTCTCCTTGTCTCCAAATTCATGGGACATTTTACAAATATGAATAACCAACATACAGAACCGGCCAACAAAGATGAAAGTGCAGCAAAGAAATGAAAAGTGACACACTAGAAGTGAAATTCAAACCTAAATGGAATGACAGAAGAAATAGGTGACTGTGAGAATGTTGATACTGTTGCCATTAAGAAACTTTATATATACAGCAGAAGAACTTAATGAGAGCAAACTCATTGACACAAATGAGGAAAGCAGTTGTGAAGAAAGAGATGAAGATATCCCAGGGGAAGTGATGCTAGCAAAAAACTCAGTGATAGTTCATTATGTTGAAAGAACAGAAGATAACTGTCGGAAGCTAATCCTCAAACCAGATTGTCCTATCTTTAGAATATTTCCCCCATTACATTCTATTCTTTTAAAAAATCCAACTGAAATTTCATGTCTTCTAAAAAGTTATCTTAACTCCTCCAGTCAAAAAGTAATTCAGTCCTTCTCTGCTTAGAAAAAAAAGACATAGCCAACAGGTATATGAAAAAGTGCTCAGTCTCTCTTCAGTCCCCCTCAGTACTTAAAATGTACATCTATAAAATTAGGCTATAGATTGTATACCAATTAGATTGTGACTTTTTAAGTAACAGATTATATTTTACTCATTCATTTATTCATTCATTCTATCATTTAATGTTGATTGTGAATTTCATGAGGCAGAAACTTTTACTCTAATAATTTCTTTAATTCTGTATGCAGTAGATACATTGTTAGTAGGGAGAACAAAGTTTCAAGAGCCTGGTACAATTAAGCAATATTTTAATACTTGTTTGCCAAGGGAACAACTATCATAAATTTTGCACATATTTGGTTAATATGGTTATGAAACAGATTGGATGTTCTACATCTACTGCTAAAACTTTTAAATACACTAAACAGTTTAACCCTTTTTGGTCTCAAAGTTTGCAATTCTGAAGTAGAAATAGGAAAACTGGCAAACATAGATGGGACTGTGAGAGAAACTAAGAATAATATATTAATAAAATAGTTAGCAAAAAGAGTGCTGTAAGGAAAGAGAAAAGATATGCACTACAACCAAAATTGTTCCTATGATTTCCATGGATTCTTGTGTATCTATGAGTAGATAGGAATCACAGAGTTCAGATATTCCCTGAAAAGGATTTCTGAAAATTTAAGAAACCATTGGCTTAGGTCTTATCCTGCCTAAATAAGATAAGACTTTTTTCACATAAAAGAAGGAAAGCAATTAACATTTAAATTATTTATTTATTCATCATCTATTTGAATACATACCATACACCCGAACTGGAACTAGGGAGATAAAAGCCATGGTGTTTGCCCTAAAGGAGCAAGTAATCTCGTGATGAAATTGGCTTATAAACAATTATAGTCATGGAAGTATGTATACTAAAAAATTGCCTTAACCTCAAGGGCCATGTATGTGTAAATGTAAATCCCTATTTTCTAGAATAGTACTATCCCAGAGGGAGACATTTAAAAATCCTTGCTTAATTAAAGTGCAAATAAAATGAAATCATTAAATTTCTAGAATAAAGTATAGATGAACATCTTAATTATCTTGTACAGAGAAAGGCTTTTCTACAGAAATACAAAAAACAAGAAAAGCCATAAAGGAAAGTTTCATAATCTGGTTACATATATTAAAACTTCTATTGCTATAGCCAGGACTTCCGGCACAATGTTGAATAGAAGTGGAGATAGTGGGCAGCCTTGTCTGGTTCCAGTTCTAAGTGGGAATGCTTTCAATTTTTCCCCATTCAGTATGATGTTGGCTATGGGTCTGTCATATATGGCTTGTATCATTTTTAGGTATGTTCCTTCTATGCCTATTTTATTAAGTATTCGTATCATGAGGGAGTTTAAAGGTATCCAAATAGGGGCAGAAGAGATCAAACTTTCACTGTTTGCTAATGATATGATATTATATTTAGAAACCCCAAAGATTCAACCAAGAAACTCCTGGAATTGATAAATAAATTTAGTAAAGTCTCAGGATACAAAATCAATACACAGAAATCAGAAGCATTCATATATGCCAACAACAATCAAATCGAGAACCAAATCAAAGACTCAATTCCCTTCACAATAGCAACAAAGAAACTAAAGTACCTAGGAATATACTTAACCAAGGAGGTAAAAGACCTCTACAGGGAGAACTATGAAACACTGAGGAAGGAAATAGCAGAGGATGTAAACAGATGGAAATCCATACCATGCTCGTGATCGGCAGACTCAACATCATTAAAATGTCTATACTACCCAAACTGATCTACAGATCAATGCAATCCTATTAAATCCATCAGCATTCTTCACAGATATAGAAAAAATAATTTTACGCTTCGTATGGAACCAAAGAAGACCCGAATATCAAGAGCAATTCTAGCAACAAAAACAAAATGGGAGGTATTAATATGCCAGATATCCAACTATCTACAAAGCTGTAGTATATTAAAACAATCTGGTATTGGCACAAAAATAGAATATGACCAGTGGAACAGATGTGAGAATCCTGTATAAAACCATCCTCATATAGCCATCTAATCTTTGACAAAGCAGACAAAAACATACGCTGGGAAAAGAATCCCTCTTCAATAAATGGTGCTGGGAAAACTGGATAGCCACTTGTAGAAGGCTAAAGCAGGACCCACACCTTTCACCTCTCACAAAAATCAACTCACACTGGATAACAGACTTAAACCTAAGGTATGAAACTATTAGAATTCTAGAGGAAAATTTTGGAAATGCTCTCCTAGACATCGGCCTAGGCAAAGAGTTTGAAGAAGTTCCCAACGGCAATCATAGCAGCAACAAAATAAATAAAGGGGACATGATCAAACTAAAAAGCTTCTGCACAGCCAAAGAAACAGTCATGAAAGTAAACAGACAACCTACAGAATGGGAGAAAAATTTTGCATCCTACGCATCTGATAAGGGGCTGATAACTAGAATATACTTAGAACTCATGAAAATCAGCAAGAAAAAATCAAATAACCCTATTAAAAAGTGGGCAAAGGACTTGAACAGAAACTTTTCTAAAGAAGACAGAAGAATGGCCAACAAAAATATGAAAAAATGCTCAACATCTTCAATCATCAGGGAAATGCAAATCAAACCACAATGAGATATCACTTAACTCCAGTGAGAATGGCCTTTATCAAAAAGTCTCCAAACAATAAATGCTGGCGTGGATGCGGAGAGAGAGGAACACTCCTACACTGCTGGTGGGACTGCAAACTAGTTCAACCTCTGTGGAAAGCAATATTGAGATACCTTAAAGTGATACAAGTGGATCTACCATTTGCGCCAGCAATTCCACTACTGGGCATCTACCCAAAAGATCCAATGACATGCTACAAAAAAGACACCTGCACTCGAATATTTATAGCAGCACAATTCATAATCACAAGGCTGTGGAAACAACACAAGTGCCCATCAATCCAAGAATGGATTAATAAAATGTGGTATATGTATACTATGGAGTACTATTCAGCTCTAAGAAACAATGGTGATATAGCAATCTTATATTTTCCTGGTTAGAGCTGGAACCCATACACTAAATGAAGTATCCCAAGAATGGAAAACAGCACCACATATACTCACCAGCAAACTGGTATTAACTGAGCAGCACCTATGTGGACACATAGGTACTACAGTAATAGGGTATTGGCAAGTGGAGGGGGAGGGGGGCGGGTCTATACATACATAAAGAGTGAGATGTGCACCATTGGGGGATGGTCATGCTGGAAACTCAGACTTGTGGGGGGAGGGGGTAAAGGGCATTTATTGAAACGGGGGAGGGGAGAAAGGGCATTTATTGAAACCTTAAAATCTGTACCCCCCATAATATGCCGAAATAAAAAAAAAACTTCTATTGACTATGAATAAGGTCAAATGTAAATGATGAATTGAAAAAGTATTTGCAATTTCTGTGGCAGACAAAGGGTTACTGTGTTTATTATACAAAAGCACCTGTGAATTATTATAAAAATCAAATACAAAGTCATGGAGAGCCCAAGGTCAATAAATATTAGAACTATGTTTAATATTCCTTGTGATCAGGCAACTGCAAATAGAAACCAAAATATGATAGCATTCTCATCCATTAAACTGTAAATGATAAAAAAAATTGCCAATCCCTAAGCTTATCCAGGGCTGGAAAACTGAAAAACTCACAGAATGTTTGTAAAAATATAAACTGGTCTGTGTAAGGCAATATTGAAATACATAGTAAAGCTTTAAAATTAATAAATATAAATATTCCCCAGAAATTCACCTGCTAAGAATTCATTCTTAGAAGGTAATTATACAAGTATAAAAAGATGTTTATTCTAGCCTTACTTATAATGGTTAAAAAATTTAAAAAATGGAAGTGACCCAAACATCCAAAAATAGAGAACTGGTTAGACCAAATGTGATAAATTCATAAAAGGCAAATCTATTCGGTCATCAATGCAGAGTTGTGTACATGCATATACATGCAAACCCCAACATAGTTACTGCTATGGGAGAAGTTTCATCACTCATTGTTTGTTGAATAATAAAGAGCTGGCTTAAAACTATGTAACTATTATGCTATTTATGTAAAATTCTATGAACACACATACCCACTCACATAGAGTGAAAGATGCTAAAAAATGATGGTCAAAATAATGATATTTTCAGTGATTTTAACATTTTTTTCTTCCCCTTCTATATATTGCTTGAATTTCCTATGATGGGTACATATTTCCCTCATAAACAAATCAAAAAGTTTTTTAGAAAGCACTTCCACCCTCCACTACAATGCATAGCATTCATTATTTTCAGGACTCAACCCCTTAAATTATTGTTGGTCCTTTAACCTGGATTGCTTTTTCTTCACATCTTCTCTGCCAACTCATCAATTTATTCAGCTTAATATCAGAAGTTGTACTATAACAAATGTCATTGAACTTCTGTTTTCATAGAATTTGGCCAAGATCCTCAAAAGCCAAAGGTAAATCAATGCACTACAACAACAAACTTTTCTGAAAGGAATTACTGATGGTTGCACTTCTTCACAATGCCCATTTTACGGTGTTGCTGGGTGTTTCATGCATGGCTGCCTTTTGGTAAATATAAGGCTGGGTGTTGGTGCACAATGTCTCCCAATGGAAACAACTGGAAACTCTAACAATCTATTTGTTATAATTTGTGCATCTATTATTCATTTTAGATTCGAAGTAATGATAGGCAGGATTTGGCAGCCTCCTCATGAACAGCTGTCTATATACCAACTTATCAAACCTGGGGTTGGTGGTGAATTGTAGTTAAGATTTCTAGATCCTCTGTTCTTACTTTGAATCTAGGCTGCACTCTTCAGACCATAGCAACCAAGCAGAAATCACAGAAAACCATAAATACCTCTGGTTTGTAAACATACCCACAAATTTTGATGTTATTTTCCCTGGATAAAGCAACCCCTGCCTAGTTTTGAAATGCACATATTTGTGTTTGTTAGATGTTTTTTTTAATTGGAAAGGAAAATGTCTATTTTTCCCCAAGAGCCCTAAGTTTAGGGATATATTTTAGACCAGTCTTTTGGCCTCCTCTTACAGAGTTATTCTTATAGAAAATATTTTCCTCACTGATAATAGGAACAACTTCATGACACTTGAACTTCCCATCTGAAATGGGAAAAATGATGTACTGGGTGGGACATTTCCAAGGTTAAGAGGAACTCTATGTTATATTGGAAGATTTTTAACAAATGAAAGTGGAAGCTAAAACTAGAACTAGACACATAGAATTGAGATTCAACATTTCTGTATTGGTTTTCAAGCTTTTGGTGTTTGTTCCAGTTTGTATCCATGACTAAATATCCTCTAGCCACCAAATATTTATGTGTAGTTTCTCCTGAGTTAAGTCCTTATTGGTCCTGCTTTTACCGTGGCACTGGGAGACAGTGGGAAATGAATACATTTGATGTTTCAAAAATTATATTCTCTCTTAGAGAAATGAGCACATGTTTAATAGAGATCTTTGTGGATCAAGAACCAATGGCCACTATTGTGGACTCCATCGGTGTACTGATGTTAGCAAAGACACAATGATCTACAACCACTTTTAGTATATAAGATATGCAATCCGTATATGGATTATATGGATGGACCATATAACACATTAATCTGGAGAAAGCTGTTTTTTACGGAACTATATACTCACCCCAAATTCCCATGAATACTGCAAAGAACACTGTTGATTCATTATCAAACAAATGGGACAACTGTAAAAACAACAGTAACGTCAAAAAGATCAGTTAGTATTAAATGTAATACAAAAGGAGGGAAATTCCAAGTCTTTTCAACATACCACAATGTATACATACCTTTGAAGCTAAACAGGTACTATTTAGTCTCCAATAATCGCACACTGAATCACAGAGTGGACACATGATCATCTGACCTCCAATATCAGGGTCACAGGTTTCCACGCTGCAGGAGGAACAGCCAAGTTATCTTAAAAGTGACAGGTGTTTGGGAGAAAATCTAAGCTGCTCTTATTAGGATAACTGTTTATATAGCTTCTTACATATGACTGAAGGGACAAGGAAGCAGCAATTTTTGTAGTAAATCATGCTTTGAGAAACAGAATCTTTAAGAGCTCATCAATAAAAACAGACTTTCCATAAAGCATGAGGTGAAGGGCAGTTGCTATGTCTGGGTCTTTTTCAAAAATATCAATTTCTGCTGCCATAAGGAAACATTCTGAAGCAAATTCCAGGGAAATAATAACAACAGTTTCAGTTAGCAGAAGATAAAGATATTTTCTCTATTTGGGCACCTCAGTTGCACTTACCTGCTTCTGTTACGTTCCATTGATAGTAAACCATAAATAAAACAAGCTAAGCCAACTACAGCAGCAAAGAACAGCATTTCTGTGTAAAATCCAAGAAAAACAAAATAGATGGCAATTTTTTCTCCAAAATAATTCCTGTGAAAGACAGTAAAAATAATCAGAGGTTGGAAGAATGTTATAGTCCAGAGAGCCTTGGTATTCTATTGAGACAGGCATGTGTGCCAATTTTGGCCCCATTACTTTCTAGCTATGTTAATTCTGGTAAGGTTATTAAACTCTCTAAACTTTAGTTTCCACATCATAAAATACAGGATAATGCTTATTCTATAGTGTAAGGATTGGTGTAAAGATTAAAAGACATAACATGTATAAGTAGGAAGCCAATTGAATAAAATTTGAATTTTGATTTTAAATAATATGATAATTAGAAGAGCCTCTACATTTTAAAGAGTTTAAATGTTGCTTTTTTTAAATAAACTGCAGAATATTGTGCAATGTAACTTCTAGCAATTAAAACATCAAAATCACATTCATAATTTGCATGGACTTTTGCTTTATCTCTCTTTTCTAAAATTGAAGACAATACTCTGATCACACTGTATAAATTTCCAAGTTTTGATCTCTGGTGGATGTTTATAGAATTCAGACATAGGTAGCAGTCTAAGGAATTAAAAATGACTACTTAATAAAAATTCTATGAAATATGCAGTTCATATCTTGCTTTGCAAAGAGTTGAAAAGTGACAACATTACTTGGCATAAATGTTCAAGTCTCATAACTAAGTTTTCTCTTTTTAAAAAAACACACCGAGTCCCCATTTAGGAACCAGAGAATATAGTTTTCTCTACTTCTGAAAAACCAGAAGTGTTGTTGTTTAACCAGATTAATCCTCCTCCTTATTCATACAGGGAGAGCTCATCTCACCAAATCTGTGAGCCTTTCTACAGTTTCCTAGGAAACTAAATGTGATCCCTTTTGGGTTCTAAGAACATGTTATAAAATTCTATGACAGCACTAATTATTCAATTGTAATTTCCATATATGCTCAAAACAAGGCAACTCTGAACATAAAGGTTATTAACTTCATTTCCCAATGGGAAGATTTTAAAATATATTTCTCATATTCAATATTTACTTTACTGAACCACTCATTTTTCAGATTTCAAAACTATTTTTAATTAAATAGGCATTTTTCTGCCTGCACAATGTTTTCTTCATTCTTTTCAATGATGATAAACATTTCTGCATTATTTTCTCATATTCAGTTTTCCAAATATCTATAAACTTCAAATTAAATTATAATGCTATCATATTCCTTGTTAATCTGCCATTCACAATTTCCTCAAGTTCACTCAGTGAATGAACCTACTCTGTTCCAGGTTTTTATTTAAAAAAAATATAGCAATTACTGTAATATTACCTAACATCAAAATAACAAAGTATAAAAATATTTTATTTTTTGGGCTTTAGTTTTCACCATGTCTATTTCCATTTGATGTTTTAAAATTATAGAATCAATAATTCTTAGAAGGTATAAGATCAATATTACTGCTATAAACTGAAAAATTCTTTAAAAATTCATAAGGAAACTGCATATTTCAACAACTTTATTTTTAAAGGACTACTTTTTTTCTTCCTTTCAAATTTCAATAATCTTATTTTTTGAGAATTAAAAAACAAAAAGCTCTCAATAACTCTAGATCTATAATTGCTATTAAAAATATTCTCAAAAAGAGAAATTGCTGAGCATTTCTTAAACAAAATCAGATGAGCATTTATTATAGGTAGAAATGTAAAAATTACTTTATTAATACTAAACTTTGAACTTGGGTATTTAACTGTATCAGATTAACAACTAAAGTATCTTTTAAGAGTGAGCAAATAAGAGACATATCTTAGATTTGAATTATGGTAAAATTGTATAGATTACTGAAATAACATTTAAGATTTAAATTAAACTATCTTACTATTCATAACAAAGAATATAAGAGAAATTTAGTAATATGAGACTGGCTATAAAGACTCAAATATAAGGAGAGCCTTCTCTTGAGTATTTGGTTTAGAAAAAATGTACCATATACCTGTGGTATTTCTTAACCTGTCCACTTTATTTACTAGACTTTCAATTAATGTATGGCACTATACCATCTAACATAGCATCTGATAGGTACATAGATTCAGTAATGTTGGTTGTGAGATATTGTGTGAAGGGATTGGTAGATTTTTGTATTTCTAGGACAGAATACTTAGTCTGAGACATAGTAAATAATCAAAGCAATGGAGATAAGAATCAAAATGAATACAGACCTGAAAAATGAATGAATAACTGCAAATGTTTGTTCTAAAGGGATCCATTTTTATAGGGAATTCATAGACATCTGAGAAACTTAGCTATTATATTATCTTGGCATTCTAATAACACTAGACCTATATTTATTCTATTTAGTATGTGGCAGTATATCAATATATGAAGTTATTATATTGCAAAGAAAAAATGGGCTAATAGAGCACATAAAATTCAAGACTGGTATGCCAATAGTAGTAACCTTGATATTCTCATTTTTCCCAAAAATATGTTATACAACATGAAAAAATTATCAGTGCCCAAAGAGCAGAAAAACCACTTACAAATATTAGACAGGAAATGAAATGTGGTATAGAGATAACATGAAATATGCAAAATCTAGGAATTCAGATTTCTATATTCTAATTTCTTCCTAGGTACCTCATCATCCTATCTTTTTTTTTAATCCTCCATATCCAATAGTCCATTAGGTCAAATAAATTCTGCAATAAAAATCTTTTTCTAATCATAGTCTTCTTTCCTTCTTGTTACCAGTGTCTTGGATGACATCTACAATATTTACTGCTGGACAATTTTAACAGCCTCCTTACTTTCCTGAGTTTAGTCTCACATCCCCTAAATTGTCTTCTGTGTTTCCAATAAAGTGATGTTTCTAAAGCAAAAATATCAATAACCTTTTCCTCCTTAAAAGGTTTTATCGTTTCACCTTAGCATTGTTCTCCATGATTTTGTTCCTGGTAAATACTCAAATCTCCTTTGCTGACACTCCTACATGAAGAATGAAATGCACAGTGCTCTTTAGCTCAGTCCTCTGTACTTATTCTCTTTGCCTGGGAAATTTTTACCTCACTTGTTTACCTCGCACCTTACTACTCATCTTTCAAGACACAGCTCAATAATGAACACCATAAAGCTGTCCCTGAGGTTGTCATAATTATCAAACAACCCCATAAGGAAAGTACTACTATTATTCCCATCTTAGAGGTGAATCTGTTAGCGGTTAAGTAACTTAACCAAATTTATATAGCTTTGAAGAGACAGAACTTAGATTTGAATCCAGTCTAGCTAAATGCCAAGGTCCAACCTCTTAACCACTGTGTCATCTCAATTGTCTCTCATAGATTTTTGCAAAAGCATTCACTTTCCAAATGAATAGTGTAGATACAAAACCAGGAAGTTATGAAATGAAGTGGGTGAAAATAGTAGTAAAAAAATAGAATATTATGCCACTGTGAATAAAAAATAGCATCATCAAGTTTCAACTGATCCTGTGTAAGAAACTTACCTAATCAAATCAAAAGGCTGCTCCTTATAAAAATAGGAAAATCGAGCCCAATTCTGGTGAAGTATGTACCTTTCATTGACAGGATTAGGAGGTTCTGATGGCTTCCAATATTGGCCCTGACCATATTCAAGAAGAAGGTTCAAAAAAGAAAAGCAAAAGACAAAGGTGAAATAAATGAGCATCGCTTTTATGAGAATGTTAGTGAATATGGCTAAAGCTCTTGTTTACTTTTAGATTTAAATTTCATATTTCATTGATGTGACATTATATACTAAAATCTACAACTATGATAATAGTGATTTATTAAATTCTTACATCCACGTATCTAAGAACACAAGCTTTACTCAAACTGCTCACTTAATCTGAAATGCCCTTTCTTCTATACTCAAATTTGAACATAATACTCACAGCTCAGAGATTCACATCACTATATAGCTAGCTAGGACTTTAGAAATAGGCTAACACTTCTATTTTCTAGATAGAAAAATTAAACCTCAATGTGACTACTATTTTCAAAATGGATTCTAAAGAAAGTTCATGTGCAAATGTAATAATTTGTTCAATGAATTTCCATTTGAAACTTCAATGTCATGAGGCATTAACTATGTGTTTCAGCATAGCTAGTAAAGTTATCAGCTGGGAACCAAGGAGTCTTTGGGGATTTCCTGTCATGAGAGAGAATTAAGCAATTTCTAATAAAAAGGGAAGCAAATGAAAGAGCCTCCTTCCCAACAGGGCAAACTTTGAATGTGGGAGAGAGAAAATGAAATCAGTATTTAAAAATCAAACTTATGCTTACATCGTGGAGTGGGTAGGCAGATGAGTAAGTGTTAGAGTTTAGTAGTCTTTCAATCCCAAACTTTTTCTTACCATCCTCTACAGCAAAAGGACACCTTGAGAGAATATAGTATACCTACAAGGTAAGCACAAAGAGACACTATCACATTTCAGAACTTTAGGCTTTCTACATTTTTTTTTCAATCACAATTTAACAATGTCCACTTTGTCTGAATGTTAATATGGGCTCTGACTACAGACTAAATCTTCCCTTTGTTGTTTGGGAGAAGATGTAGAGTGTAGGATTGTATAGAGTTTGCAGGTATTTCAGCTCCTGGTTCTGAGAGCTTCCAATTTCCCTGGTGGGGCCAGGGGTGTGTGGATCATAATTTATTTTGCTTCTCCTGTACTAAGCTCCTCTATGAGTCTGTTGTGCCAGAATTCCTCTATAATCAGGGCTTCAAGTTGGAGTCTAATATCACTACTTTCAGTAGTGGTATTAGTTGGAGCAAGTGATTATTCAGTTGGAGGAAATGATAATTAGCCAACCTGTCATGAATGTTTATTCAATTAATTACTCTGGTGATTTTTATAAGGCCTTTTCATAATATCTGAAATTAACTCAAGATTATCATATCTCTATAATCTTTGCAAGCTCTTATATCTTTTTATCTATCAGTTTTTCCTGCATATAATTTGGGCTTTGGCATCCTCACTTTTGTATTTCTGTCAATTCAGTCTCATCTGCTTTTTGTCTTCCAGCAACTTTTCAGGATTTCCATACTATATTTTTGAATGCTGAAATTGGTCTTTTAATCATTGATTTAGATATATCCCCCCCCCCTTCTTGTACATTTCATCATTCAAGGAGTTGCAGATTGGAATAGTTGTTGTCCTTGAATCATAATTCTCTGATCTGGCCATTCATTTTAAGGGCAGCTCAATATTCCATCTTGGTAAATCACTCACAATTTATGCAAGGTAGTTTCAATTTTTATAAATAATGTGATGAATATTAACTCTTTTACATAGTTTGGATTATTTCCTTAGTAAATATTCACCAAAATAAGAACTCTGTCTTTGGGAGTTAACAAAGTGGAAAAATTTACTCTACCAGGTATGAAGACGTATTATAAAGCTATGGTAATATGTACAGTATGGTACTGTCAAATAGAAAAAATATGGATTTAGGCAAGAAAAGACTTTATTTGAAAAGATTATTGCAAGATGGGGAGGGGAAGTTTTGAAATTGAATGTCTTGATCAGGTGATCTGCAAACATCTGAAAGATCAGGCAGAAAAGGGCTTTTCTATTATAGGGAGAAATAAGCGAGGTTTGGAGATTATTTTTCTTTGTATTAAGGAGAAAGCTGTAATACACGGTCAAGTCAGCTAACAAACTACTTTGTTCTGATGGATCAGTGAGTCAATGGGGATAAACAGTTCAGCTAACCCTCTATGATACAAAGCATGAGAATTTAGAGGGAGCATGTCTGGCCTTTATTACTACAAAGTGAAGAACTGACTTTTCCATGGTGCCAAAAAGGGAAAGTGACTTGCCTCACCTTGCTTTTCTTAGAGAACTTTAATGAATAATTATAAATTCCTTCTCTGTCCCTTTGTAAATGTAAATCTTTTTAAAAGCTAAATAAACCTCTTACCAGTTTTACAAACTAGGAATGTATTTCATAAGTTTTCTGGTACCATCTTTTTAAAATGTAAACATCAAGAAAGATAGCATCTCTGTCTCCCAGTCTCTGTGGCAATTTAGCCTAGGCACCTGACTCCAAGTTGTAACCCCCTCTTGACACAGAGATATGAGAAGTTTTATTTTTTCTTTGTATAAATGCAATTAACTATCACAGATGAATTCCTCAGTTATCAGGTGAATTTAGGATGAACTATGTGGTAAATGGTGCTGTCAAGTGAAACTGGTGGGAAGGGGTATCTATGAGTATTATCTAAGTCATATGAGGAAGTGTAGTTCTTTGTAATAAGCAGTTTTCCAGAAGGAGAAGTGTGAGGGGTTTCTTTTTAACTGCCCCTGTTTTCCAGGACTAGAGAACTCAGGTAGAGTTCAATATTTAGAGTCCAGAAGTAGATCTATAAATATACAGATACTTGGGTTATGATAAAGGTAACAGTACGAAACAATATGAAAAGTTGAATGTTTTCAATAATTGGTACAAGTTGACTGACTACATGTTTGGAAGAAAAAGTGACCTACATCTTGTACTATGAACAAAAATTAGTTCCTGGTAGATTACAGTTCTCAATGTGAAAAGTAAAATAATACAACTTTTAGAAGACAAATAAGAAACTAACTTCATTACCTTGGTGAGAGTTAATGATTAAGAACATTATTCATAATGATAGGAACTTAAGAAAGTGAATTCCATTAAAATTAAAAATGTCTATTCATCAAAAGAAACCATTAGAAGAAAAAAGGGAAGCAAAAAGTAAGAAAAGATCAGTAAAATATATAATAAATAAAGGACTTATACAAAGAATACATAAATAACTTCTACAAATCAGCCAGGGAAGACCTAATTGAAAACAAGCCAGAGACTTTAGCAGGCACAAACTGCACATATAAATACTCAATAAACATATACAAGGAGCTCAATTTCACTTATACCAGAGAAATAAAAAATAAAAATGTAACAACACATGCACAGAGAATTTCCAAAGTAATGAAAATGAATGAACAAAAGTTCATACAAAAGCTAAAAAAGTCCCTAAACAATAAATGTTGGCATGGATGTGGAGAGATAGGAACACTCCTACACTTCTGGTGGGACTGCAAACTAGTTCAAACTCTGTGGAAAGCAATATGGAGATACTTTAAAGCAATACAAGTAAAGTTACCATTTGACACAGCAATCCCCCTACTGGGTATCTACCCAAAAGATCAAATGACACTCTACAAAAAAGACACCTGCACTCAAATGTTTATAGCAGCACAATTCACAATTGCAAAGTTGTGGAAACAACACAAGTGCCCATCAATACATGAGTGGATTAATAAAATGTGGTGTATGTATACCATGGAATACTATTCAGCTATAAGAAACAATGGTGATATAGCATCTCTTGTATTTTCCTGGATAGAGCTGGAACCCATTCTATTAAGTGAAGTATCCCAAGAATGGAAAAACAAGCACCACATGTACTCACCAGCAAATTGGTATTAACTGATCAAGACCTAAATGGACATATAGGAATAACATTTATCAGGTGTCGGACAGGTGGCAGGTGGGAGGAGGGGATGGGCATACACATACATAATGAGTGAGATGTGCACCATTAGGGGATTGGTCATGCTTGAAGCTCTGACTCGAGGGGGGCATGGGAAATATACATAACCTTAGCATTTGTATCCCCATAATATGCTGAAATGAAATGAAATAAATAAATAAAAAACAAAAGCTAAACTGATCATCCAAGTAAAATGTTGAGTTGAAGAAGCCAGACTCAAAAGAATACATACTACATGATTCTATTTTCATAAAGTTTAAAAACAAACCAAACTAATCTCTGCTATTAGTCTACTGTGCTGAGGAAAAAGGGAATAGTGATTGGGAGGAGGTGCTAGAGCTTCTGCATGGCTAGGGATGCTTTCTGTTTTGATTTGGTGCGGGTCACATGGCTGTACTTTGTGACAATTATGACTTGTGGACCCATTTCTAATATTCGTCAATTAAAAAAAAAGTGGTAATTTCTGGTACTGGAAAACATATGTGGCAAGCCAAGTACTCTCACATGCTGCTACTAGGACTCTAAGTTAATACATCTTTTTGTAAAGGGTGATAGTGTAATATATGTGTGTGTATATATGTATACATTATATATATAAATATATATATTTAATTGTGCTTCCAGAAATTTTACATGCAGTATCTGTTTTGCACAAAAATTACATTTATGCTGAAATTTGTAAATACCAGCTTGCAAATTCCAGAATTTGCAAGCTGGTTTATAATGTCAGAAAAGTTGGAAAACACCTCAGTAGCAATCAGAAGTGAAAATGTTCAATTAAGTCATGTTACATATATGCCTGGAGTATTAAGCAACCATTAAAATGAATAGGTAGTTTAATATAATATATAAATTTATATAATATAAACTATAAATTGTTAAGAGTGTTTTCAACTGATGAAACAAGTAATGTAAGTATTAATATAAGGAATATTTTCATTTTATGTTATATGCATCTTTAATATTTGATACCTTTTTTATCTCTTTTCTTTTAGAGATAGGGGTCTCACTGTGGGCCAGGCTGGAGTGCAATAGTGTGACCATAGCTCACTAACCTCAAACTCTTGGGCTCAAGTGATCCTCCTGCTTCAGCCACCTGAGCAGCCAAGATTACAGGCACATGCCACCACACCCTGCTAATTTTTTAAGTTTTTTGTAGAGACAGGGGATCTCACTATGTTGCCCAGGATAGTCTTGAACTCCTGTTGTCAAGCGATCTTCCTACCTCAGCCTCCCAAAGTGCTGGGATTACAGGCAGGAGTCACCACCATACCTGGCCTAATAATGTTTGGTAACTTTTACAATCAGGATGAAATTGTGTCTTACGTGTACAATTTAAAAATTTAACAAGGTAATGGCCATAGAGCTTATATTGAACTACTGGAAAATGCTTATAATATAAAATGATATGAAGAAATAATTTATGTCTTATTAATTCATTTACTCATTACTTAAAAATACTTATGCATGTCAGGTATTGGGTACTGAAGAGATAATGTTGAGTCTAGTAGGGAGATGGACACTCATGAAAAAATAATTATATTATGTAACTTAAAATCTTTTATTTTCTCAGAAGGAAATCATGTAGTTTCTAACCACACTAAGAACTCTGACCTATACCATAAGAGTACTGCTGAGATTTTGAAGGAGTGACACAATCATATTTTACAAAGATCATTCTGGGTGCCTGTATGAGAGGGTAGCAAAAGTATAGATAAGGGGATGAATTAAAAAGCAATGTAGATCTCATGAGTGACAGCTGTAATTTTGGACAATTTGGTAATGGCAGAGATGCAGAGAGAAATGGACAGATTCAAAAGATATTAAGAGTTAAACTGATGGAACCTAGTGATGTATTGAACATGGGTGATAAAGGAGTAGAAGTTAAAAGAATCTCAGGTTTCTTGTTGGTGCCTGAAAGGAGGTGCTGCTCATGGAGAGAGGATGCCTGGGAAGGGACTAGGTCCAGATGGCTTCTGTTTGTTGGTGGTGACATGTGGGAATGGCAGCTAAAAAGTCTGGCTTTAGAGAGGTCAAGTATGAGTACCTTTGATAGGAACAAATATAGATGATCTGTAGGCAGTTGGATATTAGGGTCTAAAACTTTTGGAACACTTTGCAAACTTAAGGAGAAAAAAACTTTTAAAGAACACCATCAACAAATGAACTGTATTGGGGAGGAGTACACTTATAAATTATAAAATCAAGTTGTGAAATGTTATTTGACAAAAAAGATATTGACATAAATCCATATGTTAGGCATTATCAGTGCAATGGAAAATGTTCTACTATAGATAAAATTTTGGCCTCAGTGTGCTGTAAGAAACAGTTCTCTATTCTTGAGGAGGGACTTTGTAATTAAAATGATCAGATATTTCCTATTTGTTTCTCTTCATTAACACAGAGAATTCTTTGTTATATGTGCAACTGAAATCTCATATTGATGGTATGAGCTTTTCCACCTACAAGGCTGAATAAATCTAGAACTTTGTTCATGTTAAAAAATCTGGTCTCTTCCTAAAACAAAATGTATATACACATAAACATATGTAGCTGTCATATAAACATATACAAATCTGATATACATATATATATCACATATATGTGATATATTTTGTGAGGCTCAGATGTCACGATGGTTGTGAAATGTTTTGAAAATATGAAATTCTGTATTAATGCAAGATGCTCTCATAACACTGTTCAATTTGTACATACATACATGATAGTGTTTTGGATAAGGATGGGACAGAAGGAACTTTTTCCACACTAATCTCCCAAATAACTTCCTCAATAGAGCAAAAGTAGTATTGCTCTACTACAAAGAAAGGGAAATTATGCTTTAATGTTGAATTAGCTAAGGTATTGGCACTGTTTACAGAGAACAAGTAAATGAATACTGACATTTCTATTCCTGAGCAAGTTCCTAATTTATCCCTATGAATTCACTGGGCTTTTATTAGCAACTTTTTAATGTAACAAGTATCTCTCAAGTGCTTTACAATTTTCACATACATTCATTCTACTATTTGATTCTCACAATAGTGCCAGTATTATCATTATCTCTGTCTTAAGAGGAGTTATCATATTTAGAAAGTAGGTTAGAAAGAGTTATGACTTGAAACCAAGTCTTCTGATTACATATCATGAACTATTTGTTCTCTTAAAAGTTGCCTCTTAAGTGGCTGTTATTTAATCCTGGTAAGAAGATAAAATTTTTTGTCTGTAGATTCGTATTTTTGCAACTAAATTCTAGGAATCACATTTTGGTTTAATATTATTCTCAGTAGATTTTTTAAATATTTATTTAGGAATAGGAACTAGAAAAAAATGGAATCAAGCCTAAAGTTCCTCAGAAAAAGTCAATCTCAAGTTAAGGGTCTTGTGATTGCTGTAACCCTGGTGATCAAATTAATAAGAAACATTTCCCTGATGACTAGTGATGTTGAGCATTTTTGCCTATACTTTTTTGCCATTTGTATATCTTCAGGGAAATGCAAATCAAACTAAAATCAGATATCACCTCACTCCAGTTAGAACAGCTACTATCAAAAATCCAAAGATAACAAGTGTTGGCGAGGATGTGGAGAAAAGTGAACCCTTACACACTGTTGGTGAGAATGTAAATGAATATAGCCATTCTGAAAAACACTATGAAGGTCCCTCAAAAAATTAAAAATAGAACTATCATATGATCTAGCAACTCCACTACTGAGTATATATCCAAAGGAAATGAAATTAGTATATCAAGGAGATACCTGCACTCCCATGTTTATTGCAGCACTATTCATAACAGCCAAAATATGGAATCAACCTAAATATCCATCAATGGATGAATAGAGAAAGAAAATATGGTATATGTATACAGGGGAATACTATCTAGTCATAAAAAAGAATGCTATCATTTGCGACAATGTGGATAAATCTGGAGGACATCATGTTACAATAAGTAAAATAACTCAGGAACAGAATGACAAATACCATATCATCTTACTCATATGTGGCATCTATAAAATCTACTTCTCATAGAAGTAGAGAGTAGAGTAGTAGTTACCAGGGAATAAGGAGGGCTGAGGGGAGATATAGATGGGGAGAAATTGATCAATAGGTACAAAGTTACAGTTAGATAGGAGGAATAATTTCTGACATTCTATTGCATAGGAGGATGACTAGAGTTAACAATAATCTATATTTCAAAATAACTAGAGGAGAGGTTTTTGAATGTTCATATCATAAAGAAATGATAAATGTTTAAAGCAATGGACATGATCCAGTAATCCCATTACTAGGTATTTTACCCAAAGGAAAAAAAGGCGTTTTATAAAAAAGACACTTGCACTCAAATGTTTATAGCAGCACAATTCACAATTACAAAGATGTGTAAACAACTCAAGTCCCCATCAATACATGAGTTTATTAATAAAATGTGTATACCATGGAGTACTACTCAGCAATAAAAGATGGTGAACTAATAATATCTTTTGTAACAACTTGGATAGAACTAGAGACCATCCTTCTAAGTGAAGGTATCACAAGAATGGAAAAACAAACACCATGTGTACTCAATACTAAATTGGAACTAATTAATTAACAGTTATGTGTAAGGATGGAAGTAAAACTCAAGAGAAATCAGGTAGGTGGGAGTAGGGAGCAGGGTATGGGTAAATTCACACCTAATAGGTACAATACACACTGTCTGGGTGATAGGCACACTTATAACTTTGACTCAAACCGTGCAAAAGCAAATTATGTAACCAAAACTTTTGTACCCCTGGAATATTCTTAAATAAAAAAAATAAAGAATAAAGTGATGGATATGCTAATTACCCTTATTTGATCATTACACATGTATACATATATTGAAACATCATGTTGTATCCCATAAATATGTATAATTATTATGTGTCAGTCATAAATTTAAAAAATAAGCAACAGATAAAAAGTATAATAGCAATATAAAACCTACATCTTTTTCCTCCGAAGTTAGATCAATAATAATAATATCTAAGATCTGAACATTTGGTATATGCCAGCCAGTGTTCAAAGCTTTTCATATCTTTACTAATTTAATTCTCAGGGTAATCTATGAAGCAGACATTATTTCTATTTAATCACAAACAAACAGTGGCACAGAAACTTACGATCTTTTGGGAGAGAGGTTTTTAATGAGAAACTTAAAGATCCTAGGACTTCAAATGGAGAAGAAACAGTATTATTCAAAAGGCTGAAAATAGTTTTAAATGAAGGAAAAAAGGTTCTGAGGTTTCTCAGATTCTATCCATATATAAAAAAATTAACACATTCTATTTCCATTTGGAATGATCAATACTTCCCCACCATGCACTGAATTTATAAAACCAAATTCTAAGATGATAAAACAATTTTACAAAGATCTTGTAAAATCAGAGTCCTCTGGCTTTCAATAAAGTACTTTTGTTAGTATTGCACAATGCCTCTTTCTTTACTTTATCCACACTCTCAACCACTCATTTTTAAACAACAGTTTAAAAGTTTGGGAGGTTAACAGATTTAAGTGGTCCAAACACACTTTCAAACTTGCCAACATCCCCTGCTCATAGCCTACATAGAAACATCCTGCAGACACGATACTGAACATGCACACGTATAAAAGCACACACAGGCACACATCCCATACTTGAAGGGATGTGTTCAAAGGTCTTCTCTACCTACAATTCTGTTTCTTGAGGAGGATGGAAAGAAGGTTGATGGATCATCAATGAGGAAGAGCTCCTGCCGATGTCTGTTGAATTGGGCAGTGAAATATTCCGGCTGAGGATACTTAACATGCTCTGGGAGTTTCAAAGGCCCAAGCATATAGCTTAGGGGAGTGTGCTCAGTTCGAGGAATATCACTCTCCTGAATGGGCATTTTGATTCCCAACACTTCAGCGTAAGTAACTAATACCTCCCAAGGGGCATGAATCTTGACAAAATAAGTTCTTCCATCTTCAGAGTCCTACATAAGAAAGGCAAAATAACAAAAAGCTTACTGATCAGTTTGTTACTGAGCTGATTAAAGAAAAGAAACACAATTTTATACAATCTAATCTTTTAGCAAAACTTTGAGAAAACAAAATTTTAAAAAAGATATATATTTATACCTAAATTTACATATATATACATTTATACTTTATATATATTTGTGAGAGACAGAAAGAGAAACAGAAACATACAGAGACACAGAGATAGACAGTATTTTTAAAAGTAGATTTTGGGGTCAATGTACACTTAGCTCTAAATCCAAATTATATATGTGGTTCTGGGCAATCAAGTTTTAGTGACTAGCTATGAGCCAAGAATTTTGTTTAGGTTATATGAGGGATACCTACAAACTATAAGGTGCACTCACTCTTCTTACCCAGCTTCTTTGGTACATAGTCTACACAAACAGAAGAACTTTAGGTAATAAGGGTTCATTATATAGGAGAATATTTAAATTATAGATTGTGTGGTATAATAATATACATTTATTAGTTCAGTAAAAATTAGAGAAATAAGAACTATAGATTATTAAAACTAGAAATTATTAGAAGTTTCATAGATAGGATGGGATCTTAAATAGGTCTTCAAGCACAATTTAGAAGGAAGTTCTAGAAAAACAGTAAATGAAAAGAAGTTTCAAAGAAAATTTGGCATATTCATGAACAGAAATATTGCCTTGAGTTAAATAGCAGGTTTGCTGCAATATAGTCATGTTAACTATTATTAGATTATAGGCAGCCTTCAAACTGAGACAGTTACAAAACAAAGACCATGTCTTACCTTCCTTTGTATCCTGAATAGAAACGACATATGTCCAGTTTTAAAGTGTTCATCTAAGCATCTCATATTCAGAGAACTGATCTACTTACCTGTAAGACTACAGGCCATCAGTGCACATATTTGTAGCCAAAAGTGCTATTGTGTTGCCCGCAAACACAAAATCTATCTAGTCAAAGGCCAGAATAGAAGAAAACAACACTTAAAATAGTAAGATTCTTGTGTAAAGTGACAACTACATTTACCCTTTTGTCTTCAGTTTCCAACTCAAGACCTGTTTTTCTGAGATTTGCTTCAAACTCTCTTCTTCTTTCCTGTGGCAAAATAAATTGATAGAATCATGCAGGACACTTCTGTTTTATTGCTCAGTGATGGACAGTGTCTTACTTATCTGAAAAACTTTCCTTTAACATATATAAAAACATAAAAGAAATATAATTGAAGCTGAACCATCTCATTCTAGAAATAATTCTTATTCACTCATGAAATTTTAAATCCTCTCTGTCCATCTCATTAATCACTGCATTTATGAGTTTATTTTTGTTTGATAATTACTGCCGAATTTTGCAATATATTCATGATGCATTATTAATTATTCAAATGTGCCATTATAAAAATAATTCAATGCCAAAGAACAATTTTTAGGCTTAGAGTATTACAGTTAAATATAATAAAAACATTTGAGTCAATATACATATATTTGTTGTAATAAAGTTTTGATTGAATGAACAATAAAAGATTCCCAAGGATAAAACATTTACCCTAGGAAAAAATAATCTGGGGAAAGTCAGCTAGAAATTTTAGGAGAATGAGAAAAATAAATGATATAAAACGTCAACTATTAAAAAAGGGTTTCTGTATATTTTTTAAAAAAATGAATGGTGGTGGGTATCAAATTTCCATGGTATTTACTTTCTATGGATACATGTGGAAAAGTAATTGAGCAGGACCATTGACAATATATCCTAAGTTACATTCTTTACAACTATTGATTGTAGATTGATCAGGCTTTTAGTCCTGTGAGTCTTTCTAATGAATTCCGAAGGCTGAGGATGGTCTTGGGGGCTCCTTAAAAGGACACAAGAAGAAATAGATTCTGGGGCACAAGTGGAAGAGTTGGCTTTAGATGTGAGTAAAAGAGTTCATCTACGGTAACAGATGATACTTGTGGATGGATAGATGGTGATAGAATTATACAGAATTTCTATTCTCCTTGCTTCAGTTTTCTCAATGAAGCAGAAAAGTGTGGTCAGCTGGCATAAAGATGGGGGGGGTACTGGAGATATAAGGAGAGAAAAAAAATTATAAAATAGTCATCTAGGAGGGTAGAAGACAATAGAATAGGGAAGTAAAGTATGAATGCTAGACACCGCAAATGCCCAGTTGAGGTGCATGGGCACAAAAATAAGGTAAAATGTATCAGCGAACTGTATACTTTTCCTTCTTCATGGATGCTGGCATATAAGAGGTGGAGAGTTGGATTTAACTAAAGTTGTTGTTTTGTCAAGTAAATACAATTGAGAGAGGGCAAAACACTCTTGGTATACATAATTGAGTCATTACAATTGTTGAGCATGAGACTTAAGCTGGATAAAGACAGGAAAGAGGAGAATAAGGAGAAGTAAAAAAGTGGTAAGATAATTGCATCTTATCTTGTCCTGGTAAGATTAAAAGAAGAAGGGTATGGGTCAGATCTGAGGGGACAGTCAGACAGCTGGACAGCTGGAATGAGATTATAATGAGCTGCAGTTATTAGCAATGACAAGTTGTAGGGGAGTGAATGGCTGAGTTAGAGAAGAGGCTAAGAACATTGGAAAAGGTAGTACTAGTAACAAAGAGGCCAGAGTACCAAACTAATCATGTATGTACGCACTGAGATTACCAATGACTAAACAAAGGAGTACTGCTGGGGGGCTGACAGTGAGCCAGGAGCTAAAATTGTTGAGAAATAAAAGGGAAGACCCAGGGACAGATAAATGACAGCAAGAATACAGGCTAGCAATAAATATGATGAAATGTAAAGCTCGGAATTTAGGGACAAGGGAGGGAGAATGCAGCATAACCAACAAGATATAAAGAAGGCAATCGGTATTTCCCCCATCTCCAATGAAAGGCTGTGTAAACAAAACCACCATCACTTGAGAGGGCTGTTAGGAGAAGCAACAAACCTCAATGAGGAGTCAGGTTTGAAGGGAACATTCAGAGAAGAGATGAAAATGAGGACAGTTCATGAATTTTAGAGTCCTAGGGAAAGGGTATTCAGGGAAAGAGTGAAAGAAAGGGACAGATCTGGATATGTACAAAGTCTTATGGGGACAATACCTGTATTTTATTAATTTTTATTTTATATGACCTTACTTTGTAAGTATTTGCATAAATGTGCATGTGTGTGTGTATATACACACATGCAGATACAAATAGATTAAGTTATCAACTCATTATTTTAAACATCAAATATTTATTGAACATCCATTATGCTCCAACCACCATTCTAGGCTTTTGGTATATGGCGCTAAACAAGACAAAGTTCTTGGCCTCATAAACTTAATATATGGTGTTGACAGTAAACAAGTAAAGAAATGGATAAATAAGTTCATAAAGTAATAAGTATTATAATAACAATAAAATAGGATCAAGAATAAAGCACAATATAAAGGCTATATCAGATAGGATGGATTAGTCATATATTTTAAAAATGGAAATGTCATATAATAGGTAAATATTATACAGACATACACCTCAAATTTTGGATGTCACATTTAGTATCTAAGGTGATCTATATAAAAAAATACATCAGTTATTTGGAAAAAGAAGAAAAAGAAGTTAGTCTACAAAATACCCCCAAAATAACACTGACTTTACATGTCCATTCTTAGGCTGTGTATTTTGCCGTCTTCTCACACAATTTCAGCTTTCAGCAACACTCCAGGGGCCTCTGACTTTTACAGCATAATTCAGTGCAGCTATCCACATCAAACTATAGGATGTGCTTCTTTTTATTATCCCTGTTTCTCGCAGATAAGTACTTACTGCCTTTATCTCTGAGTCTTTCCTTATGTCATCAACATAGGAAAGTACAAAATCAATTTGCCTGATCCCATCTCGGAAGAAGATAGAATCTTTGCTTTGTTGATGTTTTGGAAACTGCAAGAAACATAAATGACACAATCTTAAATTCCAGTTTTATTCACAACTGGCAAAAACATAAAAGGGATTATGTACATTTCGTCACCATCTAATTTTTTTTCAGTCTTGAAATGACAGGTCAGGACAAATAACCAGAATTTTCACTAAAAGAATATTATGCTTGTTTCATAAAGTGAAATTCCATATGCTGGTTTAAACAATAACAACTCAGGAGGAAGTTAAGCATATTAAATACACATACATACAACAAAAGTGCTGCAATTATACCAAAATATGAGATGAATATATATATATATATATACATATATATATATATATATACACACACATACACACACAGTGATCTCGAAATATGTATTCAGAGAGAGACTTGTTATTTTCATCAAATAACACACCAATTAGTCCACTAAACAATTCATATTAACATACTACTTTGGGCATATAATTACTAAAAGAACAATTAATGGACTATCGCTATAAGAAAATAAACATAAGTAAAGTTTATACTATGTTCTCATAAAATGGCTTCTTTCTAATTCAACTTTTAAAGAATTAAAATGAAATCAAGTTGCAGTTAAAAATTAGAAAGCAGATAGCTTGTTAGCTGGCTTCTCTAGCTCAAGCTCTCATGCAACTCTCCCCTTCAACATCAATTTCCCAAGTGAGCCAAAATCAATCCTTTGTTTAAATTTGTGTGAATTTTCTATATAATCATGCTTACAAGTTCAACTTTTACATGTTGAAACTTTCGCATTTTATTAATTTCTTCCCTTTCAAAATAGCAAAAACACTAGAGAGCTTCAGAAGAAAGAGATTTCATGTTTGACCAATTAAGTCTTCTTCACGGTTTATATGAACTATGTAATAGTTAATACTTATAAGAGCTTACATGTAATACTTAGAATTATGCAAATAGTTGATGCAATAGATGTCAATGAGACAACTTTCCAATTGTTTTAGCTAGCCTGAAAATGAGGAACTAGATCATTTTAATTTTCAAAACCAGTGTTTCTATTAGTTTATGAGTTTATTTTATGGTATTCTATGTCATTTTTCATCCAAGTCAGGCCTCACAAAAAAGGGAATAGATGTATACCAATCATGTATAAATAAGACAAAAATCTTATGTTTGAACTGTAGTCTATGAAAAGAGTAGGTGTATTTACATACAAGCAAAGCTGATGTGTCTCAGAAAGAACTAGCTCCCAATGCACAGGAGGAAATGAGTGGAAAAATGAACAAAGAAATATAACATCTAGGGAACCTGGAAATTAAGTATCAAAATTATAGTCAAAGGTTATGTCTGCAGTCTCTGCATCCCAGCCAAAGAATGCACAATCATCTCCTCTTTTCTAAAAGAAGGTCAAATAACCTGAGAAAACTCAAACTGCTATCATGTTGTACCATGATTGTAAATCATTAAAAAAAAGAAAAAGAGGCCAGGGCGCGGTGGCTCACACCCATAATCCTAGCACTCTGGGAGGCCAAGGTGGGAGGATCGCTCAAGGTCAGGAGTTCAAGACCAGCCTGAGCAAGAGCCAGACCCTGTCTCTACTAAAAATGGAAACAAATTAGCCGGACAACTAAATATATATAGAAAAAATTAGCTGGGCATGGTGGCGCAGGCCTGTAGTCCCAGCTACTTGGGAGGCTGAGGGGAAGGATTGCTTGAGCCCAGGAGTTTGAGATTGCTGTGAGCTAGGCTGACGCCATGGCATTCTAGCCCCGGCAACAGAGTGAGACTCTGTCTCAAAAAGAAAAGAAAAGGAAAAGAAAGAGAAACAAAACAAAAACATCATAGGCACTCTTGTAAGTCATCATAGTATTAGCACATCTTATGAAGTTCACCAAAATTTGTGGAAGCCAACTGGAGCAGGAAAAAGAAAATACTGCTTAGATTAAGTATACTCAAAGCACAAAATTACAGGAGGAAAAAATAGTCTTTTTGCTCTAAGTCTGTGACAGCCATATTGTATATATATTTTAATGATTAATATATTTTGAAGTGATCATATTGTTTATACTAGCCAAATCTAGGTACAAAAAGAGCAGTTCTGGTGACAGAAGATGTGCACACAGTAATCAGCAAATCTAGGTACAAAAAGAGCAGTTCTGGTGACAGAAGATGTGCACACAGTAATCAGCAAAAATCACACTCGGGGTGTTTGAAAATTAAGGAATGGACAAAATAGCTAAGAGGATTGCAACTCCAATTATTTCCAGAGTGCACAATCAAAAGGGGTAAATATACTCTCCTTCTCCTGAAAGCCAAAGGCTACCTAGGAAAACCCAACCTTCTATCATTATGACATGCCCTGATGATAATCCGTAAATTAAAACACACACATACACACACAGACACAGAAAAATCACTGGTAGCCTTGTGAGTCACCATGAGGTACACGTTTTAGGACTGTTAACACAAACTAGTGAACGCTAACTGGGACAAAAAAAAAAAATGATACTCCGTTACATATAACTGAATTCTATTAAAACACATCATGCTTTTATTTTGCTAAAAATATGACATAAAGATCATATTTTGTCATATGGGTGTGAATTTGAGTTTATATTTGATTTGTTCTTAGAAATGTCTATTTATAATGAAGCAAACATCTCAGTGGCTTCTCTTTGAATAATGTAGTTCATAAACCTATATTAATCTATATTCCTGATAGGAGTTCATAAACGTCTGAAATTATGTAAATTATGTGTGTGAGGTGGAGGTGTGTGACCCATTTTAGGAAAAGGGTCCATTAAAATCACCAATTTTAAACCCCAATTGTCTGGAGACTAGGAATTAGTGACAAAGTCACTCCAAATCAATAGTATTCATTGGAAGAAAAACCACCCAGGCTATCATAGCAGCCATTCAGGGCATAAGCAGCATCATTCAGTGCTGGATTTACCATCAGACGCCGCCTCAGGAACAAATTGTATCTCTTTGCAGGCTGTGAAGCAACCAATACAGAGTTAGAAAATCCTGCCCAGGATTGAAGTAAGGATCACAAAAACCAGACATGCAAACCAACCCTCAGTATGATCACTTTATGAATGTGTATGTGTGTGTATGATATGTCAAGCTTGCGGGTAGAAATTAGCAAGAAAAATGAAGGAAAAAAAAGAAAACAATAAAAAATAAAGAAAAAAGGAGGCTTCAAAGTAAATTTCCATAAATCCTTTAAATAGTGACTTTAAATAATAAATATCCGTGGACTTGAATTAAGGAAGACAAGAGAAAAAGAATAATGAAGGAAAAGATGGAAATAATGAAAATATAAAGTAAAATATTGTGTTAAGTATACCTATATATATCAGACAAATAAAGCAAAATCACCACAATTATGCTGGGATGATGTATGGAAGGAAAGTTTACCCAGAGTTTATTTTTAAATATTTCATGACCACCCAAAATGCTGGAAAAAATGAAGTCATTCAATTATTATTTAAATGCTGAGTTGTCTCTAATCTTTCATTACTATGGTCATTATTACAAAGGCAATTACCTGGGATAATCAACAATATTTCAAAGAAAATTAAACTTATACTATACAAAGACAAGCATTGTACATATTTTATAGTGTAATTAATGAGTAAATAATCTGATCATATTATCATTAAGGGAGTTCAATTCTTGTTATAGAGAGTTTTGTTTACATTAGTCTTTCCTAGAGCAGGCTGAAGAGGCCTAAACAACTGGTGACTAATGGGACTTAGAAACATCATGCTGAGCAAAAGAAGTCAGAAGCCAGACATAATATAGTATATATTGTACAACTCCGTTTACATATTACCTTAGAAAAAACTAAATCAGTGGTTGCCTAGGGTAAGACAAGGAGTAAAACAGCCAAAGAGAGCTTGTAGGGGTAACAGAAAATTTCAACAACATATTTGTAATTTGTTAAAACTCATCAGACTATATACTTAAAATGGGTGCATTTTATTATATCTAATGTATAACCAATAAAGATGATAATTTTTAAAACATTTTTTGGCGTAAGCAAGTAGAAGGATGGATTATATACAGCTAAGATATGAAAGACAACAGAGCAGATTTTTGTATGGGAAGATGAAGAATTACATTTTAGACATAATAATCTTGAGATAACTTTTATATATCTAAACACATTCTGGAAAAACACTTGGATATTTAAGTGTGAAGTTCAGTAGAGATGTCTTCCTTGGAAACTTAAATTTGAGAGTTGATATGATTTTATGTAAAGTCATGAAACTGGATGAAATAACTAGGAGACTGAACTAAGGTATCTGTACCCTGGAGTAATAATATCTAAATATATGCATAGATCAATTATAAACACTGTGCTTATAATGATTGCTCTGGTCAGTTTATTCAAAGGTACCTACTGATATGTTTGTGCCAATGTCTTATCAGTTGTTAAATATTTGGAATATCATTCCTGAGGTTAACAAAACCTGTTAATTGTATATCTGTCATAATTAAAGCACACTTCTAGTGTGCCTTTTCAATTCTCAATCTTTGCTCATGAACCTCTAAGTACGTACCAAACTATTCCTTCCAATCACTCAGGGTAGTTACTGTGAGATACGTTCTCTTAAGTACAGTTGTCTCCACCTTTCTATATTTCATTTAATGGCTTTAGCACCCCTTCTATACTGGCAACTTAGTAACCATTTAGGTACCCAATCCCATCTCTACTGTTGACTATTTCAAATAAAATGTTAAGTTATGTTAATTATTCTATATTTATATGATAGAATCATTAATAGTGAAGTTCTATCATATTAATCATGGCAAAAACCACAAGACTCCATTTTTCCCCCAAAACATGTCCACTAATATTCTGATGGATATCTTTGGTTTACACTAGCAGATCGCCTCTCCAATCCTCTCAACCCTGCTTTTTGTCCTGTGACGGTGACCAGTGTAGATATCCCTTGACCACTGGCTTCCCACAGATGATTGGAGAGAGGGAGAGATGGAGTATCTTCCTTTCTAAGGTTGGATTCAGGAAGGTTGTATCCCTGCACTCAAGGTCATTGAGCCTCTCCATAATGCCTGAATGCCTCTCAATTATCCAAATAACAATTCAGTACATGACTTTTTTCTTTCCTTTCCTTTCTCCTTCTGGGACCCAATAACTGATTCCTCTCCTCTTCCTTTCAGTCATATGGATGATAAATTCATAGTTACTAGACCTATACATACTGGGATTCTCCTGTACCCCATTTTTATAAAGGTCTTTTTATTAAGCCCTTCTCAAATTATCCTACTTTAGGTATGCCTAATAGGACCCTGATAAATACATATTTTTCTTCTGTGATATTTCTATGACATAGAAAAAAATGGAGAAATGGTTGATTCTAGGACTGAGAGAGGAAAGGTACAAGATGAGCTTGAAGCATCATGTAATGTCAGAAAGGAAGACAATGCTAAAAACAAAACACAATAATAAGGGTATGTCAAACGTATAGAAGAATAAACTGAAAAGCTCACAATTAACAAAGTTAGAACAATTTCAGCAAGAAAATAAGTAGTATTGGCTTTATAACACAAAGCATAAAATAAATATCCATGAGAGGAAGGAAGGAAGGAAGGAAGGAAGGAAGGAAGGAAGGAAGGAAGGAAGGAAGGAAGGAAGGAAGGAAGGAAGGAAGGAAGGAAGGGAGGGAGGAAGGGAAAGAAAGAATGAAAAAAAGAATTTCCCATACAAAAAATTCCAAATAATTTTTTTACTATTAAGGAAGTAGAACATAATCCCCAATCCTTATGTGTCAGATTATGCACATAGTGACTTTCTTCCAAAGAATACAGTATGGAAAGGATGAAAAAAAAAAGAGTACAGTGGAAAAACCTGACAAACATTACTTCAAGCCAGATAATCAAAGTTAAAACATCAATAGTGATAAATTAATTTGATAGGATACAACCTTGATACCATGTGATGAAAATAAAACTTTATTTCTATGTGTTTCTCCAAAATACATTATCCCAGTATAATCAGGAAGAAAACATTAGAAAAGTCCCAACTGAGAGACATTCTATAAAATACCTGCCCAACACTCCTCAAAACTGTGAAGGTTATCAGAATCGAGAAAAGTACATGAAACTGTCACAACCAAGAGGAGCCTTAGGCGATATAATGACTAACTGCAGTGTAGCATCCTTAGTAGGACACTGGAATAAAAAAAAGGATATTAGGGAAACTCTAAAGAAATATGGATAAAGTATAGAAATTAGTTAATAATAACTTACCAATATTGGTTCACTAATTGTGACAAATGTACAATACTAATATAAGATAATAATACTAGGGCAAAATGCATGGGAAGCATAAGGAACTCTGTGTACTATATTTGTAATAAATCAGCAAATATAAAATCATATTAAAATGACATTTACTTTAAAAATGAAACTTACTGTTGAATTTTAACAGCTTACTGTTTATCCAAAGACAATCTCAACTTAGTGAATGAGATACCGTAAATCATTTTAACATCATTTAGAATTTAAAATTTAAATTATTAGTATATAACATAATAGAGGAAAGTTATTTGCAAATTTTATCACAGGCAAGGGGATAATAATATATATGTAAAGAGCTTCACAAAACAAAATTAAGTGTAAAAAGAGAAACCTAACCTAAGTGACTGATAGGAAAATGGACAAAATATATGAACAGTGATCTAGCAAAATAAATTAAAATGACCATTCAATGTAGAAAAAGATGAATATGTCACTCATAGTTAGAGAAATGCAAACTGCAACTACACAAAGATATTGTGCTAACTGAAATAGCTCCCCAAAGCCACTATCTCACTACCATTAGGAAAAATCTAAAAGCATGAAAATACACTGTTGAAAAGACTATGGAGAAACAGGCATCCTCTTACATTTGTTAGAAATGCAAGAAAACAGATTTGGCAATCTATGGCAAAATTACATCATTCTTCCATAGAGAAATTCCATGTAGAAAGACAAAATGGCCAAAACATTAATAAGACTAATTCCCAATGGTATTCATTTTAGCAATATTTGTAATAGCATTGGAAAAATAAACCATATAAAAATAGTTACTACAAAAGGATTGAGAGGACAAAGAAGAAAGATTGCTCTAAAAAATAGTTTGTTCCATAGTTTCAACCTAAGATGGACTAACCCTGAAGCTTTCAAAATCTAAGCTTCAGGGCCTCTTACTTGCTCCTGCCCCTTCCAAACATTTAGGAAGGACTATAGCAATGTGTTCTCGTGGTAAAATACATTTGTAACTATTTTAAAGTAAACTTTTGTCCCGCTATGTTTCTTAACAGTGACAACAAAACTGTTTAAGCTTTAGGCTCCACTAAACATTAATTCACTCTATGGTTTTCAACTTTGGTATTATGTAAATTTTTTTTTTTTTTTTGAGACAGAGTCTCACTTTGTTGTCCAGGCTAGAGTGAGTGCCGTGGCGTCAGCCTAGCTCACAGCAACCTCAATCTCCTGGGCTTGAGTGATCCTTCTGCCTCAGCCTCCCGAGTAGCTGGGACTACAGGCATGCGCCACCATGCCCGGCTAATTTTTTTTTATATATATATCAGTTGGCCAATTAATTTCTTTCTATTTATAGTAGAGACGGGGTCTCGCTCTTGCTCAGGCTGGTTTTGAACTCCTGACCTTGAGCAATCCGCCCGCCTCGGCCTCCCAAGAGCTAGGATTACAGGCGTGAGCCACAGCGCCCGGCCTTATGTAAATGTTTTATATGATCAAAATTAAAAATAAATTTAAAAAACATAACCAATAAAATTTCAATTATTTTAATTTTATTAACCCTACAATCCTCATTTTGAAATACTAACGATTAGTAACCAAGTAAAAAGCAAACTATTATTTATGTTAAAATTATCAGTATAAGAATATAACTCTATTTCCCCATCTTCCCAACCAGCATCTTTTATTTATTAGGCAACAAATGAAAGATTTAAGTCCCTTTACTAACCTCTGAATTGGTATTCAAATTTTATTTTTAAATAAATTGTACTTCATGATTATTCTTAAGCATGTACTTACAGATGGGAAGAGGCATGTAATGGAGAAAGGATACTGAACATGAGTTCCAGTCCAAGATCTATCCCTTACACATATGGATAATTTTGATCAAGTCATTACACCTCTTGAATGCTTCATTTTCTCATTTGCAAACTGGGAACTATTAAAATGCAATCAATGTGTTATGATTAATGTGTCATTCTCATTAATATGTCTGATGTTACTTTTTTCCCTAAGGAAACTGATTTTTTCCCCTAAAGTAACAAATTCTCAAATACCATGCATGAAGGCCTGAAAAATAACTGAAGTGGAAAAGAGCATCAACACTGAAGATTACAAAATGATGCCCCATTTGTGTCCATGCAAGAAAGGATAGTACTGATGGCTGCTTACCATTATTTCTTCTCCAAGGAGATAGCTGGACTCTGTGTGGCTCTGGATCTGTTAAGAGCACCAGGGAAAGACATAACGCTGTTAATAATACTGCAAGTGGGGTAGAGGGAGCAGTTAAGTTTCAACAACTAAAACTCTAGGTTCTCTACGCAGAAATACTTGTGGAACTCAAGGAAGCTATGAAACACCTGAAATTGTATGCAAACTGTGTATATAGTATACACATATAAATTGTGTATACATGTATACATGTGTGGGTGTCTGTGTGTGTTTATGTGGAAGAAGAGAAAGAGAACTTGAGAGAGAATGAGATTATGTGAGGTAGTTTTATCAAATCATAAGAAAAAAAATCTGTGACATAAGAAATGGTTAAGAACTACCACATTACAAAGAAATAACAAGGAGGTCTATTCTTTTCATGATGCTGAATCCTGAACAGGACCAACAGGAAGTGCAGAATTCATAGCCTATTCTATGCCTTCCAATGTTTATTTGAAATTATTAAAGTGAATACCTTAGAAAATGCACCATCAGGATTCTTAAGAATTTGCACTTAAAACCTGAGAAAAAAGCTAGCTAGCCAGCTAGCTAGCTAGCTAGCTAGCTAGCTAGCTATCTATCTATCTATCTATCTATCTATCTATCTATCTATCTATCTATGCCACTTGCATAATAATTAAAGCAATAATGATACCTGTGTTGGTGCATGATGTATTTCCACCTCCTCATGTTACATGATAGGGTGCATACCTCAAGACATGCTCCTGAGAGTACATGCTCCTAAGATCACATCCAATCACTTCTTAGCAGTCTCTAGTGACAGTTACAATAGAATACTATGGAGAAATTACCTGAAATTTATGTCCGGACTGGAATTCACTTACCTTGTTTTTGCAAAATCACAACTAGCATCTCCTTCTGTCCAGATGATGCTGAGCATACGTGGACAGCTTTGAAAATAGCAGATAAAAAGTGCTATGGACATATTTTAAAAATACTCAAAGAACACCTTGGAAATATACCCAGTACTACAAAAGTTCAGTAGCAGAATGTGCCACAGAAATAGCAGCAATTTTTCTGTTCTTAAAGAGGATGAAAAATTGATAATTTTAAACACATTCAAATTTTCATACTACTGTATTCAATATAAATTACAAGATGAATGTCATCTACTGTATTAAAGTAATACTCAAACAGGTGCAAAGCATTGTGGGAAAACTGAGACTGTGAGTAAATACATGATCAAAATCCTATTCTAATTATAATCCCCTTATATGAAAGTCTACCTACTTGTGGACCTTGAATGAATTCCACTAGCTCATCTAAATATAACAGCTATTAAATGAAGCTAATGAGTAACTTGATCACTCAATTCTGAAATAGTAGTCTCTAAAAGTAAATTATGTGGCTAATATTTCTTTCATTAAGACAATAAACAAATTTATTATAGCTTCACTTTATATTGACTCCTCATAACATAATTTTTTTTCAATTATCCTAGAGAAAGGTCAGTTGTTTTGCTTATAGAGGGGTCCAAAACAACAACAGCAAAAAACATATATTAAATGCTCCATGGCCGGGCACAGTGGCTCACGCCTGTAATCCTAGCTCTCTGGGAGACTGAAGTGGGCGGATTGCTCAAGGTCAGGAGTTCGAAACCAGCCTGAGCAAGAGCGAGACCCCGTCTCTACTATAAATAGAAAGAAATTAATTGGCCAACTAATATATATAGAAAAAAAATTAGCCGGGCATGGTGGCGCATGCCTGTAGTCCCAGCTACTCGGGAGGCTAAGGCAGCAGGATTGCTTGAGCCCAGGAGTTTGAGGTTGTTGTGAGCTAGGCTGATGCCACTGCACTCACTCTAGCCTGGGCAACAAAGTGAGACTCCGTCTCAAAAAAAAAATAAAAAATAAAAAATAAAAATGCTCCAAAAGCAACCAGGCTAGTCACTTTACAATCTCTCACTTTTGAAAAAATGTTTGTGCTGGTTTCTAGTCAAAAGCTGTTGTTATATCTTTAGTTTGCAAAATGTAAAATAAAATAACTTAGGTTACTTCTACATTTTGCTGAGTATTTCATTGTCTTATTTCTCACTGACCTTAGTTTTACGCAAAAGAATCCATGCTGTTCTCAATTCTACATTCCCTTCTACAGTAGCCATGGCTTTCCTGTTTCAGACTGCCTCCTTCCCTGACCCCAACCATTGAGGAATTGAATGAAATGGAAAAAAATGGAATAAAATGTAAAAAGGGATGAATAATATGCTTCCACTAGTAACAAAACATAGCAATAGTCAGAGAATCTATAAATCATCATAAAAACTGAATACCCATCATAAATATTCTGAACATAAGTAGTAATAATTTGGGACTGAAATTCAGAAAAAATACTTCTTAAAACAGTATTCTTAAGCAATATTGTACAGTGATTAAGAGTAGATGCTATAGAATCAGACTCCCTATGTTCATAATCCCAACTCCAAAACTTAATAGATAATAACAATAAACCAACATATATAGTTTTGCTTTATAGATTCCTTGTATTCTTTTCCTTGGATTATGTAAAATTAATTATGTATATATGCAAAACTAATTACATATATAAACTTGAGCAAGTTAACCTCTTTATACCATAACTTCCAAACCATGAGATTAAATAATACATTGGAAGTTCTCAAAAAATTTTGCCTTTTTAAAATTAATTTTTGCTTACTTTCTAGTGATGATATCATAAATTTAATATCTTTGTCCTATCACAAATTTTTAATTTACATGCATTTTCTAGATCCCCAAATGATTTACAATTATATTCATTGTAAATCAGAGGTAACACCCTAGAATTTAGCCCTCTAAAAGTTTAAGAAATCATGAAAGCACAGAAGATCTGTTCAAACTATAAAACAATTTTGAAATAATAAACATCAACTTCTATATATTCTTCTGTTTTGTAAAAGCCCAAACATTCATCATACCTATACATTTGCTAATGGAGTAAATCCATTGATTCTAGTCATTTCTGCTTTAATCCAATACTTGAATAAATATTCTATTATCAAGCTTTCTTTTTTAAAAAATTGTCTTCAATGCAGAGCTTGTGCTTTTATTGCATTTGAATGTTGGCAGAAAAAATATTTGGAAATTAAGAAAGTGAAATAAATTGTACTCACTTTTTAAACTATTTATTTTGAAATAATTGTAGCTTTATATGAATTTGCAAAGTAGTACAGAGAGATCCCATGTACCCTTCTCCTAGTCTCCCCTAATGGGCATATCTTACATAAGTATAGTAAAATATCAAAACCAGGAAACTGACATGAGTACAATATCTATGTATAATTCTATGTCATTTTGTCACATGTGCACCTTAGGGTAAGAACCAGCTTAATCAAGGTATAGAGCTATTCCATCCACAAACATCTCCCTCATGCTACCTGTTTACATTTATGTCCACTTTTTCCCCTTCAACCTCCATATCCCTAGGAACTACTGATTTGTTCTCCTTCTTTACAATATTGTCATTTCAAGAGTGTGACAAAAATTGGATCATAATGTATATGTTCTTTTAAGATTTTCCTTTTTTCACTGAGCATAATATCCTCTGGAGATCTATCCCAGTTGCTGTATTTATCAATAGTCCCTTCCTTTTTATTGGTCGGTAGTATCTTGCAGGAAGATAGCTACAGTTTTTAACCATAGGACATTTGGGTTGTTTTCACTTTAGGCTACTACAGACAAAACTGCTATGAACATTTGTGTTCAGGTTTTTATGTGAATATGTTTTCATTCCTGTGAGATAAATGCCCAAGAGTATGATTACCCAAGTCACATGGTAACTATATATTTGCTTTTTTAAGAAACTGCCCAGTAGTTTTCCAGAGTGGCTGTAACATTTTATATTCTCCCCAGCAATGTATGAGAGATTCAGTTTATCTACATCCTCACCAATAATTGGCATTGTCACTATTTTCTATTTTAGCTGCTGTTATAGGTATATAGTGATATCCTACTTTGGTCTTATTTTGCATTTCCCTAATGGCTCAGGATATTGAACATATTTTCATAGCTTATCACTCAGATTTCTTCTTTAGTGAAATGTCTCAACATATACTTTGATCATTTTTAATTGGGTTTTTAAAATATTGATTTCCAATCATTTAATATCAATATTTAATTCTGTAGGTTCTTTATATACTAAAACTACAAGTCCTCTGCCAGATATAGGATGTGCAAATATTTCTCCCAGTCTGTAGTTTGTCTGTTCACCATCTTAACAGGATCTTTCACAAGAAGCTAAAACATATACATTTAACTTACCTCATTCATGTAGAAAACACTGCTTATCTCTCTAGTGGTTCTTTTCCCTAAATGGAGTAAGAAAAAGAACATGTTAAACTGGCCAACTGATCATATTTGGATCTGTTCAGAAGTCTGCATCAAAAGAAAATAGGAATTCACCAACCAAAAAAAAAATTAGAGAAAATATACTGGAGGAAAATATACAAGACCTTCCTGGAGCTAAGTTGTTCAAAACAGCCTCTAAAAAAAGTTTCATCAAAAACTGATACTGCAAACTAGTATAACCTCTACGGAAGGTAATATGGTGATACCTCAAAGAACTAAAAGTAGACCTACCATGGGATCCAGCAATCCTACTACTGAGTATTTACCCACAGGAAAAAAAGACATTGTATAAAAAAGACACTCGCACTCGAATGTTTATAGCAGCACAATTCACAAGTGCAAAGATGTGGAAACAACCCAAGTTCCCATTAATATATGAGTAGATCAATAAAATGTGGTATATGTACACCATGGAGTATTATTCAGCCATAAAAAATGGTGAATTAATACCTTTTGTAATAACCTGGATGGAAGTGGAGACCATCCTTTTAAGTGAAGTACCTACAGAATGGAAAAAAACACATGTACTCACTATTAAATTGAAACTTATAGATCATCTCATGAGCACATATTGTAGTAATATTCAATAGAAATTAAGCAGGTGGGAAGGGAGAGGACGGGATGGATAATTCACACCTAACAGGTACAATGCACATGATATGGGTGATGGACAAACTTATAACTTTGACTCAAACTGTACAAAAGCAATTCATGTAACCAAAATGTTTGTACTCCTGCAATATTCTGAAATTTTAAAAAAAGGAAAAAATAAGAAAATAAAATATACATGAACAATAACAACAACAAAAAGTCTCACCCAAAGCTGACTATAATCTAGGAGGAAAACATAAAATATTGATGTGTAGAATACAATTTCTGGCATTAATCTCTTATCAATGCAGTTATCAATTCATAGCCACAAAAATGCTAAAAGGAAAATATCCAATAGGGATGCCCATTGGTATCTTTTAGTTCTCATCCTGTGAGATTTAATATTTTCTCAGATTGTTCTCCTGAAATTGAACTAGATCAATTGCAATTAAAACACTACCAGAGCACTACCAAATTCTAAACAGGTCAAATTACTTTCTTGACACAGAGATAGCTCTGTAATGGATATATGTTTAGTGAGTTGAACTAAAATAAATGTTCAAATAAGTTTGTGATGCTTAAGGGCGTTAAATATAGAATTCAGATTCTTATTCTTTAGTGACTCCTTTAGTGACCACTTGGAAAAACACTGAGAAATATTTCTCAAACAAAAAACTTTCTATACAAAAAAATTTTTGGACAAAACGTCACAATGGAAATTTAATAAAATGTTGCTATCATTTAAAGGCCATCCACAGTAACTGCAATTTTAGGAAGAGTTAGTATATATTCTAAAAATATAAAAAATAAATCTACCATTGATATGACTTTTTTATAATCCAAGAAAAAAATTCATTTTTTAAAACCATATTAAACATATATTAAATGAAATTAATTGTACCAAGCTTACAACAATCCAATTCATCTCCACAGGCTATGCAAATCACTGTTACTCTCTCAAATCATTAAACCCACAATATAAATAAATCTATACTTTATACAAATGCAACCATTATAAGTCAGTTGGAATATAAAGTCCAAAGTTTTCAATACAGAGGACTTTTGTCTGTTCATTTGTTAAAACAAGGTTTCATGTGAAAATAAATACTGGTTTGTAAAAAATATCTATTTTATTAATTATTTTGTTTTATTTTAAAAAGCAGATTCAGGGTCCATAACTTTGATAATAAAAGATACAGATCATTCTTGTTATAATAAGTTCTTTGCCTGATTAGCAAAACCTTTAAAATTAACTAAAATCAACCTACTTCTTCAGCCTCAACCCCCTGCTCTCTTCAGCCCAGCCCATTAGTCTTCTTTCAGTCTTCTTGTACCTTCTTTCAGTTCCATGCTCCCTTTTCATGGTATCTTAACAATTATTCCTCTGCAAGGAATGTTCTCTGTAATGAATGCTTCTAATCTGTCCTCCAAAGTTCAGAGTTGAGAGGTGGGACCTTTAAGAGGTGTTGAGGTCATGAGGGCTCTGCCATTATGGCAGGAGGGATTTGTTATAAAGGGAATTTGGCTCTCTCACATACACTCTGTCTCTCATCATGTGATGCCTTCAACCATGTTATTACACAGCAGGAGGAACCTCACCAGATGCGTCCATTCAATCTTGGACTTCCCAGCCTCCACCAAGTACCAAATAAACTTCTCTTGTTTGTAAATTACACAGTCTGCGGTATTTTGTTATAAGCAGCACAAACCAGACCAAGACACTCTTCCTCTTCCAACCTTGCCTTGGGTAATTTCTCACACTTTTTCAGATAGCAGCTTCTAAGTAACTTTCTCCCCTGGGGAGCCTCCTCTCACCTATCTGACTAGTTCAAATTATCTTAACTGTCTCTACTCGATGACACTTTTCAAAGTTTAAAATTTATAAAGGTATATGTGCTTTGTGATGAATACCTTTTTCCCCCAAAGACTGTAAGTTCCTGAAAGGCAGACATAATGACTGATTTTGTTCTTTCAACATACTGATTTGCAGATTATAGTTTCTTGACAAACATTTATTGAAGGAATGAATGAGCAGGGTAGCATACGAGCCAAGTTATTTCACCACTGTTCCTGAAAATGATAAGCCAAAATAAATCTGACAATTTGCCATGTGTCAGGCACTGTGCTACGTACTCACCTATTTACATACCATTTACATTGTATTAGGTATTATAAGTAATCTAGCAATTATTTAAAGTATATGACAAGATGTGCACAGATTATATGCAAATAATATACCATTTTAAGTAAGGGATTTGAGCATTTGCAGATTTTGGTATCTGCAAGGAGTCCTGGAACCAATCCCTTGAGGGCACTGAAGAATGATTACATATATATATACACACACATATAACCATATATACATATATTTTATACACATACACACTACTGTATAGTTAACAATACAAATCCTATGTCAGCAATGTTCAAAGTACAGTCTGCCAACCCCTATCAAGATCAGATTTATTTTATGATAATAGTAACACCTTATTTGCCTTTTCACTTAGTTGACATTTATACTGCTGGTACAAAAGCAGCAGGATAAAACTGCTGGTGCCATCACTCAAATCAATGCCATGGCACCAAACTATATGAGTAGTCATTGTGTTCTCCACCTACATGCATTCTCAGTAAAAAAAGAAACAAAAATCCGTTTTAACTTAAAAATGTCTTAGATAAAACAGTAAAACGATCAATATTATGAAATCTTTACCCTGAACACACATCTTTTTAATAATAGATTTTTTAATAGATTTCTTTTTTTAAGGAACCGGGTTGCTTGCTTGAGGCCTTGTTGTTGCCTTCCCCGGACCCCGGTTTTTTTCTTGAAAAATACTTTGCACTGCAAGGTGAAATAGCTGACTTTTTCATGAAACACCATTTTAATTGAAAATGTGACGGACAGACATATATGGTCCTAGAGACTTGGCTAATGGGTAGATATTAGCTCAAAAATTAACGACATGAATCTGTCACTTTGTGGAAAACAGCTGACAGTATTTTTGTTGTTATTTTCTCTTTTATTTCAGAATATTATGGGGGTACAAATGTTAAGGTTACCTATATTGCCCTTGCCCCCCTCCCCCCTCGAGTCAGAGCTTCAAGTGTGACCATCCCCCAGATGGTGCACATCTCACTCATTATATATGTATATACCCATCCCCTTCTCCCATATCCCACCCTCCCGACACCCAATAAATGTTATTCCTATATGTCCACTTAGGTCTTGATCAGTTAATACCAATTTGCTGGTGACTACATGTGGTGCTTGTTTTTCCATTCTTGGGATACTTCACTTAATAGAATGGGTTCCAGCTCTATCCAGGAAAATACAAGAGATGCTATATCACCCTTGTTTCTTATAGCTGAATAGTACTTCATGGTATACATACTCCACATTTTATTAATCCACTCATGTATTGATGGGCACTTGGGGTGTTTCCACATCTTTGCAATTGTGAATTGTGCTGCTATAAACATTCGAGTGCAGGCGTCTTTTTTGTAGAGTGTCATTTGATCTTTTGGGTAGATACCCAGTAGTGGGATACTTGCATCAAATGGTAGATCTACCTACTTGTATTGCTTTAAAGTATCTCCATATTGCTTTCCACAGAGGTTGAACTAGTTTGCAGTCCCACCAGCAGTGTAGGAGTGTTCCTATCTCTCCGCATCCATGCCAACATTTATTGTTTTGGGACTTTCTGATAAAGGCCATTCTCACTGGAGATAAGTGATATCTCATTGCAGTTTTGATTTGCATTTCCCTGATGATTAGAGATGTTGAGCATTTTTTCATATGTTTGTTGGCCATTATTCTGTCTTCTTTTGAAAAGTTTCTGCTCATGCCCTTTGCCCACTTTTTGATAGGGTTGTTTTTATTTTTCTTGCTGATTTTTGTGAGTTCTAAATAGATTCTAGTTATCAGCCCCTTATCGGATGTGTAGCATGTGAAAATTTTCTCCCATTCTGTAGGTTGACAGTATATTTTGCCAATGGTAACATTTGAGTTTCAAATGAAAGTCAGAATTTTAGAAAACTTGAATCTGTCACCATGAGCTTAAGAGTTTCACAAGGCTGTCCTGATGAGATCAATATTGATGTTAATGTGACTTTTTGATATTTTCTAATTAAACATGTGAACATTTGACAGATCTGCACAACTCAGTGAACTAATATTTCCCAAATGACCAATATGTGATGTTACAAAATCATGCAGGGGGAAAAGATCCACTTAAAATGCATGTCAGACTAATGTATTATAATGCAGCAAACAATGAAAAGTTAATTTAGATGGTTTCAAATTCCATTATACCTAACTTTTAAGAATCTATTATTAGTTGAATTTTGCTGTAATATCACAGAAGAATATCCATAGTTATTTGCCTTTTCTAGATAACTCACCCAATTACATTTCCTTCCACAAGATGCAAACTCCTTCAGAGCCAGAAGGAGCACATTTTGTCAATTGTATACTTTTCTGAAAAGCTGAAAGATTTAAGAGGATAGATTTATTTCTTCACACACTATGTTCCATCTCACCCCCTCACACTGCTTCCTAGCTTTGTCACACACACATGCAACACACAATCAGATGTTCACATATGCCATAGACTCAGGCACACTTTTACACTCCGACAGAGTATAAAGGTGGAATACCTATGCATAATCACCGAGACTGAAGGGCAGGATTTAAAGCCAACAAATCTGTCAGCTTGTGCCTATTGCTCCAACTTCCTCTAAAATGAATGGAGATGGCTATGCTCATTCTATGGGCTAAAAACCAGAGAAATGAAGGATCTAGTAACAGTTCACTGCAGGGAATCAACAAATATATGCCAAAAGTAAAGCCAGCCCAAAGACTGAGCTTTGGGCTCTCACTGAAGGCACATTACTAAAAATATGTACTCCAACAAACGCAAAATCCAAAAATAGCTCTTGCATTTACCACATGTTCTTCTCAGTTTACACTCCTACCAGCAGTATAAAATAAAATCTTTGCAATCAAATATTCATATTACTAAAGGACAGGTGGTTTAAACACAATGTTTAATGTAGCTGTAAAGATGCAAGCAACTTTACATCAAATATTTAAATTGTCTTTTCCAACACTAAACCCTTAGACTGTCTTTTCCAATGCTGACGGTACCATAAATCAGCTAAGGAATGTACATTTCATATCAGAACATTCTTACAATGTCAGTCAATAGTTCAATTCCAGCAATATTGTGACATTTTACTAGCAGTGTTTGTCTATGTAACTATTTAAGTGTTCTATTACACTTTGCCATTAGAACTTCATTTAAAAAATTAGTAGACTGTAGAAAATCAGCTTCCTGGAAATCACTGATTGCTTACAGGTTCAACTGTGAAGAAAAGAGACTCAGAGAAAATACAAGAAATACTAGAAATATCTCATTAACTGTTACATCTAAAAGGCAAAATGTTAATGTTGTCTCTCTTGGAAGAAATTTTATCACATGTAAATCAGTTGTTTAATAGTCTCATATTCTACCTTCAAATGTGATTTAGAAAACACATGATATACAAGATTGAGGTGTACTTGTATGAGTAAATTTATTCTAAGAAATACGTTTATATTTTACAATGTAGAAATGAAAGTAGCTACTAAAATTTGATGCTACGTAATCAAGAATTTTTCAGTCTTCTAGAGCCAACACTTTTGGTTTTTTAACTGTCATTTAACTGCAGAAGAAAACATACATGGAAGTAGGCTTCCAAAATACTACTGTACTATCAATATTAAAAAAAAACACATCCTCATAACAATGCACTTTTCATAGAACCCTAGTGCTATGGAATGTAACCCTAAGGAATGTAGAGTTAACTGCCATTGTAATGGTATTAGGAGGTGCACCTTTTAGGAGATGATTAGGACATGAGGGCTCCACCCTCACCAATGGATTAATGCCATTGTCTAGAGAGTGGGCTTATTATCTCAGGAGTGGGTTCCTGAGCAAAGGATAAATTTGGCCCTATTTTTCTGTCTCACAGACTCCTTTGCTTTTCCATATGTTACCATGCAGCACAAAGGCTCTTACCAGATGCCAGCACCATGCTCTTGGACTTCCCAGCCTCCAAAACCAAGAGATAAATAAACTTATTTTCTCTATAAATGACCCAGAGTGAGATATTCTATGGCAGCAACAGAAGACAAACAAAGACACCTAATAATAACAAGAGTCTCAATAATGGGCAATAAAACTGACCCAGTAAAATAACTGACATGTTGAACAACATCTAAAAAAGTAAGTCATCCTAAGTGGCCTGGACCACCCTGATCTTTAAGGTCCTGCTCTCACCAATGGCACACTTCTTTGATGCCCTGGTTCTGGATCTATGAGCAAATCTGTACATAGGAATTTGGATAGAATGTGGTTATTAGATCCAAGCATCAAATATATGGCATTCTTCATCAGTACTTTTCCCCTTACCTCCACCCAAATCAGAGGCACAGCTTTGGTCACAGGAGAGAGCATAAACAGATTACAAAAGCCTTTGCAAAGAAAAGAGAAAACTGAAATCATTTTGTGAAAAGTTCTAAAACCTTCCTGGGCTGGACATGGTGGCTCATGCCTATAATCCTAGCACTCTGGGAGGCCAAGGCGAGACAATCACTTGAAGATAGGTGTTCCAGACCATCCTGAGCAACAGCGAGACTCCATCTGTCTACCGTAAGTAGAGAAATTAGCCTAGCACAGTGTTGTGCACCTGCAATCCCAGCTACTTGGGAGGCTGAGGCAGGAGGATCCCTTGAGCACAGGAGTTTTAAGTTGCAGTGAGCTATAATGATGCCACTGAACTCTAGCCCAGTTGACAGAGCAAGACCCTGTTTCAAAAATTAAATAAATAAATAAACCAAACCTTCCTGGGATGGATTCATGCTTCCTATAACCTTAAGTGATACTAATTTGTAATTCTAGTAAAAAAATAGTCTTAAGGCTAAATTAGATCATACTTCAAGCAACTTTAAGAAGATAGTGGTCAATCTCTGCAATGCCATGTTGAAACATTTCTTCTTCATTTTACACAGAACACTACATAATACACAGTTTTCCCTACAGTCTTCTTCAGTGAAGAGTATATTTCTGTACCCTGACATAGTTTTACTTCAGGACTGATTATAAGTAATTCCTGAATATTTTAAATGAATATATATATGTATATTTAGGCCTTTGGATTACTGAAATTACAAAAGAATGTGATTCTCAGCAAAGGAGGAAATCATCGAATTTTCTTTGAAGAAGCATCTATTCAAATCCTTTGCCTGTTTTACAAATTGAGTTATTTGTCTTTTTATTATTGAGTTGTAATGGTTTTTTGTGTATCCTGGAAGCAAATCCCTTTGTGGTCAGCGGTACAAATAAAAATCACACTGAGATACCATTTCACAAGTACTAGGATAGCTATAATAAAAAAGACAGACAATAACAAGTGTTGGTGAGGATGTGGAGAAACTGGAATCCTTATACATTACTGGTGGAAATGAAAATGGTGCATGTTTGGAAAACAGTTTGGCAGTTTCTCCAAATGTTCAATATAAAGCTACCACATTATCCAGCAAGTCTACTCCTAGATATATACCCAAGAAAAATGAAAACATAAACTCATACAAAACCTTATACATGAATGTTCACAACAGCATTATTCATAGTAGCAAAGAAATGGAAATAATCCAAATTTCACGAATTAATGATTGGATAAGGTATAGTGTATTTCTACAATGGAACAGTATTTGGCAATTAAAAGGAATGATGCACTGATACAAGCTACAACATTGACGAACTTCAAAAACATACTAAAGAAAGAAGCCAGTTACAACAGACCATATATTGTATGATTCTATTTATATGAAGGGTTTGGAATAGGCAAATTTATAGAAATAGTAAATAGATTATTAGCTGCCTAGAGCTAGAGGTGGGGAGTTGGGAGGATGGGAAGTGACTGCCTATGAGGTTTCTATTTGGGGTGATGAAACTGTTCTAAAATTAGATTATAGTGATGATTGCAAAACTTTAAATATACTAAAAACCATCGAATTGTACACTTTAAATGAGTAAATTTATGGTATGTCGATTATATTTCAATAAAGCTGTTAAAAAAGAAAACATGGAGGATGCAATAATAAATTCTATTTCTTGATGCCTTTAAAGACAGAACTGTAAGACTATGCTCAGATCTTTTATTACTTGAAAAGCCTGTTTCCATGTTTAGATTTAATACTAAACAAGACATAAAAATACAGTGTCATTGAGGGAACTGAGGTCCCCTAGATAGCAAAAAAAAAAAAAAAAAGTGCAATTTTAGCAAACTGTTAGCGCTAAAAGAGAGCCACAGATTATAGGTCTGTGTAAAGGTCTTTGCAAACAATAGACAAGTATTTCTTAAGGGAACCAAAGGTTCAATGAAAGTCATTTGTAAAAACAGCAGCGTTCCCAAGTGCGTAAGAATCTCAAGTTGATGGACCTTTAGATCTGCTCCTCCCATAATTTACAAGCATCTCAAAGCAAGATCAGTAATAGTAAAAAAGAGGGAGGCAAAAGGACTGAAGGACCAGCTCCCTATACGTGGGATAGCTGTTGTGGCACTGTTAGCTGTGGCTTTCCAGGAGCCGACCCTTCCTTTCCCGGGTTCCGCTGCGCAAGCACCGCAGCGCACTAGCCCAGCGCGCTAGCCAAACCCCCTGTATTCCTCCGCGGCTTCGGGGCCACCTAGGTCATGGGTCACAGGTCGCGAGAACGCTGCAGCAGCAGAGAAATCTGTAGGGCGCTAAAACCCACCCCAACCACCCCAGGGAGGGACTGTCTGTCCTGCGGTCTCTGTCTCGCGCAAGGCAAGCCTCGCAACGAACGTTCCCGGGACTCGAGCCGCAGGGCCGCCAACGTCCCCTGGGGCCCCTGCACCCGGGATGGCAGGGTCCACGCGCGCAGCCCAGCTCTCTTTTGGCGCCTCTCAGCGGGCTCCTACCTTCCTCCACCACCATTTCCAGGAGATTCGGGTCGCCCATCTTCGCCAGCTCGTTAATGACACTGATGCCTGCGCGTGGTGGAGATCTGGGGCAGAGACTGAATCTGATCGTGGGCCGCTGGATCGTGCACGTGTCAGCTGTGGAGTGCTCCTCGTCTTCCTCCTCGGTCCCCGCCCTCCCTGATCTCCTCCGGAAGGTGGAATTCTTGTCCTGCTGGTCCTTCCACTCGACCCTGTTTCTCTCCACCTGCTCCCCGACCTTGGCCCTGCGCTGCCCTACTCTCTCCCGGTACCTCTCTTGGGCGTTCTCCCAGTACTTCAGCAAGTACCGGTTCTGGTGCCTGTCCTGGACCTTCTCCTCCCGGCGCTGGCTCGAGTCCCTGCTACGCTTGCCTTTCAGCCGCTTTCCCCGCCTCTCTCTCCGCCTCTCTCCCCCGGGCCCCGCGGGCGCCCCACCCTCGGGGACCGCCGTCTGCCCGCCCCCGGGCCTGGCTGGCTCGACGCCGGCCCCCTCTTCTCCCCTCTGGCTGTCTGCGGCCCGGAGCCCCGGCTCCTCAGCCTCCCGGCCCTCCTCAGGGCCCACTTCCCGGCCCTCCTGGGGACCTGCCGCCTCCCTGCCCTCCTCAGGGCCCATCTCTCGACCCGCCGCCTCCTGCCCCTCTTCGGGGCGGGCCTGCTCCATTCCCAACAGGCTTCCCAGGTCCAGTTCTACCGGGGCGCCCCACGCCCTGGACTCCTGGTTCTCCTGGGCTGCCGCCTCCCTTTCATCCATACTCTCCTCCTCCGATCCCCACTGGTGGACCAAATGCTCCCTCAGCCGGCTGTCCCGGTCCTCATCCGTCACTGGGCCCTTCGCCCACCCAGGGTGCCACTCTGAGAGAACCTCCCCTCAGTTCGGGAGTTATTTTTTGTCGGGTGAGAAAAAGATCCTCTCCTTAAGGAATCTCTCCCCCTTTAAGGCCAGCGCGTGGCACGGGGTCTCCAAGGTTCCTGCAGCCCCTTCCCTCTGGCTCTGGCACAATGGTGCTAACTTTCTCCCAGCACTGCCATGCTGAACAGGATCTCTTTCTTGTACAGCTGAGGGAAAGGTCAAACCTTGGGGTCCGAGTTCCCTGTCAGCCTCTGCACCTTAAATGTTGAATAGTGTGGGGCAAGTTTCTATAAGGTTCGGTTTCCACATCTTGAAATGAGAATGATAATTGAAATAGAGGAGCACAGTCTAGAGGGGTCGGCACCGAATGTGTTAAAAATTTCTCTGCTATTGAAGTTAGCCCATTCTACCTTGAATCCTGTTCCAACTCAGAGGATCGCTTAGTGCCCGCTCCTCTTTCCTTCACCGCCTCAACTTCAGCCCCAAGCGGAATGGGTAGTCTCACTCTTCGCAGGCCTTATTGAATTAGTTCTAAGTTTTTGAGACTTTATGAACTGCCGACTCCGCAATACTAGAAATTTAAGAAGAATGGGGGAAAAATTGATGACTGGTGTTGACGTAAAGGTGAGGTAGGGGTATGAGCTAACCACCTTGAGAGTGCTGAGGAGGGAGTAACTTTGAGTTTGAGGCAGGGATGGGGTGATTTGAAAATAAGAATAAATGACCAAAGAAGATGAGACTTTTCTTCATTTTTCTGCTACTGTATTTTTTCCCGATTCTGTTGACTTCTTAGTATGGAGAATCATCTTTTGCAGATGAGGAAACAGGCCTAGAGAGAAGTGTTTTCATGAAGGTCATGATTAACTATGAAACTGGAAATCACTCCTTTCCCCTCTACTTTGCTATCTTTTTTCCCTACTTGAACCTCTAGAAAAATATGATTTGTGGTCAAGTGATTCAAGATTGTAGGCAATTCTTTATTTGATGTATTTTGGAATTGTGTTTGAAAGGTTAATAGACATAAGTCAAGCAATAGACTTAAACATGTAATTGTAATAAATGACTAGTTATGATAGAAGTGTTTGGTATTTATCTCTTGATTATTAATCCTTGTTTAGTTCTAATAAAATTTCTACAACATGAATGTTTTTTAAAGTATTTCTGGTATGTCAGGTATTCTGCTAGGTACTGTGGTTATTGTGAGTAAACAGATGGTTTGAATCCTTGCTTTATATCGCATAAGATAAAATGAAGGCAATACAATTATTTTTCTTAGTTTTAGTAATTCCCTGTTTCATTCTTTTTTCTGCACTGTAGTTGAAATGATTTGTGTGAGAAGACATTACATGTTGATGATTTTGCCCAAAATTAAATGGAATTTTTGATGCTGAATTGGCTTATATTTTATAAAGATTCTTTAAATTATGTTAACAAAGAATTGAAAACCAGTTGTGTTCTTTTGATAAAGGTCTGTATCTTATGCACACCTTTTTAGATCTTGAGAAATAATCTCTGTATTCATATCGCTGAAATTCTTTTATGTTTTATGTTTCTTATCCATCCATAATTTTAGGATTTATCTATTTCCTCCATCACTACACCCTGCCTCTTTAGACACAGTCTTCAATCATACATTTCCAGAATTAAGTTCTGAGTAATTTATACCTGTTCCTTTAATGCATTAATAATGGAACACACATTAAAGTATTGTATTGGGGCCCAAGAGTTTTCTCTTTTTAACCCTCTGAATGATTTCAACCTTCGTTTCAATTATTACAAGCATCTAGTAGCACCTTCTATTATTTGCCTTTTATGTTTTATACTAAGGGTGACATGCTAAAATATTTAAATGGTTATATAAAAACATCTGTAAAGATATAAATGGTGATACTTTGGAAACTAAACTAGCAACTGGCACCTCGAATGCTTATTTGTCTAGCAATGTGTAAAAGTATAAATTCATTCTAGGAAAGGCACCTTAGAAGTGTCAGTGTAAAGTGTGTGAAAGAAAGCCTGAGCTGTATGTAAGTTAAATGCATATGCTTAAGCAACACCTACATGTGATTTTGTTTTTTATTCTAGCAACCTGATAGAATCAGTGGACTTATACTGAAGAGCACCAGTTCATGAGCTAGCCCCTGAAGGCCAAAAAAGATCTTGAGAAATCATCTAATGAATCCGTTTCCCTTCTGGTATTTAATGCAAGGATATGGCATCTCCAATCTGTGCTCTGGATCAGTTTGCTTTTGTGATTTCTCTGTATATCAAAATTTTGACTCCTAGGGTAAGTTTCCTCCTTTTGGACTACTTGTCCTGCAGTGGTTTTTCTTAACCCTTAAAAATTTCATTTATTCCATGTATTTTGAACATCTTTGTAGTCCATATAAAATAGCATATTCAAATGTACGAAGCTTTGTACCAGGAATGAAAAGACCTGCGTTCTATCCCTGTCTCTGCCCTTTAGTAAGGTAGGAAGCACAATGACCCTGGACAGACAGATGACTTGGTTTCTTTGAACCCAGGTTAGTGCTCTGTGAACATAAGGGTCTTACTTGTTTCAGCCATCTTCCAAGGTGGCTGTGGAAGTCAAATAAATCATATGCATAAAAGGACTTTGGAGAAAATAAAAATCTCACAAACATGAGGAAGTTTTATTGACTGGCAGAGGTAAAGTAATAGATTTACCAGTAGGTAGGAATAGTTGTAGGTGTTATTTCCCCCTGACAAAATACTGCTTTGGCCATTTCTGTGGAATTTGCAGGCACTTTCTGACTCCACACATTCCCTACTCCCTGGTTTCAGAGGATAGACCAAGTCTCTTTACTTGCAAAATTGATCACTTTGAATCCTGACGTTTTTAGGCCCTTGACTTTTACAATAAGCCCTAGTCCTCTTCACTAGCACCTTAATATCTGCCTACCATCTTGCATTCTTTCCTCTCCTAGAACAAGCTCACTTTCCAGGCTGATGTCTGGAATCATAGTGTTCATTAGAAAAACAGGTCTAATACTTAGCACCCCTGTATATACTTGGTATTCACCAATCTCAGTGGCTAGGATGGCATGTCCCCTCTGCCTTGAAACTAGAAAAATGGCATTGATTCCCAGACCAAAGAGATCATGGGCAAGGCAACTGTCTCAGCAGAAGATAAGGAACAAGGAAGCATTATTCTTACCTATGCCTGCTTATGACAGCAACTGAGGTTACAAATGGCACTCCTCTGCTGTCAGTCTTTCAAAGGCTTTCTATCATACCCAAGGAAAAATCCAAGCACATTTCTTATCAATAGAATTGCAAAAGCTGTATTTACAAGATGTGGCCCTGGTTAAATCTCCATTATTATTTCCTACCTCTCCCTCCCCCACTACATTCCACCATGCTGTCTTATTGCTGTTCCTTAAACAAGCACTTTCTTATCCCAGTGCCTTTGCACTTGCTGTTCCCTTCTTCCTCCTAAAAGTCTTCACATAGATGCCTGATGGCTAACTCTTTTACTTCATTCAGTTTTCCATGCATGTGTCACTTCTTTGGAAAGAACTTTGGTGACCACCCTAAGGTAACAACCTCACATCACTATCCACTTATCTAGTGTTATTTGTCTTCACAGCAGTTATTACTTTCTGACTTTTTATATTTATTTGTTTATGCATATTAGGTGTATATAAGCCCCATGAAGACCAAAGTTTTGGATTCTCCTTGTTGTGTCTGTGGCACCTAGAATGGCACCTGACCCTGAAAGTTTCTGTATAAATATTTGTTAAATGAATGATTTGACCAAGGTCTATCAATAATTTCCTATTGCCTGCGTCCAGCCAGTAGTAGACTTCTCCAATAACCTTTGCCTTCAAGTAGCTGGGAGAGTAATAGTATTATATACTTGAAGTGGCCAAGTGCCACTTCTGAGAGCTAATTTTCTAATTCTAAAGAAACTATAAAATGTATCTAAAGAAATGACTAGATAAACTAGAGTCAGAGTTAGAGATAGTAATTCAGGAATTCACCTTACCATCTGAGCATCCACCTCTGGATTTCACTCTGAAGATAGGTGCTGGGCCTTTGGCAAGCAATGGTAATAAATAATAAGAGGTGAGCTAGGACCTATATCTCTTTTGGTGCTACTATAATATATTCCTGTAGTAACAAGTGTCTTTTAGTATAATCTCATCCTCTTATTTAAATGGCAGATGCAAGGATTGTTAGCTTTCTTTGGCATACACATAAACAGGAGCCAAAAATGAATCCAAATACTCTATATTGGCTACATTAAATCCTGTACTACGATCTGGACTTTGGGCCCCAAGAGGATACATCTATATTATAATTTCTTTCTATCTTTCACAAATAAACTTTTTCATCAAGGAGTCTATACCCACTGGCTGTGTATTTTCTTTGCCATCAAATTTTGTTTCAAATCTTACCATGCCAGTGAAAGAAACTGTTCACTCAATGATCATCCTTCACCACTCTGTCTCAGTTATTAAATCCAGTGGCTCTTTACAAACCCTCAATAATGGCTTTCAAGACCTTCACCACCCTGAGTCTCCTCACATAACTGACTCTTCCACTCTCTAGGCAGTATGATGTGAAAGAAAGAGCATGGACATTAAAGTCAGACCATTCTGGATCAGGCAAATCTGTCCTAGTTTTGAATCTTCATTCAGCCACCAAATGGCTGTGTAACCTTGAGTGGGTTAACTTCTCTAAACCTTAATTTCCTAACTAATCTGATGAAAAACAATCATATCCACCAAATGGTATGATTATGAAAACTAAATAATAATGTTGTCTTTGGCACATAGTAACATTCAATGAATCTTAGTTTTCAACTTTCTTTGACACCTTCTGATTTCCTTGGCTCTTTTGCCTTCTTTCACTAGTTAGTTCTTTCCCTTGCCTTCTTTCCCTTGTTAGTTTCATTTATCTTTTCCATTAACTGTCACTTTTTTGAAACTCTTATTCACATATTCAGCTCAGAAATACTTCTTATTGAAAAATTGTTACTTACAAAATCCGTAAGACACTTATATGTTCTAATATCCTAATTTGAACAAATCTATGTCTAAATCAATCTTCCCCGAAACTAGTTCAACTTCCAAGTTCTACTTGTTTCAAAATTACCAAGATTGTAATTACAAATTACTTAAGATTGTAATTATAAATTACCAAGATTGTAATTACAAAATTACTTAAGATTGTCTTAAGTTAGTGATTAATAATTATGATAGCTACTATTATTTGATTGACATATTTGCTATATGTCAATCAATGTGTCTTGGTCATTCTGCTACTCTGAATCCTTGTAATGATATGAAGTAGACACTTATCACCAGACTCCTCTTATATCTGCTGCACTACTTGGCTCACCCTTTTTTGTAAAAAACATCAAATTTATTTAAATATAATATATAATCGTCTGTGTTGCTATAACAAAATACCCAAGTCTGGGTAATTTATAAAGAAAAGAGGTGTATTTGTCTCATGATTCTGGTGACTGGAAGGTCCAAAATAGAGCAGCTGCATTTGTTGAGGGCTTTATCCTGCTTTAACTCATAGCAGAAAGTGGAAGAGCAGACATGTACTAAGAGATCCTGTGGTGAGAGAAGCAAAAGAGAGAAACAGAGGAAGCCAGACTCTTTAAGTACCCTCTCATGGGAACTCATTCATTCCTGCAAGAGCAAGAACTCACCCTGTGGGAGGGCATTAATCTATTCATAAAAGATCTGGTCCCATAACTCAAACAACTCCCACTAGATGCACCTCCCAACACTGCTACATTAGAGATCAAACTTCAACATGAATGTTGGCAGGGATGAACCACATTTAAGCCATAGCAATATTGACAATTATATTAATAATTAAATTCACCAGTGTGCAACTGGATAAGTTTTGTGACATGTACAGTTAGATACTTATGCAACCATCACCACATTCAGGATATAGAACAGCTCTAAAAGCTGCCTTTGCAGTCAATCACCTCATTCCATTCACCAGCCTTAGCAACTGCTAATGTGCTCTCTGTCACCATAGCTTTATGGCTCACCATTTTATTCCAGTTTTCACTATATCAGTTTGTTGTAAACTTGTGTAAGTTGACTGTACCTTGCCTTAGCTCTGTTGGGTATCTTGTGCTTTCTGCTCCAGGGCTCCTCCACCACCTCAATGTGGGTTTCCTGTGCTTGTCCACTGCTCTGTTTTGACACACTTGTAAACCTTTAAGTGGGAAGAAGTTAGCACAGCATGGGGCAACTCTAAATAATTTGAGATGGTGGATAACTATTTCCCTCTTCCAATTTGGAGGGACAATTTTGAGATGCATTTTGTGCAGCTCTTCAGGGGTTCCCCAGAGGAACCGACTATCATTTGCTCACAGTGGTAGCCAGCTCAATAGTGTTACTCTCATTGGCTTTTCTTCCTATGAAGCCCCCCACCCTAACTCCTCTTCCTGGGGATCATTTTCTAAAATAATCTTCCTGTACACAAGTCTCACCTTAGACTCTGCTATTAGTGGAAATCCCGGATAAAACATTATTATATGCCTTTAAAAAATCGTTTAGGAAACTGAGGCTAAAAGAGGATAAATAACTGCCCAGAATTGCCTCACTGTTAAAAGACAGAGAAAGAGCTTGGATTCAGGACAGCCTAACTTCACTACTCATGTTCTTAATCAACATTTTGCTTTTTAAGGGGGAGACAAGTCAGCTTTGATTTTATCCAATATTTTACTAATGTATTTAAACTACCAGTTTCTATCATTTCTTCTTTCAAAATATCTCACTCATCAGTTATTGAAAATGATTTCATCTAGCCACAAACTACAGTGAGTAATCTTTTGGAAAACATCCAAAATTCATTGCTGCTTCTCCTTTCCTACTGATATCACTTTAGTGCCTCCCTTTTTGATCCCTACAACAGCCTGTTAGTTGATTTTCTTTTCTCCAACAAGGCAGTGTTGTTTAATGGAAAGTGTATTGGGTTGATGGAATTGATTTCAGATCCTACCCCTCTCATTTTCTAACTGTATAATATTTGGTAAATCTCTTAGCCTCTCTGAGCCTCAGTTTCTTTACCTGTAAAATGAAAAACAATAATTCCTATTTTTGGTGGATTAAATATAATAACTTGTGTCTTCATTTGTTCAAATATAGAAACCATGGAATGCTATTTAAATTTTACATTTATTTTTAAGTTGATTTTAAGTCATAGAGTTTTGGAGAAGTTGGAGCATTTTTATTGTTAAATATATATTAATTCCTTTAATTTTTATAAAAGGATTTATTTTTATTAGTCTGTAATACTTCGAGTAACCTATGGCACAAACCCAGTGATTTCTTAACTTTAAAATGAAGTACATGACGTATAACCATGTCAATACAAATGTTGCTTGAAACAATGGAAGGAACTCTTAAGAGCCAAAGGACTTACAAATTGATTAAAGTGCTTCATTAAGGAGTATTCATATGACCTTTAGTGCTGCAGCAACGAAATGAAAGCTTCTGAGAATTAGTAGGTTACCCTTAATAGATGATTTAATGCTTGAATTCAAATACGATGTTGGCTTTTTTTCATTTCCTAAAATATATCCACTACTAAAATTCTAAAAGGATCTTTAAAACTTGGGTTATTTAGAAAGCCAAACTTGACTGAAATGCAGGAGGTTCAAGCTAGTGAAAGTATACCATATATGTAAACTAAAATTAGACATTTTACAAAATATGTTTATCAAAACATAGTCTGCTTGGAAAGTATCTAATTTATATACAATTTCAACCATGAGTACAAAGAGAGTGAAATTAAAGAGTTCCATTGCCCTCAGTGGTTACATCTTGGGTTTTAGCCTCTTAATTAAATCATCTTTTGTGTGCTTCACCCAGAGGCTACATGGTTGTTTTAAGGAGAAAGTTGTTAACCACATTCTTTATTTAGTTACCCCAGGCTGGGTACTTATTTGTAAGCAAGCAGGCTGTCCCAGAGAGAATGGGCCCACCCTACTTAATTACATATTTGCTTTACATTAGGGGGATGGCTTTAATTCAGAATTGCCAGAAAAGTCATCTTCAAAGACAAAGAATTGGGAGTCTGTAAAATAAATACAAGCTGCTTCTAAAATTGACTGGTGATTCTTCACTGGAGTCAGAAAACGCCTGCCAACGAACCCCAGGGCAGGGTCTGAAGGACCAGCATTTGTCCAGGCAGGGCATTTAAACAGAAAGAACTGATGGACACTCTTAAAATATTGTACATCTTTGCATATTTAATTGTTTGTTTGCTATTTTCTTTGCCATTGCTCTGTGAGGACAGGAAGCATGTCTCCTTTACTCTCCCCTCATTCACTAGAGACAAGCACAAGGTATGGCACGAGAATATTCATTTTTTGATGGCTAGCTGAATTTCCCCTTCATTGTTTTGTTCTCTGAGAGTTTCTTTTGTGATTATCTAATCTCCCAACAAGATTGTTGTCATCTGAGAGTAGAGACCATATCCAATATTTCTCTAAAATCCTTTCAAATCACCTTCTGCTTAAATCAGTGTCAATACTTGTGGGATATTAAGCTGTGAATTTGGAAAAGAAAGTAGAGGAAAATATAGGGGGAAAAGAGTGTTAGTAAAGAGTTGTGATGATTTCTGCACAGAATATTTCTAAGTATACATTGAAGTATAGGGAATTGCCAAATTTGACCAGTTTTGGCCTATTCCTTACCAATTTTTTGTAACTCTATCTAACTACCAAAGAGTGATAAAGGTTAAGAACCAAAAAAAAAAAAAACCAAAGAAAAGGCATTTTGGTTGGGCAAATTAGAGTTTAAATCATAGCTCTGCCACTTACTAGGTTTATAATCTTGCACAAGCTTCCAGTTCTTTTTGGATTTCACTTTCCTCAATTGTAAAGTGGGCATAATATCCCTTCAGAGGATTGTTTGGAGGATTAGATGAACTGAGAGGTCTGAAATCTTTAGCCCATTACAGATACTCCACCTCCCAATCATCTTGTGCAAGTATCTTAACATTTCCTTGTCTCAATATGCAAATAGACAACATTAAGTGTTATAGGCTGTTATAAAAAAAAGTTAGTGAGTTTTGTTATATTATTTAATCACCCCCAGTAATGCTGCTAGGGCGGAAACTTACTAGGTGCTCGCGGTGAATAAGAGAAAGAATTCTCACACAGAGTTTAGGATAGAAAGAAGTATAAAATTTATTTATTTTCCCAAAAAAGAAAGAAAGAAAGAGAGATAGAGATGGAAAGAAAAAGAGAGAGAAGGAAGGAGTGGCCATGGCACACAGAAGAAGGAATGAAAATGCCAGTCAGTTGAGGAAAATTGGCTGCTGTTTTAAAGGGTAAACCATGGCTTTTTTCCCTCTGCTTCTGCAGACTGATAACAGGAGCAACTACAGAGTGGCAGTGTTTGCTTTTTCTATTTTTTCCCTTTATCTGTGAAGTCAGTTTATCTGAGTCCTTAAAGTATGTTTCTTGCAGGAACTGAGGCAGAGAGTTGGAACAGGGAACTTACACCCCTACCATCTACTTAGGGCTCTTCAAGGCTGAGAAAACAGGTCCTAGAGATAACTAGTTAGACCACAGGTGTTTTAATTAAACAAAACAAAGGGGGTAGTTGTGAGTTTTGGTTTTTTTCCCAAAGGGGATAAAACACAGCTATTATGTGCTGTGAGTTTATTTCTCTTACTTTCTGTCTGATAGTTTATTTTCCTCTGTTAGATAGGTTATTAGTAAGACCACCTTTCAAATGCTGTGAGGTAGGTATTATTATTATTATTGTTCTCATTTTACAGATAAGGAAATTTAAGTGTGGCTCAGAGCTCATACTCATAACTACTACATTATACTATACTGTATTATACTATAGTTTTTACAGTGGCTAAAAATCCACTTTGTATAAAAATTTATAGTCCTTCAGACAACAGAATATGGAGCTAATGTAGGAGATAGAAAAATGAATAGATTGTGTTTGTGAGAGAGAGACTGAGAGAGGGAGAGGCTAACGAGTCTGTGTCTGGCTTGGGTCATACATTTTTCTTCTCAGTGCATGAATGAGAGACTAGTACTTGTCATACTTCATAAATCTTTGCATGCCTAACCTTCACTTGGTAGAAGCAGAGTTTTCAGATATGCTCACACTATGAGTTTAGCCATTTTGAATAAAAGTAGGGAATAGTACAAGAATATGTATCATTTTCTTTGTATTTAAGGATCTTGCTTTTAATCATTTTCATCAAGTATTTTCAGTTCTGACTTTGGTAGTGTTCTAAGGACGTTAACATATTAGCTCATTTAATTCTTATGACAACTTCTTACAGTAGATACTATCACCTTTCTTTTTCAGATGAGGAAACTGAAGCACAGAGGATTTTGGTAACTTCCCCAAGATCACACAGCTGGTAAGTGGTAGACCAAGATTCTCACAGAGGTAAATAGGTCCCAGAGATCATGCTATCACTCTCTGTGCCATTTTGCCCCCTAATTATTTATTAATTTTCTACATTATTTGCTGAAAACTCTTACTACCTAGCAGATGTGTTCTTATGCATAAGTATTATAGTTAATCTTATAGAAATACCCCTGGGGGTCCCCTGACAAAGATAACTCTCTAACTGCCTCTACTTGCACCATTACAGTTTCATTCATTTGGATCACAAGTTACCTCCTTTAGATGAATATGGGGGGTGAGAATATAAGGCTAGGCAAGGGTCCAAGGGTTGGAGAAGAAGGAAAATTAATCCTGGAGTATTAGAGAACTGATGGGAAGTCAGGACTGGATTTGGTACCTCAGTAAGGAGAAGGCAGAGGGGGAGAAAAAACTTCTCTATCAGGGTAAGTAGTAACAATAGTAATATGGTTAATATGAGTCTCCGTTTGTGAATGATGAAGCTAGAATCAGAGAAGTTAAGGATTGAGCCATGGTCACACAGCTGGTAAGAGACAGAGTATGGATTAGTAATTGTGTCTGACCCCATATTTAAGTGCTGTATCTTCCATTACTCCAGAAACCTTCTAGGGAATGGGAGAGGTGGGTAAGGAGGTATATCTAAAATCCTGAAAGGGAAAATAGGAGAGTATGGAGAAAAATAAACCTCTTTCTAATTTTGTAAGGTTTCCCTACTTTTTGACTTTTTATTCATATTCTTTTATTATTAATATAAATTGATATCAACTTGATTCCCCCATATTCTTCTTTATTTGAAAAGATTTTTTGTTGACTATAATGTACAAAGCACTGTACTTAGTGCTATGTATATGTTGGCAGTATGAGGTGGGGTGGAGGTGGAGGGATAAACATTTTATCCTTCTAAACCTTCAGGAATTTATGATCTTGTTAGAGACATAATATGCACATTTTCTCCTGGATTGAGCCCAAATTTTTGAACTTGGCATGGCAAGTTCTTCCCACTTGAACCATATCCTTCCTTATTGCCCTCAAATTCTCCTTCTCCTCACATTGACTTCACCTGCCAATTGTCTAGGAACACCCAACTACTCACTGTTGCCTTGGTGTCTTGGAAAATATAATTTTGGGAATGCTTATTTCAGCTAGGGGCATTCCCCTTCCTTCTAACATAGAATCTGATGTGGAAATAGGTAAGGAGTGGTTAGTCATATGACCTAGACTTTGCCAATTAAATGCTCCCATTTAGCTCTTTGAAACTTGAGCAAATGACGCAAAAATAAAAGATCAAAATTCATTCACCATGGTGGTAGGTGGAATCCTGTAACATGACTGCAAGCTCAGTTATGGCACAATGATTGCAGCAATATCTAGGATGACAGGGTGTCCTGGCTAGACCATTTCTAGCCATAGCATAGCAATTGTGTGTCCCATTTCTGGGCCCTTTGCAACTGCTTTGCTTCCTCTCACTTTCCCAAGTCTGACCTTCCTATTAAATGCTGAATCTCTGAGGCCTAACAGTCCCTCCCCAAATCCCCCTCTCAGCCACAACCAAAGTTAGCTAATTGTCTATTCTCTGTCCTCAAACTGTGAAACCTTTTCTGAAGCATTTTCTGGTATCCCCAAACTGAATTAACTATTTCCTTCTTTGTGAAACATACTAGTTACTATGTAAAGTACATTTAAAAATATATATTGGCCGGGCGCTGTGGCTCACGCCTGTAATCCTAGCTCTCTGGGAGGCCGAGGCGGGTGGATCGTTGGAGCTCAGAAGTTCAAGACCAGCCTGAGCAAGAGCCGAGACCCCGTCTCTACTAAAAATAAAAAAATTAAAAATATAAAAATAAAATAAAAATATATATTAGTGATTTGTAAGAATGTTAATCTCTAACAGTAAACTTTAGCATAGTATATAAGGTCCTTTCATAGTACAGGGAAAAGATATACTGAGGACCTAAATAATGAAAGTTTGTCATAAGTATGCAACAAGTGATCTTCTTGGGTATTCTATCATTTTTCTCTTTCTCTCCCTCTTTTACTTCTTCATTTATTCATTTAAGAATTACCATTGAGCATCTTCAATGTCGCTTCACATTGTTCTTGGCTCTGGGGACACAAGAGTGAAAAGACAAATAAGGTCTTTATTCTAATGCAAGTTCTATTTTAATGCCTGAGGAGAGAACATAGACAGGCAAAAAAATAAAAATGATCATTTCAGAGGGTTATAGGAACAATATTGGAGTAATATCATAGAGAATTATTGGCTTAGGGCCATGAGAGAGGTTATTTTACATATGGTTTACACAGGGAGACCTAGGAAGTCTTCTTTGAGGAGATGTTGTTTAAGCTGAGTCCTAGATGATAATAAGCTAATTTTGCAAAGAATTGAGGAGAGAGTAATCTAGGGAGAGGAAAAAGCACACACAAAGACTCTGAGGCGGGAATGAACATGGTGTGCTTACGTTCAGGGCCAGAGACCAGTGTGAGGGGAATGTCAGAAGTTAGGAGAGGAAGAGCAGGCAGTGGGGGCCCTTCTATATAGGGCCTAATGGGTCACTATGAAATTCTTAAATTTTATTATTTCATTTTTCATAAAACACTCTCCCCCATTCTGTGTCTCCATATTTTATCTTTCCTAATTTGAAAGAATCTAATGGAATAGATGACTCATTGCAGTAGTTGCTTGTATTAATTAAACCTGTGGGACATAGCTAACGCAGTCCTGAGAGGAAAGTTTATTTCCATAAATGCCTATCTCCAAAAGTAGAAAAGATTACAAATAGACAACCTAATGAATCATCTCAAAGAGCTGTAAAAAGAAGAACAAACTAACCCCAAACCCAGCAGAAGAAGTGAAATCATTAAGATCAAATCAGAACTAAACAAAATTGACAACAGGGAAACTATACGGAAGATTAATAAAACAAAAAGTTGGTTCTTTGAAAAAATAAACAAAATTGACACACCATTGGCTAGACTAATGAAAAGCAGAAAAGAAAAATCTCTAATAATCTCCATCAGGAACAATAAAGGAGAAATTACAACTGATGTCACGGAGATACAAGATATAATTTATGAATACTACAAAAACCTCTATGTGCAAAAACTGGAAAATGTGGAGGAAATGGACAATTTCCTAGAAACACACAGCCTCCCTAGGCTCAGCCAGGAAGAAATAGAATTCCTGAACAGACCAATATCAAGTACTGAAATTGAAACAGCAATAAAAAACTTTCCTAAAAAGAAAAATCCTGGACCAGATGGTTTCACACCCGAATTTTACCACACCTACAAAGAAGAACTGGTGCCTATCGTGCAGAAATTATTCCACAACATCGAGAAGGATGGAATCCTCCCCAACACATTTTATGAAGTGAACATAACCCTGATACCAAAACCAGGAAAGGATGCAACAAAAAAAGAAAACTACAGACTAATATCCCTTATGAATATAGATGCAAAAATTCTCCACAAAATCCTAACCAATCGAATTCAGGTGGTTGTCAAGAAAACAATCCATCACAACCAAGTGGGCTTCATCCCAGGGATGCAGGGATGGTTCAACATATGCAAATCTATAAATGTAATTCACCAAATAAACAGAACCAAAAATAAAGACTATATGATCCTCTCAATAGACGCAGAAAAAGCATTTGACAAAATTCAACACCCTCTAATGATAAGAACGCTCAACAAAATAGGAATAGACAGGGCTTGCCTAAAAATGATACAAGCCATATATGACAAACCCACAGCCAATAGCATACTGAATGGGGAAAAATTGAAAGCATTCCCACTTAGAACTGGAACTAGACAAGGTTTCCCACTATCTCCACTTCTATTCAACATAGTGCTGGAAGTCCTTGCTATAGCAATCAGACAAGAGAGTGGAATTAAGGGCATCCAGATGGGAACAGAAGACATCAAACTCTCACTCTTTGCTGATGACATGATATTATACCTAGAAAACCCCAAGGATTCAACCAAGAGACTCCTTGAACTGATAAATGAATTCGGTAAAGTCTCAGGATGCAAAATCAATACACAGAAATCAGAAGCATTCATATACACCAACAATAGTACAAGTGAGAACCAAATCAAAGACTCAATTCCCTTCAAAATAGCAACGAAGAAAATAAAGTACCTAGGAATATATTTAACTAAGGATGTAAAAGACCTCTACAGGGAGAACTATGAAACAATGAAGAAAGAAATAGCAGAGGACGTAAACAGATGGAGGAATATACCATGCTCATGAGTTGGCAGAATCAACATTGCTAAAATGTCTATACTACCCAAAGTGACCTACAGAGTCAATGCAATCCCTATCAAAATACCATCATCATTTTTCACAGATATAGAAAAATAATTTTACACTTTGTATGGAACCAGAGAAGACCCCATATAGCAAAATCAATCCTAAGCAATAAAAACAACATAGGATGTATCAATTTACCAGATTTCAAACTACACTACAAGTCTATAGTAATTAAGACAGCTTGGGACTGGCACAAGAACAGGGACATTGACCAGCGGAACAGAACAGAGAACCCAGATATAAAACCATCCTCATGTAGACAACTAATCTTTGATAAAGCAGACAAAAACATACACTGAGGAAAAGAATCCTTATTCAATAAATGGTGCTGGGAAAACTGGATAGCCCCATGCAGAAGACTGAAACAGGACCCACACCTTTTACCTTTCACAAAAATCAACTCACACTGGGTAACAGACTTGAACATTAGGTGTGAAACTATTAGAATCCTAGAGGAAAACGTTAGAAATACTCTTCTAGACATTGGCCTAGGCAAAGAATTTATGAAGAAGACCCCAAAGGCAATCACAGCAGCAACAAAAATAAATAAATGGGACCTGATCAAATTAAAAAGCTTCTGCACAGCCAGAGAAACTGTCAAGGGAGCAAACAGACAACGCACAGAATGAGAGAAAATTTTCACAAGCTACACATC